TGAATTTCGGTTTTGTATAAAACTACGTAAACAATAAATGGAGAACATTACGAACATGAAAGGCTATTTTTAGGATCCCACGGTAGAATAATCACCACAGTCGCACCTTCTGTTGGCTACGTACGGTGCGAAATAACTTCTGCTTACAGTCGGTGAGCATGGATCCTGAATAGCTACCAGGCCCATTTCATAATGTTCCGCTGAAGGATCTAGGGCAGTGATACGAAGCGCTGACCTACTTAACTGGGACCTCAACAAAACGGGCGTTTCTGAAGCATTTGCCATGTTGCAAAATAAATCCTGCCCGAGCTCATTATTGCCACCACCACCACAACATGCTTGACTTACCAGCACGATTCTTTTTAAATGTTACATGTTACTGACCCTGTTTTCGTTCTCTGCAATGTTTATGTTTTTGTCTTTTTGTGTAGTTGCTGTGCTCACGCACCACAGATCTCCCGTGTAAAATAGCCGGGCCAACTGGCTTATTGGGATCATCCATGTAAAAAATAAAATACACTCAAAAAAACAAACTCAAACATCATTTATGTGTGTTTGAAATTGCTATTTCCTGAAAGAGAATATTTAAAATGTGTTGTCTATGTCCCACGATGTTACACAAAATCATCCCCGCATTGACAAAGATGCACAATGTTCGTCTGTTTGTTTGATTAATGGTGTTCTTCATTAGCCTTGGTATTTATTTCATAGTACGTATTTGTAAGTTAAATTTGTAGTTAAATGCACATAGCAGTTCGTTAATTTCATAGTTAGTTTATTATATTTGTTGTCAGCATACAACAGATGCGAGTAATAAAGTGGAACTTGAGAATCCTTATCAGAGCATAAAGGTAGATTGTCACTGAAATTAATTGAAGGGTGTTTTTCAAGTGTGTGAAATGCAGGTCTTATTCGAATGAGCGCCCTCTGTTGGGACTATCCACTCCCTAAAGTATTGTACATCCTTATCGTTCAGTTCTCAGAGCTGAAGAGCCCCTGAAAACCACACACGTTCCGAGTTTTTGGGATGTCTGCTGAAAGGAATACAAACCATGCGTATGCATGTATTCTGTAATGATTTCCAAAATGTATTTGTCCTTTAATTTACGATAATTACGGTAGTGCTCGTGCTAGGCCATAATGATCATATGCTTTGGGTCTTTCGGTAAAATCGCGTAGATAGGTAAAAAATAAACAAAACTATGACATTTCGATCACAACACAAGCGACCGGCATCAGCTGATGTTTATTTACGTGACTTTACCGAAATACCCAACGAATATGCATTTCTGCAGTCATGAAAGCTTCAAGTCAAGACATAATGATCATCTGCAAAAATAAAAAATATTCTGCGAATTACGAATGATCATAGCAATACTGCGTCATTATCCTGCTATGAATTTCACCACTCATGTGACAATTACCAGGACCCAAGCAGGTCATACCGAAATAATGCTTTGGAACTTAATTATAGTGTGTTGTAAAGTGGATGTTGGACTGATCTAATACACATAAAAACAATTATTAGTCATGCATTGTCATGACTAAAATTGGCAAAAACATTGTACAATTTGTCATACGCATTAAATTATTAAAATGCATAATAGTACCTTTATGTTAAGTCACTGGGATTTTAAACTGCAGAGCTGACAAAGAAGAGTTCATTAATCACAGGAGAAAAGTTCCTGAGACAATGGACATCTATGCCCTATATATATTCTAATATTAAGTTAAAATAGCATTCGATGCTTGTAAGTAATGCAGCAGCTTATTTCGCGATCACTATGTCCACACGGTTTCAATACAACATCACATAATACGGTCCGAGTTTCTGGGAAGTAGCAGAATGCAAAATCTGAATCTTTATCCTCGAAAAATCCGATGAGCTCTGAAGCTCTTTCACAGATGTCCAGTAAAATGTGAACAGGCTTTTCGATTTAAAGCTTTCATGACTGCAGGGATTCATCTTCTTGGTTCTTTCAGTAAAGTCACGTAGAAGGGAAATAATAAAATAATAAAAATAAAACATAATAAAATAATTCTCACGACGTTTCGGCCACAACGCAAGCAGCCGTCCTCGGGTGAAGACCAGGTCTGAAGACCAGGTCTGTCGGGGAGACAGACCTGGTCTTCACCTGAGGACGGCTGCTTGCGTTGTGGCCGAAACGTGAGAATTATTTTATTATGTTGTATTTTTATTATTTTATTATTTCCCTTCTACGTGGCTTTACCGAAAGAACCAAGAAGGTGAACAGGCTTAATTAAATGTAAACTGAAGCACATGCAAGTCAAAATAATGTTGCACATGTACAACCAAATTTTTATTCTCGTAATGAAAATATATTTGTATTATGGGGGATATATGCAATATATAATACACTAATATTTGTACTAATTGGTGTGCACAAGTTTCACAGAAACGGTTTATGAATAGTGAAGACTCGTGTGCTGGTTTTGATTTTAATTATATTTTTCTAGATAGATGACAATCATTTATAGAAGCAACTTGATTGTTTGGTTCTACTTAAAATACATTTTAATGCCATCCAGCCCTCTTTGTGCTAATTCTTGGCCACTCGAAATCCACAGCATAGCTTTAAACTACGTATAATTGCGCACATCTAAGCCGACACGTTGCTTCATTGACTGAGTAAACACTTGTGAAGTGATTTTTTGCGTTATAATAATATAAAAGCCAACTTCACTTAATTACTAAAAATCCAAATGTGTTACTTATTTTAGCAGCATGAGCCTACTTCCTCTCTTTATTTTTTCAAGAGGAATACACCCTTGAGTCATTGTAAGTGAAGCGCATTTATATTATTTGTATGCAGTGATGACTCATGATTCATTTTGTGATTTGCACAGTGCCATTGAAAATCTTTCTTCTGTATAGTACTTTAAAATGACAAAGAAACATGATAATTGGAATATAAAAAAAATACATATCGAGTGAATAACCAGCAATCAGTCTGTACTCATTTTTGTTTCTGACAAATTGTAATGTTTGCCAAAATAGTTGTAGTTTATAAAATAAGAATGACAAATGGCTGTAAAATTAAAAGGTATGAGTCAGTGACAGGGTATGACCGAGAGATGGATGATTTTACTTTGGATTCAACAGCTTGGGTTAAGACATGGCCAGGCCTGCCCTAATCGCCTGTTTTTAAGCTGCTGCTCATAATGGTGTTAAAAAAGATGGTCACATTTACATTCGCGGCAAAGAATAAAAATGTTTAGGTACAGTATAATTAAACGTTAACACTGATGGCTCCAGTATGTTGTTGCTTATTCCCATGGCAGATGAGTTTTATCTTTTCAGTAAAGTACTAGATGTTGCCCTTGTGCATGTGCGTGTTTGTGCGTGAACAAAAATAGGTTTAATTTTCGATTTAAAGCTTTCGTGACTGCAGGGATTCATCTGCTTGGTTCTTTCGGTAAAGTCACGTAGAAGGGAAATAATAAAATAATTCATCTTCTTGTTTCTTTCGGTAAAGTCACGTAGAAGGGAAGTAATAAAATAATAAAAATAAAACATAATAAAACAATTCTCACGACGTTTCGGCTACAACGCAAGCAGCCGTCTTCACCTGAAGACGGCTGCTTGCGTTGTAGCCGAAACGTCGTGAGAATTGTTTTATTATGTTTTATTTTTATTATTTTATTACTTCCCTTCTACGTGACTTTACCGAAAGAAACAAGAAGATGAATCCCTGCAGTCACGAAAGCTTTAAATCGAAATAAAATAATTAAAATACAATTGTTTTTAATTATGTTTTATTTTTAGTATTTTATTATTTCCCTTCTACGTGACTTTACCGAAAGAACCAAGAAGAAAAATAGGTTTGCTTCATACTCTCATGCACTCATCTGTTGGTGATATTTTTCATGTAAGATATTAAAAAAACAGACAAGTCTGTCACAATGTAATTATTCTGCTCATTGCAGACACATTTGCAAATGTCATGAAAAAGGTTTATTAATTGCTTAATCGTCTTTAATTGCATAGGATATGAACCTGCGACACATTTATTCAGAGCCTACATTTTCATGCATCTGAAATACATTTCAAATAAGTTGTTACATTTATATATTTCAAAAAATTACCAATGCTTTGCCTTCAGCTTTCGGACACCTGGTGTAATAGACGCATGCATCAGACGGTTGGAGAGAGGACCTTTATACTCAGGGGGTGGCTTTGATGCTCTGTTAATCTGTGTATGCCGGTTGCTCTGTGTGTGGTTCGTATAGCGAGTAGTAGTGGAGTGGTTATCGTGCTGCGCCACAAATCCAGCGACCCGGGTGCGATTTCCACTCACGGCCACCACCAGTAACGATTATTGAACTGGTCATAGGCCTCCCCTAGGTCGACTCAGCCTCAAATGAGTATCTGGTGTGGTGTGTAAACATCACCACTTGAGATACAAAGGCGGCCTGGCTTGGTGCTGGTCACCCACCCCCTCGTGTGCCGTGTTGGCCTTAATACGTGCTCGCTATCAGTACTTGCCCCAACAGTCTGTTAAGGCTATTCGGAGGATATTTGGTTCATATGGAACCTTGGAGCAGCCGGTGTCCCCGTGCTCACAGACTGTAAATTGTCTGTTAATACCCATCTCAAAATGAGTTCATCAGCTTGTCTGCAAAAAAAAAAACCCCTCACATGGAATCCGGCGATGTAATAGAATGTATTGTGGAAACAAAAATTGCAACCTTATCTTTTTGTTTTTGAACTGAATATTTATTTTGTTTTGCACACATGCACACCAAGGGTGAATAAAATATTTAATTAAGCTTTTTAAAACATTAAAACCCTCACTTGGTAGTCAGTTTCAATTACCAATAATATAAATTCACCGCATGATATTAATGAAACTAAAAAGAGATGAAACTGAACGTTACTACAAGTGTGTATGAATGCTTTATATTTTGTCATATACTTTGTTTTCAACACCACTTAAATGTAAACAGGTATACTAACATGAAAAAAACATATTTTGCAGATTCTTGCTTCAAAGTCTGGAAGACCTGGATGCCAGCCTTCACAAGCTCAACTCACGTCTGTTTGTGATTCGCGGGCAGCCTGCAGATGTCTTCCCACGCCTCTTCAAGGTTAGTGGCTGCTTCTGCTTGAATACCCTCATGCCAGAGGTCGCAAACGGGTTTTGATTCCTTACCCGTACCCGTACCCGGCCGCACCAGGGTCGCAAACGGGTACCCGTACCCGGCCCGTACCCGTACCCGGACGGGTACGGGTAGGGTACGGGTATCGGGTACCTGATTGCGACCTCTGGGATGAAGCCATGTTGCAGGCGCGGGTGGGTTGATTCTAGGAACTTGAATTGTGAGAAGAGACAAGACGTTGGGAAATGAGTGACAAACAGTTACTCACCAGTGACTCACGGTCTACCCGGCTACCCGTACCCGGCCGCACCAGGGTCGCAAACGGGTACCCGTACCGGCCTGGGTACGGGTAGCCGGGTATCGGGTAGGGTACGGGTATCGGGTACCCGGTTGCAACCTCTGCCTCATGCACACTAAAAATACAGGTAGTCCTCTACTTGCGATGGAGATGCGTTACGACGACCCCATCGTAAGTCAAAAATATCGTAAGTCGAAGATGGCCTAGCCTACCCAGGAGTCTTAAAGAATGGTGATAATTTAGCAAAACAGAAATTTACAGTACCGTACTGTATACACTATATACTGTATGTATTTATTAATTACAATACTGTATTGCACGGTAAAATGTAAAGTAAAAAAAACCAAGGTAAATTCTTAGCCTACCTATATGAACTGCAATTTAATAGAACGTTTTTTCAGGAAACAATCCTACGTGCTATAAAAACTTTGAACATGCATTGAACATATCGTATCGTGGTAACCCTAAAATGAAATCGCTAAAGCTACGTATCATACATGCATTGAATGTATCGTAACGTATCATATTGTACTCTACTCACCAAGATCGTACCTCGTACGCTGCTGCGTTTGCCTGCCGCACGAAATTTAAAATATTTTACAATTTTGTCGTATCGCTATCGCCATCGTAAGATCGAAATATCGTAAGTCGGGGACTATCTGTACATGCAAATGAACTGTTGCCTCTGCACCACACTCAAGTTGTTTAACTTGAAAAGCATGTGTTCTATTTAAATTATGCATAAGTTTATGTTAAACTGTACTAAAGGCAATATTGAAAACCAGTGTTCAGTTTTTTTCTTCTTGGTTCTTTCGGTAAAGTCACGTAGAATGGAAATAATAAAATAATAAAAATAAAACATAATAAAATAATTCTCACGACGTTTCGGCCACAATGCAAGTAGCCGTCCTCAGGTGAAGAACAGGTCTGTCGAGGAGACAGAGTCTGTGTTATTTGGTGTTGTAAAATTAACTTGTTTTCTTTGTCGGATGTTTTGGCATTAATATGTCAATTCATGGAAAAGTTGCATTATAAACATTGCAGTGTTTGTTATGAAGCATACATAGTAGGGCTTCACTTTGCCTTGCTAGCTAATAATTTTACGCTCATGATAAATGTTGATAATGTTGAACAACACGAAGTAATTCAAACATCCAATCAATTAATTAGTACTGGCCAGATGAAAATAACAACAAGTCCTCAAAAAATGTACAAACCTCCCTCCACCCAGAGCACCCTATTCACTCTTTGGCATCGGCATTCAATCTCTTCATCACTCAATATATTTCTGCGTCACTGGTAGAATGAAGTAGACCCGTGACTCGTAGCCACAGATGTATACTGGATGTGGTGTGCCGGTAAACTCAGTAATTTGCTTTTGCTGTAGGGAATTTATATTTACGCGTGAAAGTGACGTCCCTGTGGTGTTGGCATTGTCAGGAGTGGAGCATCAGCCGGCTCACGTTTGAATACGACTCCGAGCCATTCGGGAAGGAGCGTGATGCGGCGATCAAGAAATTGGCATCAGAGGCAGGTGTGGAGGTGCTGGTGCGCATCTCCCACACTCTCTACAACCTTGACAGGTAACCTGACCCCCTGTGGAACTGACACCGTCGATCCCATAGAATGGTGGAAACTTTTAGAGTGATGTGTACAGCAACGCTTTTTACTTGTGAACAACAAGGGTACGTGTGGTTGCTTATGTGGCTGCAAATTTTGCATGCGCGTATATATTTTTTTAAGAAAGACAAACGGAGAGAGACAGATTAATAGACCATTCACGCATTTTACCTTGGCTTAAAATCATCTGCCTGTCTATGTATCTGAGATGGGGGGCGAGGGGGCGAGGGGGCATGATAACGCTCGTAAAGATTATGTTATAGAAATGACGGGTTATTATAAAGGTGTGTTGCCTTTAAGGACTCGCCCTAAAGTTGACTGAGCACATTTATCAAACGGTTGCCAACACATGTTGATTCATTCACTCATTGTTAATTACATTGGCCTCCTTGACCATCATTGCGTGATATCATACGTCATGGCTGGTGATGTCACACGCTGCTGATGATGACGATGAGTAACTTGGCCCTAGCCAGGTCTGACTCAGATTACCTTACCAGGGGGAACCCTCCGGGCAGGGAGACCAGGTCCAAGAAACCGAGGGAGGCCAGTCACTGATGTCATCATCAGCCATGATGTATCTTATCCATTGTTGGATGAAGTCCAATATAATGTCTCTGATATGTGTTTGTTGTCTGATCCGTTTGTGTCTTTTTCTGCCTCTCAGTGTAATTCCAAGTGTGCACCTCTCCATGCTTCTTTGATCACTTTGCAATATTTGCATATGTAATTTTTTTATTAATTAATGTTAAGCTGAAATTAATAATTATTCTTTGCACAAAAACGTATGTTGAAAAACAGAACTGAACCATGGTTATGCGTGATTTGTCTGCCGTCTTAAAATACAATTAATGGTTTATGATTAATTATATTAAGTGAATAAAATATTGTTAGTGTAATATGACTATAATTTAATTTCATATTTTTATAATCAGGTGAGAACCCAGAGAGATAACACATTTTACAAGGGAAATGCAGGAGCAAGCGAATATGGTAAAAACATCTGCAAAACTAAATAAAGGGTGTTACTAAATGTTAATTATGACAAATAATAAAGTCTTCTACATTTAGATGACCATTCTCTTTAAATCGTTGGCTTCCATATACTGTATGTTGATACATAATCGTACAAAAGAATGCCAAATAAATTACGTCATCTTAAAATGTAAAGCAGAAATTATAAAAATCTATTGATACATTTAACGTGCTTTTATTTATCATTGAAATTATTAATATATCTCCATATGCATCTATATGCAACACGAAAAAAAAGTGTTCACAAAGATGGCTGGGGTGCCTACCATTCATCAGTGGTCCCAATTCGGGGCTACAAAGCTCATTAACCCCCCCCCCCCCATACCAAGGGGGGCTGCGAGGACCCCGTGCATCCTGCCACTTGACAGTCGCTTCCTGCGGCACGCGTTATCCGCGTGTCAATATCGCCTTTCGACAGTTTCGGCCCAGAAGGATCCGGGGGCAACTGCACACTGCGACCTGTAGCCCTGGGAATCGTTCACGGCGCTCCCTGCAATCAACGTGCGCTGCCTCATGCCTTCCCTTCCAGAGACTGATCAGGGGGTTCACTCGCTAGATTTACAGCAGCTCAGACGAGATCAGACCCATTAAGGGTGATACAGTTATGGGCATTTAAAGAAAGCCAAACATCCATTTGCTTTTCTAAATACTTACCTAGGCTGTGTGTTCCATGCTGTTGGACGTAAGTTTTAAGCTTTTTAAGTGAGAATAAGACTTTAAAATGACTTAAGGGCACACTATGTTGATGTCACTGCAGTCTGATTGCTGTACATTTGAATGCAATGGCATCGTAGTGACATCATGAAATTCTGTCTGAAAGTCGACTTTTATTCATGAGCTTAAAATGTATGTTGAGCAGCCTGGGACACAGAGCCGAGGTGCGTAACTACACGATAATAGCTGTTTGTTTTTTGGGATGCATCTCACTTAAATAATATTAATTTGTGTTTGTTTAGACACGGTTTATACAAAATGTCATTATTCCGATGTTTGTACGTTGAATTAAAAATAGTTAAGTACCTTGTCTAGATGAATTTATGCTTTGATTGCTCGGCATGGTGCCAGCTACTTTTTTTAATTTCATGTTTGTAGTTAAAAATACAAATGGCTGGCACTTGAGTCACAACGTTACAAATCATGTAATGTGTAAATCTGCTCATTTAAAACTTTACAGAGCTATGCACATTAATACATTTTAAATCACATGCTTGTGTGCTTACTACAAACAAGGACTGTTGATTGTGTAATATTTGTTATCACCTTGGTAGTTGACCTGCGGAAATGCACAATAATCAAGCTCCTGCTGTATTTAATATTTGGTTATCTCTGTGTGTGTGTGTGTGTTGGATAGCCAAGTTTCGGATGTTTGCACGCCTTCTATGAGTGGGATAATGGCCTTCCCACTGTCTACAGAATAATCGAGTTGAACGAAGGGCAGGCACCACTCACATACAAGCGCTTCCAGGCGCTGGTGAGCCGCATGGAGCCGCCCGAGAGGCCCGTGGGAACCATCACGAGCGAGGTGATGGGCCCCTGCCGCACGCCGCTCTGGGAGGACCACGACGAACGCTACGGGGTACCTTCCCTCGAGGAGCTCGGTGAGAAGTGGCGGCGTGGAGGCGGCGTTAAAACACGCGCAGCCGTCCGCGTGTATCCACTGTTGCTCCGCCCATCGCACACGTGGAGACCACTTGGAAAAATTCTATTGACTAGATATAGAAATCGACAGATATATTGCGTTTTTGGTCTCCAATGTATAGCATCTACAAGTTGTATCTGCCAATACCCAGGTCAACTTGCAGTGTAATTCTACTTGTGTATCGGCAATTTAAATCTGTATACGCTTCATATATGAGGATAATACAATGGCGAAATGAGGCAATTGTCATGGCCTGCAACAGTGGGCTTTATTAGAGAGAGCCGAAATAGTCAAGTAAATCGAGTGTAGAACTTTGTAAAAATTTTTTCACAACTTTAATAAATCCCTTTTTTGCACAGGTTTTGACACTGATGGCCTAACGACTGCCGTCTGGCAGGGAGGCGAGTCCGAGGCCCTGACCCGCTTGGACAGACACCTCGAGAGGAAGGTTTGTAGTTCACAAGAAATTGCGTTCACCTGCAGCTGATGAAACGTTTCGAATAAACATACCGTCCACCGTCTAAGTTTTTCAGTCAAAGACCAACTTTTTGGGGCTTTTTGGTCTCTACGATTGAGGTGCTGGGGTGAGTTTTTTTAGCCATGCGCATTCTCTCGTTTGTTCATGTTCTTATGAGCCATTCTCCTGCGAGCATTGATACGCAGTTTTCCAAACTTGTTACACTTGCTTGTGCAATGCCTGTAAGACATTACGTGCATTTTACTCCTCTAAACCACCTTTAACATTTCCTTGACAAATGTTTAATGTTGTGCTGAAGATAACAGTATCCACTGAATGCCTTCACTAAACGCAGACCACAAGGTGAGCGGCGATAAAATTCACCGACAATACGCTTCAGTTATGTTTTTTTTATTTCCCGTGTTGTGTTCGTGAAATGAAAGAAAGAAACATTTTCATTGATATTTTTTTTACCGTCACTGGTGTGCAACCATCACAACCAGCTACCAACACCTGTGTTGAATTTCCAGTAATTTGTCTGGAGAGAGACAGAGGGAATAGACTGAGCAAACAGTGGCCTCTGGGAACCCAGACTGAGCGTGTGCCCTGCGGTTGGTCAGCCACCATAATAAGTAATTTGCACATGCATAGTGCGTGTATGTGTGTGTCTGTGTGTGGTTCCCTTGTGTACCCTTATGGGGAGCGGTAGTGCCACAGCTAGCATGCTGCGCTAGGAACCCAGTGACCCGAGTTAGATTCCCACTCACGGCCAACACCAGTGACGATTATCTGAATCGGTCCTGGGCCTCCCCCATATTGACTCGGACTCAAATGAGTATCTGTTGCGATGTGCAAACATCGCCACTGGTAAGACAAAGGCGGCAGGGAATGGTGCTGGCCACCCACCCCCTTGTGTGTCGTGCCGGCCTGTATAGGTGCTCGCTAATGGTAATTGCCCCAATAGTCTGTTAAGGCTATATGGAAGATATTTATCTTTGTACCAATGTGTGTGCATGTTTGAATCTGTGCATGCGTGTATCTGCGTGCATGGGTATTTATGCATGTGTGAACTATGTGGGTGCTCAGCCTATTGCTCGAATGCTACTGGGGAAATATTATTAAATGATTTTGCAGACCAATGATACCGTGCAATTGTAAAAGGAAATTAAAATGTTTACGTGCTGGTTGGTGTGTGTTTATTAGAAACGTAATAATAAAGAAGTGGAAACGATTTTGCCGATGTCTGCACGTGGAATACTGTACTTGAGAGCAAAATACTCGAGAAACTAAAAAATATCCCGTATATTTTTACATTTACTGTTCTTAAATTACATTTACTTCTAAAAATGTAGGTTAGGAAGCACATTGTCTACTTCTATTTAAAGCTTTCGTGACTGCAGGGATTCATCTTCTTGGTTCTTTCGGTAAAGTCACGTAGAAGGGAAGTAATAAAATAATAAAAATAAAACATAATAAAATAATTCTCACCGCAATAAAAATTGCTTTTAGTGCGGTGAGAATTATTTTATTATGTTTATTATGTTTTATTTTTATTATTTTATTACTTCCATTCTACGTGACTTTACCAAAATAACCAAGAAGACATTGTCTACTGTAACATGTGATTTGCATAACTGTGTGAAATGCATAATATAGCCTACTGTACATAAAATGTATTTGTGGACATTCATATATGTATACCCTACAAGGGATATACATTGAGGTTTAAGTCCGGTAGGCTTAGTTTTTCGTTAAAAGCAGTATATGTGATAGAGCCTCAAAACGATCTTTGGCTTAAAGGTAATGGCAAAAAATGCATATGAACATTATCTTATTACTACCACAAGATACACATTTTGGTCACATTGGTTGAGCATTGTTCATTACAGATGTATTCAGTTATGCTGGATCTTAGCATGCCCATTATCTGTACCCACACTGTGTGCTGTTTGCGCGCTGTGACAGGCATGGGTGGCAAACTTTGAGCGCCCAAGGATGAACGCCAATTCGCTGTTGGCGAGCCCCACGGGACTCAGCCCATACCTGCGATTTGGCTGCCTTTCCTGCCGACTTTTTCACTACAAGCTCACAGAGCTCTACAAGAAGGTAGAGTCAATTACTTGTGCACGTGAACTTGTTACCATACACACACCCACCAATCTTCATCAGCGATGATCAATACACCACTGGACGAAGGCCTCTCCAAGCCATCGCTATCGCCCACAGTCCTGCAATGCAACAGTCTATATAGCTACTTGCACGGCACATGTCCTCTCCAATGTGTTCCCTTCTTTGGCTGCCACTTTGTCATTATTCTCGACCACTGGCCATTGTCCCTCAATAGCGATATGTCCTGCCGATGCCAACTTATTTTATTGATAAAAAAAATGATGTCTTTATCTTCGTCATTTGACCACCTTTGCCAGTACCAAAATATAAGAATAGGGTTTTTCCCCTTTTCTGTGGTTTGAGACGAGGCTCAAAAGAAAGCTGTCTCTGGTCTGGACCAATCCGTTTCAAGGACAATGGATATATTATCAGTGTGTTTTTTGTTCGCATTCTGACCACAAGTATTGTGGTTAATACAGACATGATTCCTTGTAAAAAGGTTTCAGTTTTGTTGCCAGAAAAAAAGGGGAAAAACCCTATTCTTATAAAATTATGTCTCTTAATTTGCGTATGTGTTATTAATGTGTTATCTTCGTGTATAATTTCAAGCTTGCATCTTTCCATTTGTCTTTGTGTACTTTTCAACTTTTGTTTCCATTTCCTTGTACATTTTTCTTACCAATATGTAATAGCAGGTAATATACACTGAGTAAAATGCAGCACTTTTGTACGATATTTCATATTCAAAGCTATATATTTAAGCTTTATACTTTTAATGTTTTTTCTTTCGTACTTGTAATAATTTTTGCTCGTGGACTGCTAGACAAAGCCTGGCCAGGCTCGGCAGTCGTAGTCCTTTATGAATCCTCCTCGTGAGACAGAATGATAGTGGTGCCATTTTTGTCACACAGGTGAAGAAGAACAGCTCTCCACCGCTTTCACTGTACGGCCAGCTCCTGTGGAGGGAATTCTTCTACACAGCCGCCACCAACAACCCCAAGTTCGACCGCATGGAAGGGAACCCCATCTGTGTCCAGATCCCCTGGGACCGCAACCCTGAGGCCCTTGCCAAGTGGGCGGAGGGCCGCACAGGCTACCCCTGGATAGATGCCATCATGACACAGTTACGGCAGGAGGGCTGGATCCATCACCTGGCACGGCACGCAGTCGCCTGCTTCCTGACGCGCGGGGACCTCTGGGTATCTTGGGAGGAGGGCATGAAGGTCAGTTGACTACTCATCCGCCAACCTACCTGCACACATGCACACATAAAGGCATAGCTCCTCCATGTAGCCTACCTCGACTCTAAGGGTAGGTGCTGTTAGTGAGCACCTACGAAGGCCAGTGGCACTGCGCACAATTGAGCGGTGTGGCCAGCATGACACCCCGACTGCTTTTGTCTCCCCAGTGCTGCTGTTACACACTGCACTAGGTACGTGTTTAAGACTAAGTAGGAATAGGGGAGGCCCAGAATTGGTTCTGATATCACTCGCCACTAATGTTACTCAGGTTGCTCGGTTCATAGTACAGTGCTGAAACCGCTACACCACTCCGGCACTCACGCCCAATATATGTGAGCACACAGCCCTGTACGCCTGCCCATCATTTGTTTCGTAGTCTTTCTTTTTGTATAAACTCCTATTGTATATTCCATAGTGGAGTGTTGGATCTGGCTTTCAATGGTCAACGTACTGCGCTATGAACTTGGCAACCTGCCAGTGTTCATAGAGGCCATGACGAATGTCATAATCCTGAATTTCCCCCCACCCCTGAGCAGCAAGGTGAAGTATTTTCAAACAACTCCTATTGGAGGAGGCCTTCGCCCAGGGATGCATTAACACAATGCAATGAATTATAATTATATTGCATGATTTGGCCAAGTGGCACAGTTGTTTTTTGCGCAACCGGCTGTTGGAAGGTTGGGAGTTAAAATCCTAATGGTGGGTTGACTCATTGGTTTGTGCCTTCACGGTCATTGAGTACTACTTGTTGGTAAGGTTAGCGTCTCGATAAGCTGTGACTTCTTGTCTCGTCTGTTAAAAAGATAAGTGGAAATCCTTTAAATCTAGAATTAAGGGGTTATCCTACGGGTATTATGCTCATCTTCCCTTTGTATTTCCACCACTGGTACTGCTATGTTAACAGGAGATGAGCACCATGCCACAGTTATTTGAGTCTCTCACCTTTTCTCACCGATTGTAATGTGGAGGCAAGGTGGAATAGTATATATTTACCGAACAATGATGATGATTGCTTGTGTTGCAGTCGAAACGTCGTGAGAATTTTTATTGTTTTATATTTCTATTCTTTTATTATTTCCCTTCTACGTGACTTCACCGAAAGAACCAAGAATATGAATCCCTGCAGTCACGAAAGGTTTAAATCAAAATGTTGACCCTGACATGTAGTTTAGAGGAGGCTCCCTGGGCAAGGAAAAAATCACACCCACTAGCTATTGCTTCAATACATTTAATAGATAACAAAATAGTATGGTTAGACTATAAATATACGTATTAATCACATTAGATTTTCAGCCGAACTTAAGATCGGAGGGTGGTCTGGTGATGTGGTGTCCAGTACCCTCTTAAAGTAAAAAAAAAAAGTCTGATTTTACACTCAAACATTATTGGGTGGCTTTCAACTTTTGATTGCAGCCCTGAGCCAGTGCTCTATTCGTATCGTGGCGATGAGTACAATAAGAATAGCCACTGTTGACTTCCAAAAAAGAGGTACTCATTGACCCCAGAGAGATAAAGGGCTGAGTCAACCTCAAACTCAGATTTGACCTTCGCAGCCTTTTGATTTTGAGCTTACCATTGCAACACCCCACCTGGATCTGTTTTTTTAAATGCTGTGCCTCATCACATTAGAGACCTATATACATTTTAGTCAATGATCGTTTTGAATTTTGCACCACCATACCCTCAGGACTCACACTATATTAGGACTGATCTGAACAAAGTTGTGATACACAATTAAAACTGGGAAGAGTATGAGATATGATGTGGGAGTATGGTGTAAGTGATTTGGAAGATGCTGCATTTATTTCAACTAAAAATGTGTTTCAAGGAACAAGTAGTGTGCAGCATCTACGTGTTTCTATGCTTTCTGGAAGACAGAAGCATTTTTTTTTACATGTGACCTACATCATCACGTCACTGCAATTTATTGTTGCTTTGAAAATATATATTACAAAAAATCAACTGTTTTAAATCTACGTCATGATTTTCAAATTTTTCAATCTTTGGCAAAATGTCCTGCAAATGTAATGGGGTCACAGAGATTTCTTCAAATGCAGACAGGAAATTTTCAAGAGGAATGAAAAAGCTTTCCTCGATTAAACTGCAATGGAAGCCGTAATTTTTGGCAAACCTTGAACATGTTGAAGAAAAGTCTTTCCATCAATGGACGGTCATTTCATATTTGAAAAACACATTTTCATTGTCACAAAAGAGAGCAGTTGAGATGACAAAATGTGCCTTTTGTGAGCGCTGTCCCGTTGGGAGTTGCGCACCTCCACGTGGCACTCTGTAACGTGTGCCCCTTCTCTTTGCAGGTATTTGAGGAACTGCTGCTGGATGCCGACTGGAGCGTGAATGCAGGCAGTTGGATGTGGCTGTCCTGCTCCTCCTTCTTTCAGCAATTCTTCCACTGCTACTGCCCAGTGGGATTTGGCCGACGCACCGATCCAAACGGGGACTACATACGGTAATGGCCATAGTACACTGGGGCACGCGATGTCGGCATTTGTCACGAGCGATGGTTTCACATTGTAAAAAAATTGTCATTTGCTCAAATATGGACAAATTCTATCAAAGATACAGAGCACATGCATGTACTTATGTTGAACTTATTTGACTACCCAAGGTTGTGTAATCTATCTGCCAATAAATGTTAATTCCACCTTTCAACATACTCAGTTTTCACTGACTGGACAGACTTGCGTCATTCTATGCATTGTCATAGGTAGTTGTGAGAGTTGTTCATCATCGCATTGCCAAGACTATGGTTGCCATGATGACTACACAGAGGCATGCCACCTAATACCACAACTCGTACTCATGCCCCAGAGCATCACTCCACTTGAATATGAAGTTGTTGGACCAATGCTGTTGTCACATGCCCTTTGTTCTCTTGTTAATTAACCCACCTGGCCAGAAAATGTCGGTGATGTTCTCAATAAAATTAAATGAAGCCATGACACCATCACTCATTCTGTAACACAGCTAAATCAGTTTTGCACCACGCTGCTTCCTGTCATCATTCATTGTTACCATCACCGTTGTCATCGACCATTAGGCTCATGGAAGTCTATTAACAAGTAGGTCGAGCGATGGATATAAATAAAATAATTACAATAGTTAAAGGTAATTGCTTTCCTTAATCATAAATCAAATGCTGGAGTAATTAACTTGTATTGCACTGAGCAGTTTATTTATTGCCTTTAATAAGCTGGATGACAGTGGGGCATGGTAATTAAGTTTTTGAATAATTAATCAACGGTGCTCACTTATTAAATATAAGCTGGATCTGAATGCCTCTTTGCTAATCTGTAGGCCAAACAAAATGCAAGACAGTATTTAGCATGTGCACAATAGCAACAACATTACTCTATCACCTGTTGTGAACATTACAATTTCCATAGCAAAGATGACGAGGAAGTCTCTGAATTAATTTGTGTTTTCGTATTTCACAGCCGCTACATTCCGCTGCTGCGAGCCTTCCCGGCCAAGTATATCTACGACCCGTGGAACGCTCCAGAGAGCGTACAGAAGACGGCACGCTGCATAATCGGCGTGGACTACCCCAAGCCCATGGCCAACCACGCCGAGGCCAGTCGCCTCAACATCGAGCGCATGAAGCAGATCTACCAGCACCTGTCACGCTACCGCGGCCTCTGTGAGCCGCGCACAAACCTTGCACGCACGAAAAGCACAACACCGTCGTGGCGTTGGGGTCAGATTACATGAGCAGTGGAAGTGATGATGATGATATCCATATTGATGCAATTGAATAACGAGTCGTCCTTTGTAGCTGATGGCCGTTCATCACAAACCAACTCCTTGGTGGTCCTGTTGAAAAGTCCTAAAAGTCCGATCCTTCGCACATATTTATTTTACAAACCGTCGTTTCACATTTATACAACTTTAACTTTGCAACTACAATATGTCAGGTGTGGACACACGCCTGTAATCCAGCGCATTTCCTCCACGAACACAGAAACGGCCACTTTAGACAAACTCTTTTGATTGTGGCAGCATTTTGGATAATATACCATAATAGCGGAGAAAAAATACAATCGGGATCTTTTCCCCAAAAAATACACTGGGGAAGAGCATACACATCACACACAGACCCAACGGACTTGCAAAGACTGTGGTGTTTAGTATTTAAACCCACAGCTTGGTAGACTAACTCCGGTATTGTAGCTATTATAATATGGCATTGTGTGTGTTTGTGTAGTAAAAGCTTTGTTTGAATGCTAGACACTCCTGAATGTTTATTGTATGTTATACGTTCAGCAATAGGTGTACTGTGAAGTGCCAGGGTGTGTAGTTCCTCTGCAGATTGGGGGATGATGTGACGCAGTTATCGCGAGATTGTGACGTTGTGTGCCGCGTGGGTTTCGTGAAATTGTTTTGGATTGGAGTGGGAAGATGCTGGGTCTCGCAGCATTTGCAGGTGCATCTGCCTGCGTGATCCACACTCCCTCTCCCGGTGTAGTTTTTTTTGGAAAATTGTTCCTAATAAATGTTTTTTTCTGCAATTTATGCTATCGTGTCCAATGTACTGCCTTGATCGAAGTAGCTGGTGCAATGTGGTGGTGTTACGTGTGTTAGTGTAATCAAAGTTCAGGGGCGACTAACACCCCAACAAATGTTTGGAGGCCAAGGTTGGTAGATAATTGATTTGTGATTTTCACGGTGGTCTGCAAATGGCAGTTTATCAAATGGGTTCAGGAACTCATTTGTGCTGGTCTTTTGAGTGTTATCCCCTCGTATGCATAGGTTTTCCCCTGGTTCTCCGGTTTCCGCTCGCATGCAAAAGTCACAAAAAAATCATTTTCCAAACGTGATGTTGCCAGACCCTTCTGCAAAAGGTTTTTTGAGACTCTGTAAGGTTTAACTAGTTCAATGATAATGCAAGTGTAGTAAAGCATGATGTTTACTACAATTTGTACGTAGGTATACTTTTAACCGAGGCTGCTGGTGCGAATGAATACATTGCTGTTTTTAAGGTCTGCTGGCGTCTGTGCCCTCCAACGGCAATGGTGGGATGTCCTGCTATGGCCAGGGTGATGGCCACCCCAGACCCAGCAGCACTGCAGGTACGTGCGAGCCGTCTGTCATAATATCGTTACTTTTGAACATGGGTGGAAAAAACCCGATTTTTCCAGAGGCAGGCATCGGGTTTTTTCTTTAATACAATTAAACCCGATTTCGGGGAATTAAAACCTGGTTTAATGAATACGAAACTCTGATCCAAGGCTTAGGCTGCTTCCTCGTCGGTGCTGCTATCGTACTCGGGGGGCCGTCGGGCACGGGGTAGTCGTAGAATGCGGCGGGCAGGTTGGTCTTGATGAACACGAGCTTCTCCACAATCGTGGGCGCCAGTGAGTTCCTTAGCTTGGAATGGATGAAGCCCATCGTTGAGAAGTTGGTGAAGTGCGGTTCTGCAATTAGAACCAATTAAACCGGATTTCTCCCAATCTCAAAGTCTCCGCACACGACGACCCGACGGCATGTCGGTTGTTCTGGTTCAACCATATAGTGATTCCGTTCAAGTGGTTAGGTAGTTAGGAAACGGGTGGCACCTTACGTAGTTAACCCGTAATGTACATAGTTGCCCGGAATGTACATTGTTAACCTTGGAATGTTGAGCAGTGTTAGTTGTGTTGTTAGTAAATAAACGTGTTACCTCCAAGTCTTGGTGTGCGCCTGATTAGAACCCACGACACTTAAACAGATGGCTCACAACTACATTTCTCTTGTTTGAACTGAATTATGGAATCGAATCATGAGTACGTTTGCGATTCGTACTCGTATTTATAATACGAGGTTTATCACAAAAACACTTTTTTTTGCATACCTGTAAACCCCTTATCAGTGCCTTATAAATATCAATGTTCATCTTACAAAGTCCCATCACAAGGGAGAAACACAAACAAATAGTCAACATTTTTACCTGTATTGAAACGGCTGTACGCCGTATGGACCTAAAAAAAACTAAATTTCCCTGTACAAGAATACGGGTAAAACATATGGGTTGACAGGTATGTTTTGCATTAAAGGGCTATGTTGTTACTGCGTGTGATCCACATTGAATACAATGATTAATTTTGTGTCGGGTAGATTCAATTGAGTATTAAGACCACATAGGGGGTTAATTTATTTCAAAATTGACCACTGCCATTTGTTTACACGTTTATATAGTCTGCTTTCATATCGTTGAGTACACATAAGATCGACATTAAACATCTGGCGGTCATTTTCATCACCACTTAGCTGCTCGTATTGTGTTGTGGGCCACAGGATTTGGCACATCGGATGGAAGTGCAGGTGGGAACGGTGGAGATGATGGAGCCACTTGCTCCTACCAAAAGGACCAACAGCCGTGCGCAAGTGGCTCACTGCGACAGCAACGTGAGTGATACCGATTATTTCCACGCTCCTCTCTCCCTCGACATTAATGGACAGATTTTGATTTAAAGCTTTCGTGACTGCAGGGATTCATATTCTTAGTTCTTTCGGTAGAGTCATGTAGAAGGGGAAAAAAAATGATTGCTGTGGATTTCACATCTGATGATGATTGCTTGCGTTGCAGTCGAAACGTCGTGAGAATTTTTATTGTTTTATATTTGTTTTATTTTATTTTATTATTTCCCTTCTACGTGACTTTACCGAAAGAACCAAGAATATTAATGGACGGTTTGTCCAGCTGATGGATCAGTTCATAACAAAATTTGGCATGGCGTTCACATATTTCCTACTTGGCATTCAACAATTCACCCTCTCCTCCCCACCATCTGGAGTTATGATTGATGACTTTTTTTTTAAAGCTTTTTTCTCTTGAGTACTTTATATTTTGTACTGCTTGTACAATACTGTCAATTTCATGTGTATGATCCGTCTTGTCTGTACTGCCTCTTGTTTTGTTTCAATCTTTCTAACCATTAGCCTAGAGCAAGGTTTGCTACGAATTTTGTAACGCGTGTGCGCGCGCGCGTAGGAGAGATTGCATAACATCCCGTAACCCGCATGCGATCGTACGTTTCGTCCTTCGCGTGCAGCGAGAGAAATGGCGGCGCCAGCTGTTGTAGGCAGCCCGGGTGCGATGGACCCCCTGGGGGTGCTGAAACGGGACCGTCTGTGCCGCATGGAGCCCGGCGAAGACCCTCCTCGCAAGAAAATCCCAAAGCACCGTTCGAGCGAGAGCATGGCGGTACGCAAGCACAACTCCCACCCATTGTTCATTTAGTCAGCATTATTTATTTTCGTCTTAGTCTCGTCAACAACCCGTGTTGTTTAAGTCAAGTCCTAGTCGGTGGGTTTCGTTCAAGTAATTCTCTTAGTTCTGTGCAGTCAAAAATGTAGTCCACTCTTAGTTCTTCAGTGTTGTTAGAGGTGTACAATATCCTCACCATGTTATTAGGTTAACAATAAAACAGTTTGAAAAATGATTCCGTCACTAAATTTGTAGCAAAATTGTAATACTGCTCCCACCGCCACCCATTTAGTTTCATATTCTTAGGTTTTTTCGGTAAAGTCACGTAGGTAAAACATCAAAATTAATAAAAATAAAATAAAATAAAGATCACGACGTTTCGGAGGCAACACAAGTCTCCGTCATCAGGTGGGACCGTCACAGCCAGATTAGCTGCATCAAGTGAGGCAATGATTCAAGATGTAATCCCTTAAAAGCGAATTGAGGGGGGAGGAGAGGGGGGGAGCTCATCAGAATGTGGTAGCCAATGAATGGAACGTATCAGGAGGGAGGGGGGCGGAGCCAAAAGGGTGGGCGACGGCGTGGAAGCGATTGTGCGCAGGCGACAAACTGCTGCACACGCCAACGCATTGGACAGAGAGGGGGGAGGGGGAGGCCTGATACACATGATAGAAAGGAACGAAAATGCCCATGTTTATACCAATACTGGCTGAACAATGAAGAGATTACTGTTAAACACTGGGGATGTTAACACTCGGTAAAGTAAAATAGTGCCTGTCAGATAAGATGGTCCAAAAAAGTGTAATTAAGTCTTTTTTGCGTGGTTAATAACATCTTTCCAATGATTACTAAGTTTGTACCCATCATCACGGTTGAAAACACAGACATAATTTCAACCGTGATGATGGGTACAAACTTAGTAATCATTGGAAAGATGTTATTAACCACGCAAAAAAGACTTAATTACACTTTTTTGGACCATCTTATCTGACAGGCACTATTTTACTTTACCGAGTGTTAACATCCCCAGTGTTTAACAGTACTCTCTTCATTGTTCAGCCAGCATTGGTATAAACATGGGCATTTTCGTTCCTTTCTATCATGTGTATCAGGCCTCCCCCTCCCCCCTCTGTCCAATGCGTTGGCGTGTGCAGCAGTTTGTCGCCTGCGCACAATCGCTTCCACGCCGTCGCCCACCCTTTTGGCCCCGCCCCCCTCCCTCCCGATACGTTCCATTCATTGGCTACCACATTCTGATGAGCTCCCCCCCCCTCTCCTCCCCCCTCAACTAGCTTTTAAGGGATTACATCTTGAATCATTGCCTCACTTGATGCAGCTAATCTGGCTGTGACGGTCCCACCTGATGACGGAGACTTGTGTTGCCTCCGAAACGATGTGATCTTTATTTTATTTTTATTAATTTTGATGTTTTACCTACGTGACTTTACCGAAAAAACCTAAGAATATGAATCCTTGCAGTCACGAAAGCTTCAAATCTAGAACCATTTTAGTTTGTTGTCCTTTCCCCCCACACCGTTGGCTACGTATAGTGGTGCGAATGAAGTTCAATATACATTCACCCTACTTCCTTCCAACCAATGAGAGCCCTGATCTTTTGACACCTTCTGCCTACTTTGACTACATCACCTGAAATGCACCTCACAAGCTAAGCAGGTGTCACAAAAACCCTCCCTTGCCTATACAGCGTGGGGAGGCCCTAATCCAGCATGGTATTGACAAATTAGCAGTAGATTTACATTACTTCCGCATTAACAAACATAGACCGTTTTACCATGTGGCAGTCTCAGTGTTGCTGCTAAATTGAAATCCAGGCTGAAAAGTTGCAGATATGGAGAACAAAAAAATCACTCGTGTACTGTATTATCTACGCTTTGGACAGTTTGAAAACGTTTAGGTGATTTGTGCTTTTTTAATTCCGTATATTTTTTGCATTCTGATAATCTTAAGCATAATCATTAAATGGTTGTATTTTGTGTATGATAATCTGTTAACATAAAGTGATTAACTGAGGATATTTAAAAAATCAGCTACATATATACTTAGCCCTTGTTGTTAATGTATGAAAAGTCCTTTATGCCAATGTTTATCTTGTTTTAGGGTAACTGAACATCAACTGTTTGACGCTTATAGAAATGTAACAGAAAGCTTATCGTGGGATGCAAAAGAATTCCACAGAAGATAAACCCTCCAATCATCAGTTAACATTGAAGCTCAAGTGAACATGAGTTGAAGTGTATAAAAGCGCATCTGGATTTCTTACGACACTACCAACAGTGTCACTTTACAGAGGAAGCTTGCAGGTCAAAGCGACTCGTCACGTGTCAACGTGTCTAAGGAGGTGTTGAAATTTTGTAACCCGTATGTTAAATGATCAGCACAAAAAAACAACTACCATCCGTGCAAGCTGGTGTTTGTGAACCTATAAGCACCGAAAAAGAGAGAAAAAAAAGAAAAACAATCTGGAGATACAGAATCCACGAGGCACAGTTCAGAAACTGTTTGTCTTGAACTGGGACTACAATCACTGGAAACTTTGAACAACTTTCAAAAAGCCTTCAGCATCGTGTATCTGCTAACAGTATTCTTTTTGTAAAACTCTGAAAATATGAACCCTGTATATAACCTTTTCAGTCGAACACCTTACAGAGCATATGACATGTAACTCGTGAGTTTTTTTTGCACAACCCCCAGGTATCTGCGCTGTTAAGTGGTTGCTTTTGCATAGCCATAACAATGTGTTTCGTCTTGCCCAGCTTGGCAACTATTCAATACTTCACTAACTGTGGCCCCTGTATGCTGTAAGTCAGGCAAGGGCCTCCTGACGATATCTCACCATATTGACGCGAGTGAACGTTATCTTCATGTATACTGTGTCAACAACAACTAAAGAAAGACCGAAAGAAAGTTAATGAACTCAACAGCAGCATCTCCACTGTTATACATTTTTTAATATTTTAACACAATTGAGTTTCAGTCATCCACTTTGTCAGCATGGAAGGTTGGTGCTGGGAGGTAGAAACATAGTGACCGCTATTTGTAAAAGTGTGTACCATTCAAAATCCCTGTCATGAATGTCGGTGAAGATTTGAGATTTTTGTTATCTATTTGATGCTACAATGCTGCAGTCACTTTGAGAAATATTTTTTCTAAATATTAATATTTTATATTTTCTTTAACATTTTGATGTGTTGCCTTTAAAATGCGTAGTGAAATATCATTCCTGTAAGAGCTGCATATGCGAAGTGCTTTTTTGTCGAAGTATCCACCGGTAGAAACACGTGATCTAATTATCAATAAAATATCAAATCCGTCAAGAATTTTCTCTTGTGTCCAATTGGTAAATTATCACCCACCTTCCCCCTTCATCAGCACATTGTCAGTCCCTAGGACATGCGTGCTTATTGACTTCTCTGCTAGGAATTGAAATGTTACTTGTGCGATTACATTCGTTCGTACCATCGCCGTCTTAGGAACCATTGGAAAAAGGAGAGGTTCTTGCGAGTGTTTTTTTCCCAGTCGCGTCACTGTTAATACTGCCTTGTCAACTTTGTTAGGACATCTGAGAAGTGTGGACGATGAATGTGAGGAACCGTAAACCAGCGTTTGCACCCTCGTTGTACAGGACTCGTATTTGTGCGCTTATAAAAGAATACAGTACAATACTCGTCGTTACCACATTGATAAGAGCAGTGTTGTATAGTCAGGGATTGAGCAATATTATTGTTTCCGTGTTATTTATTATATTTATTATTATAATAACGACATTGATATATCGGAATGGGAAATGTATTGCTCCTTAAGTGTTTATACACGAGTCATAATGCATGTGGGAAAACAAAAATGTCTTCACAACAATCATCTTTCCATGATATATTGACATTTTGACTTAACTTTCATGACTGCAGGAATTCATATTCTTGGTTCTTTCGGTAAAGTCACGTAGGTAGAAAAATAAAATTAAAAATAATATAAGCAAAAAAATCACGACGTTTCGATCGCAACACAAGCGGTCTTCATAAGGCGGAGAGAAGAGATGAAGATCGCTTGTGTTGCGATCGAAACGTCGTGGGTTTATTGCTTATATTATTTTAAATTTTATTTACATTTTCTATCTATGTGGCTTACCGAAAGAACCAAGAATATATATTGACAGTCGCGTGCAACAGGCATCCTACGACACTACAAAAGTTACGTAAAAATACTTAGCAAATTCTTGTTGCTAATTTTGTTGCTAATTTCACATCTAGAAAAATGCCTATTTAACTTTTCCTTAAAAATTGACATACTTTAAATTTACTTTTATACATACTATTTTTCGTTTAATGGCGGTGTTTTCAGCAGTAGTCGACACATTTCGTTCAAGAGTTGAGAAAAGTTCAGAGGGCTGCTTCAGGAAACCACGCGCTTGGCATAATTACGCAGCCCTAGTTCTGCACTGTGCTGCTTTTCTTCATGAAATGTGAGGTCATGTTAAACAGTTATTATGGATTTGTAATATTTTTTGTGCAGTTTATCCAAATTTGTACACTCATTTACAGAAGGGCTAAAATGTGTGTCCAAATTATAAAAGTTTGCAGAATATCTGCAAATAATAATACTGCATATTCTGGACAATTTATAATGACAATTTTCCACGCAGGTTTATATTACACCAATACATCTGTGATAACATTAACGTTGGATACCAAAGGGTGGAATGTAATTTTGTCTGCAGATTTAATGCATATTAGGAAATTACCTACAGCGTTTTCATGAAAAAAAACCTGATTCTCGAACTCCAAATGGTTCCCAATGACGAGAGCAATTAATGACTTATTTTTGGAAAGAGCTGCAGGTCTGCAATATTAGTACGGGTAGGGGGGGGCCTCTTCAGTCTTTCACGGTTTTCTGCTTGGCTGTCTATTTGCCGTTTCCCTCCGCGGTTGTCTCTTGCCCATAGTGCGATTCATGCAATGTTCACGTGCTTTTTATGTGTGGGCTCTTGTGTATCTCACACACGGCAGGCCTTGGTCAAGTGTACAGGGAATAATGATGATGACTGCTATACCCCAGCAGACCTGAAGGGTTTATTGAAAATACTATTCCAGTGGATCCCAACATCCATTGAGGTTTTTTTTACCATACCAAGAATTATCATCATTCCCAGACTGAGGAATGGATGCTTACATTAGGGTGGTGAAATATATTGAGAATACTTTGTAACGTGTACCGACAATGTATTATTTTCTATGAACCCAAATGGCACTTATTCTGTTGTATGACGAACATGCTATATTGGCAGTTTTAAGTAAGCCATATAGTTTTCTTGTTGACACTTAAACAAGTTTGTGTTCTCGTTTGTGTATTTTGCTTTGGGTAAAAAAAAAAAAACTGAATTGCAGCTTGTACTGAACTGTAAAGGTGAGATTCCTCCTAAGTATACATTTTATTTTTGTCCGTGTACATCGGTTACAGAATGGATAATGTATACATTTGCTCACACTGCATTCTAATTACAATCTGCTGTATCTGGCGTGACAACGTGACACGAAGTGGACAGACCTTGGGATTTGCATTGGCAGTTAATGGCTGCAGCATGTGCACTACGACATGCTGGTCGTTTCTTGTGATGTAAGCACTTTACTTGGGCTTTGTACTTAAAACGCTGTACTGGGGGTAGGGGGGGTCAGGAACGAGTGTTCGACTGCTCCATCAGTCCCCCTGTATTGTTGAATCGGGCGAAAACTGGGGGACTTATAACATATTTTCTACCATTTTCCATACTCTTGATTCAAATAAAAAAAACGCTACGTAATGCATAGCTTACATTTTTTTCTGGATAAAATAGTTGTATAGTTGTACAGATTTTGTGAAAAACTTTTGAGAAACCAAGGAATGTAAACCTAGTTTTCTATATCGCATACATATTGTAGTACAAAGTTTGTTTAATTTTGCTATTACATATTTTTAATTAAAACTTGTTTAAACGTAATTATATTAGAGCTGACAGAGCACGATCCAAGTGATGACCTTGTGTAAATGCGGGATGTATCGTTCCTGGCCACTGGAGCTTTTTATTCGTATGCGTTTGACACCATACGTGATGTAACCCTGTAATTAGCCTCTCTCTACATATGCTCAACAGGGGTCTCTGCTCGTGGCTTGGATATTCGTTCAACGTTCGGTAAATAAACATTGCAGTCATGGTTATTTTGTACCACTTTGTCAGTTATTGATGTGAAACTGGGTTTTTTTTAAACGTTTTTTTAACACACTTGGCAATGCTACAGCAGCATTACAAATGTGAGTATTTGCTTTGCAGACCTGTGGGCGATTATAATTACAAATGCAGCAGCTGAAATTAAAGTTACATTATGAGTTTATGAATTTCACTTCGACAAACTTAATTCATTCCAGGTGCGGTGCAATCAATTGAACATGACAAGCTGATAAACTGTTCAGGCTCAAATGGGGTTATTCCGATTGCCGTTCATTTGCAATTTAGATTCATGAAACATCTAAATGTGACCTGATGAAAATGTGCTACATGAACAGTGAACAATTGTCAGTGGTCCTGTTATTAGCAGATACAATTGTTGAACCTGGCCTTGGGACAAGGTCAGAACGTCAACAGCATGAATGCTGGGGGGGGGGGGATATTCACACCAATGTTGCAGCAGAGTGACCTCTGGGGGCTTTGATAGAAAGCCTTGGTTGCTGGGAGCAGCTCGAGTGTGGAGGAAAGTATAGCGAGATTATAGGGGAGAGTTATGCAGGGTCAAGTCCTTAAGAGGCCCTTGAAGATGGTGAGCGCGATTTTGAAATTGATCTTGGATTGTGAGCCGCTGGGAGGTTAGTGGAGTATCATGGCAATGTGGTCTCATTTACAGGTACGGGTGAGAAGTCTTAAGTGGCATTTCGATCATCTGGAGTTGAGACGAGAGGGATAAGGGGAGCCTGGAGGGAATTATAACAGTCGAGCAGGGAAGTGATGAAGGCATGGATGAGAGCCTTCGCAGCAGTTGATGGTAAGGAAATGGATGCGCAGTAAATGGAGTGCAGATGAAGGTGCAAGGCCTTGCTGAGTCGAGATGTTGGAAGAGAATGAGAGTTTGCTATCAATGAACACTTACTTTGAGGTATCCGATACACTGCAATCTATGCTGTGGACTTTTTGCGGATGAGTACTTATATTTTGACAACATTCATGCAGGCAGAGGGGCATTATTTGAAATGGTGCACGTTTATTGACAACTACTTAGCATAGATGTTTGAGCACTTGTATTGTTTCAGTGTTATCGTTGGGTCAGGTTTGGCCTCATTTGACAGCAAATGAAATACAATACTGCATTGCAAAAATGCCTGGAAATGTCTGTTGAACCTTTATGGCATTTGTAACATTGATACATTCATACTCTTTGGTTCTTTCGGTAAAGTCACGTACTTAGAAATAAACTAACTACGTGACTTTACCGAAAGAACCAAAGAGTATGGATTCCTGCAGTCGCAAAAGCTTCAAATCAAGATTGATAAATTCATTATTGCAAGCATCGGAAACGATTGAAGAAGGTTGTGGACATCTTTACTACAACCATGGTCAACAAGATAATCAGATATAGGTTTTGGCTCCGAAAGCAATTCACACTGGTTGCCATACATGGGCAATTCTGCCAATACACATGGTGTTGCGATGTTCCAGATTGTACCTTGACTGGTTCTGTTTTAATACATCATTCCACGAACTCTTATGGTTTACGGTGCGTGTGTATATATATTATTATTTCATCAGTAAATATTGTCTAATAAGCAAAGGGCTGGTGCTACCCTGATGTCACACCCAGCCGGTTGCATGCAGGCTTTGTCATGCGTTGTTTTTCTGTTATATGGAATTAGGATACAGTAAAACCTTGGATTGCGAGCAAAATTCGTTCCGGAAACGTGTTTGTAATCCAAAGCACTCGTATACCAGTTGTGATCACGTGACGCTCGGCAGACAAAGCGTACACACGTACTACTCGTTTTGCAAGACCTCGCTCGTTTATCAAATTAATAATTATTTTAAAATTTTGCTCGTCTTGCAAAACACTCGCAGACCAAGGTTTTACTGTAGATTGATTAGTCTCATGAGTTAAACTTCACTCTTTTCATTAGCAATCCCTTATAAATCGTGTAAATATACTCTATGTCCCTTCCATAGAGTTCCAAAATCTAGTTTGTGTTAATCTTCATATTGTTTCAAACAAATTTAAATTAATAACATTATCTACATTCATAATGCTTGCCATTGTTTCAATCTGTATCCCTTTTGTTAAAATATAAAAAAAAACATGTTTTTAAATTAATAAACATAACTCTTAAATTTAGATATATTATATGGAAACAATCACTCCTGCAAATCCCTTACAATCCCACCCTCTTGGACAAACGTGAGAGATGCCTCCAATGAACAAAGGCCAAAAACAATTAAATAACAGTTGTACAAGACAATCCTACACCAACTTAACAAACGCCAGTATAAGTTAATCATCGCTTCAACTATATGCCGAATGCGGGGTGTAACGATATTAAAGACAAAACACAAAAGCAGCAGGGTGCCTCACTGCAAACTCGCTGTCCTTCAGTATGAGATTAGCAGTAGCGCCGTCGGTCTGTCCTCAGACCCGCCTCGGGATCTCCGCGTTGCAGGCAGTAATGGGGGTGGCTGCGGGGGATGCGGCGGCGGCGGCGGCGGCGAAGATGATGGCAGCAGCGGTGGCCCCAGATCCTGATCACTCCTTCGAGGAAGAAGGACCTGTGCCCGTGCTGCCTTCGCCGTGATGAACCCTGCGCAGCACGTCCGAGTAGACGGGGGCGAAGACGGCACGGTTGAAGGCCATGAGGCGCGCGAACGTGGCCTGCAGCGGCTCCAGCTCGGCCCGGATCGGGGACAGACCCCCTGGGAGGGGCTGGGGCCCCCGCTGAGGGCTGTTCACCACCAGGGCCCCGAGCATGACTGCTCGCACCCGCGACTCTAATCACAGAAACAGACAGAACAGCTTTTGTTTCACTGTGTTTTTTTTCGGACTTAGTTATCAAATCACGTCCGCATGGTAAGAACACAACTTTTTTTAGCTGCAGGATCAACAACAAGAGTAAGGCTTGCCAGACAGGGTTTGTGTGAAGCCGTCTAGCAATGGCCAGTTTGGAGTTTGAGCTCTTAATTATTTTAAATCGCTGGCTCACTGTGTGGTCGAGTGTCCGTAATTCTGTGTGTGTGTGCGCACACTGCGTGTGCATACCAATGAGCTTGATGACGGCATTTTCCTCGGAGTTCAAGCTGCAAATCTGCCCGATGAGGAAGCTCTCTGCTTCGGAGGACAGGGGCGGAAAGCCGTGTTCACTCAAGCAGCTCTGCAGCTCCCGCGCCATTTGCTCGCTCACCGATACCAGGGTGTCGCCGATGCCTGGTGACCTGCCCGGCGCCCGTGACGATAGGTTACGGTGAGAACAAAAACATAGCCAATTTAGTCGTCGCGTGAATTCACAATCCCTTCTGATTAAAAAGGCGTCTCGATTCCAACATCATCAATCTGCTATTTTGTTTTTTAAAGGTGGGATTTTCACTCAGGAAAGAGGGACATCAGAAAAGCAGTCAGGAAAAATTCATTATTTCGTAGGTTTTGTTAAAGCCCTCTAGCAATTCTGTACAAAGCAAGCAGCATGATATGGTGAATTGTGGTCGGCCCGACATCACAGAGTCGAAACAAAAAAAACCCTGTGCATGTTGTCTGAGCAATGGAGGATGGCATGGCAACAAAAAGGAGTGGAACTTCCACATTCAAATCGCTACCTCCCATTTTCCTCCAAAAACACGTTTCCAGCCGAGTGGCTTTCCCCTGCCCTTCCGCATACCTTCTTGTCTTCCGCACCTCCGATTAGCGCGATTGGCAACGTACGGTGCGAAAGAAGTTCAACATATGTAAATACACCGGCACCACGACCCCAGCACCCTTGGGGGGCTGCCCCTCGCCTCACCTGATGTGCTTTCCCTCGAGCAAGGCCACAGCAGTGGACTTGAGCCGCCCGGCAAAGGCCGAGAGGCCCGAGACGGCGGTGCCGCCGGCGCCCACGGTGACGAGCAGCACGGCGGCCAGCAGCTCCAGTCCCCAGAGGCGCAGCTGCATGTCCTCCAGCCGCGCCTGGTCCATGAGCACCGTCTGTACGCGGAGAATGCACCCGCACCGCTGGTCGCTATCACTCCGTGCGTTCGTTAGGGTGGAAGGTGGCTGCATTGGGCTTCAGGCTACGGGAGGTGACGGAGGGATCGCTGCGATTTCCAGTCTTGAGTTGGGCTCCTAGGCCGAGGCAATTTGGCCGAATCTTGAAAAAAACACCACACTGCCTCCATAGGACATTGTGGAACAGACTTGAGCCCCATAGTGTGCGAGTTAACATCTCGCCAGGTTTGTTGTCGAACAGCTCAAACATCATCTCAAAAGCCTCCATCACCTACCCCTGGCACGACACCCCCTCCAGACCACGAGAGATCGATCTGCGTCCTCTAAAGCTCACCTCGGGGAAGGACCTGCTGCTGTGGTCCCAACGAAGAAGCGTTGCGTACGCGTGGTTCAGCACGGCGATCGCACTGGGAGGGGCCGGGGTCGTGATCGCCTCCTGGCCTGGCACAGCCGACGTTGCCCCCCTTTCGCCTGTGGTGGCGGCGGTGGCGGCGGTGGCGGCGGTGGTGGCGGCTGCCACTGTTTTCTCGCTGCCCACACCCCTGAGTTCTTGTGCGGCCTCCGTTAGCCACCGAGTGGTAAATTCCAGCGCGTCTGCTTGCAGTCGCGCAGGAATATAACACGCACACAGTTCAAGTGTACTGCCGCGCGCGTGTGCACGCTTGTTGCTGTGTGTGTGCGTGCGTGCGACCGCGTGGTGGGGCAGTGCGCAGAGTGGTGGCGCAGTGGATTGCACGCCAGGCTATGAAACCGGCGGTCTTCGTTATATTCCCGCTCACGACTAACATTGGTGGTTGATATCTAAACCCCCTCATCACCAACCCGCATTGACCAGGGTGGCGAAGTACGATCAAATAAAGCCCACAACAATCCACATGCCGTGGTGAGGCCCTCGTCCAGTATTGGATCGACAAAGCGCTAAAGGTTTCCTTTTGAGTGATGCGTTTTACCCCCTGCGGTCTATAAGACTAAACGGGAATATTTATTGCTGTCACCTGTCATTAAAGGACTGTGCATGTGATCGTACTGGGCTGCTTGTTGAGGAACTCCTGGAACTTCTTGCGCTCGTACTCGATGGCCTGCTCCTGCAAGTGAGGCCGCATGCTCTGGATGGTGAAGTTGGCCATGTCCATCTTCATCAGCTCCAGCACCTGGAATATCTCCCTGGAAGCCCGACCCGTTGTGCAGAATGGTGTGAGCTTGCCATGCAGTTGCAACATAAGTGCTATTTCACAAAAAGTGTTTGATTATGTAACGTTTCCTGCATCTAACCTAGACTGTTTATACCGAGCTGCCGAGTATACCTTGTGAGGTTGTTAAATAAGAGCAACGGCTTTAAGAAGTAACAGCAAGTTGAGCGGTTGTAGTTTGTCTCTTAGAAGTCAATGTGATCTCACCGTGATGTCGCTTCCAAGCATTTTATTTCAACATCAATCCGAGCGCTAGGGCAGCACCCTTGACTGTAACTTTTCAGTTCAATTTACCTCACGAGCAAAGCATTAAACTGACCTCTCAAAGCCCAAGACACAGCCTAAGCAACAAATCTCTTTTTATGGATAAAGTCTTCCTTTTTAGTAAGGCAGCTTTACGAACAACCATTCTTTGGTAAAAACTCGCTTCCATTCGCCCCGCACGCTTTTCACCGTACATCTGACCACCCTCCCGCCCCCCGACCTGAACAGCGGCACGACCCCGGAGGCGGTGCGGAGGCGTGCGATGTCGTCGTCGCGCGCGGGTGCACACAGCGATCCCATCGTGTCGAGGATGAAGGTGGCGAGGCGCGCGAAGTCGAGCGCCCCGTTCTGCGCCTCCTGTGCGATCAGCTGCAGGTCCAGTGCCTCCTCGATCACGGACCGCAACCGCGTGTGCCCCGGCAGCAGGAGCAGCAGCAGCGACTGCGATCGCAGCAGGGAAAGGTTGGCCGTAGAGCCGAGCGATCCGGTTATTATGAGTTATCTCAATTGATTTATCAGTTTGATTACGCGACCGATTGGTGACATCATCGGCATCATCAGCCACATCATGCTGGGATTGGCTTATAGATGGCTTTGAAAGTGGTTGTGAGTTCTAAAGAGCCCAGTAATCAACCAAAAGTAGTTGGATACTATTCTTATTCGATTGAGCGACTTAAATGACGAATCGTCTCAGCTCTATTTGCGTACTTGTCACTCTCTGCACGTTTACCAGGAGGTGTTATGAAATGTGTTTTTCACAGCCAACTATCAATTCATCGTTGGATCAGCCACCCCCCTCCCCCCCCCACGCTTTACCGAACCATGGCAGCTGTTGGACCACACTTCACCACATTGATCAATGCGGGTTGGTGAACGGGGGCTCTCCCAAGACTTGTTCAGATATCACTCGCCACTGATGTTAGCCTTGGCCGAGAATGGAACTCGGGATGCCGGGTTCGACAGGTTTTTTTTGTCTGCTGAATTTAATATTGCTTGCCATTATTAACTATTACCCATTATTTATATTTTATAGGAGAGTGTTATTTTTCGAATCTCTCTTGCAATAGAGATCTTGTTACTTTCCTTCACACTATCACCACCAAGCCTTCGTTTTTTCATAACTATGCTGAAGTATTGGGAACCTTTAGAGTAATTTACGTTTGCATTCATTTCCCAAATTACTTGAATTTAAGCCGAACAGGAAAGTATTTATTAGCATACCTGAAGGTCATACAGAGAAAGAAAGATAATTGATGACATCATCGTCATCATCTCTCCCTTGCAACCGCCGTAGTGGCTACCTCCTTGATCTCTCCGAGGAGCACGATGGCATGGTTGTAAGTCGGGGGATCCTCATCCAGCTGGGTCTGCAGGCAATCCCAGAAAGCTTTGCGTACGATGTCGGACACATGTTTCTCGAGGCTGTGGAAACCGCAGGAGGGTGGGTCACAAAGGCATCCTTGGGGGGGGAAGGGGGGCGGCCGGAAAACGTTGTCAACTCACAGACTTGCGTCAACGCAACCCCAAGAACAAACTGGTATTTCTCTTCGAGATTACCAAAGTAACGTTGGTCCATGGTGGTGGTCTTGTCCTTCTTGTTCATTGTGTGCATTAAAATTGCTGTACCAACGGTAATCCCTATTGAAGTATGGTGCCCTGTATAGGCATGCATTTAAACAATGTATTATTTGACGATTCGCTTCCACGCAGCACTAAGTCGGTAGCTATCCGAACAGGTCAAATTGTATTTATTTATTTAAATTTCGATACATTCTCTAATTAGACTTGGCCAGTAGCAGCTAGTTTTGCACAGAACTTCAACATTATCAAAATCAATTGAGTGTCCGTGTTCTGCTACTGCTGACACTATACGTTGCGCCTGGCACGGCTGTCTGGCTTTACCACCTGAATGTGAAATTGTCGTTGTTGCTCTACATCTACATCAGCAGCCATACGAAAGAAGTAGTGGGCAGAGGAATCCACACAATAACTCAAGTCTTTGTTTGCGTTGCGTCTATCTTTACACGGCGCGTGTATGTACGCGTGTATGTTGAGCTTCTCTCGCACCGTACGTAGCCAACCGTGCTAATCGGAGGCGGGGTGGCCCGCCGTGCCGTACCTGTGCTCGGGCGGAGGCTTCTTCTGCAGCTGGAAGTCGCCGTTGAGCACGATCTCGTGAGCCAGCGCCATGTTGGTCATGCTGTGGGCCGTCTCCATCAGCTCGTCCACCGACACCAGCCGGGGCGGGCTCGACGCTGTGGCCGTGCACACACATGCACGCGCGTGTGCGCAAGCGAAGATGCGTCATTGCGTGCGTCAGCAATTGCGGTGCCAAGCGCGAGCAGTGAAGGACACCAGCATTGCTTTTGGCGTGCCAGGCTGATGACTAGTTTGGCTCCACGATATAGTCATGGTTTTTCAGGTAATGTACAATCAATGTGCTTGTATAAGTAGTAATCACTCTCAGGAAGACTTAAAGGTTTTTTTTTGGCGATGTAGAACACTGCGTCTGTGAACATGGAAAGAATGAGATTTTAAACTATGGCCCTTTAGTCAATCCACTGTTGGATGAGGGCACTCCCGACACCACGCCGGTTGTTATTTCACCAAACTTTACCATGCGGGTTAGGGGGGGGATAGACAGGGGAGCACAGAAAGTAGATTTGAAAAATGTATTGTGCTGGACTGCCATCCGCTGTTCACCACACAGCCTCGCAGCTGCCTATTACAACCGTGCGTGGTGGTCACCCATCCAAGCACAATCCAGACTCAATCCTGCTTAGCTACTGAGCGCTAATGAGATCAGGCATTTTCCAGATGATTATTTGACCGAGTGGATGTAATGCCCAGGATTAAATCGGTCAACGGGTTCAAATGAAGCACCATGTGAGATTGGCAGCTTCATTAATTATTAAAATAAACTAGTACTCTATTTTAACAAGCTAATGTTTAAATGTGGGTCGATTAACTCTGCTGCAAGACACCAGGGTTATATTTAACAAAGGCCTGTTTGTTTTCTATAATGGTTTACACTTCAACGACAACACTTACTGTCAATGGTGCCACCGTTCCGCAATGGCTCGCTTTGCGACACCGTTGTCATTCAGTTTGCACAGCACCGTCGAGCTCGCACGTGGCCATTCACCCACAAGTGCAACATTATCGATCTCGTGCATTATCCGTATCGATTACGTGTACTCTCAGCGGAAGCCGATATTAATTTCACCATTTCCATGAATTCCCTTCATTTGCAAAACTTTTAGACTAACGATCACTCCTTCAGCCAATTCAATTTTTTCCTACGGCTTCATCTCCACCGAGCTGACCCCACCGAATGTGATTCAAGTTCAACTTGCCACTGCCACGATGGCAGTGACTCTGGGCTAATGCTTTAGTTTCCAGCTGGAATGAAAACCCAAAATAAATTCCGCACCGCACAGCTGTTCAGTGGCAGCCATGATAAGCCATGAAAATGAATTAAAAATATTAAGTGCTTTGAAACGAAGCTCTCTTCTCCCCGGTGATGACCACGAGGCTTGCCACAATTCACCATGCCACGGTGTGAAGAAGTGTCTTAGAATGCAACACAAGCAATCACCATGAGGTAATCATTTTATTGTTTTATTTATATTATATTATTTCCCTTCTACGTGACTTTACCGAAAGAACCAAGAATACGAATCCCCGCAGTCACGAAAGCTTTAAATCGAAGTGTCTTAGCTCGGGATTACAATGCTAATCAATGAATTACACGTTGTATATTTTTTGTTGGTCTTCTTCATTCTGCCTGTCAAATAGTCTTCCCCCTGGGGCATACAAATATTTGGGGAAAACAAGATTCGTTCACGCCAGCCCCCCACCTATGGAGGAGAGCGAGTTCTGGGGGCTGGGTGTGTTCTGCCGGACGCGCTTCCTCACGCTGCCCTCCACCTCCACGGCGGATCCCGAGCTGTCCGCCCTTTCGCGCAGGTTCTCCTCCTTGTCTTCTTCCTCAGCAGGGCCGCGTCTTTCGCCGCCGTCCCGAGACATAATGGCCCCGTCGCTCCACCCTGCCAAGCGGTGGGCATGCCGTTCAAAAATTGGCCACGTGACGTTAAACGCAAAAGTGTGAAAAAAATCCCGTAATGGGTGTAATCGTTTCATCCCCGATCACAGATATGTTAAGCTGGCCATGTGACACAATGCCTCATTATGTTCAGTATCATAATAACTTTTGCCAAACGGTAATGATGCATGATTCACAGGCAATTTTACTGACCAAAAAGCGGAACGCTCAATATCCACTAGCAGGAATAATCACACTTGTGATTACACAGTTAAATAGCACGCTGACAGCAGAACACATTACTACAGGGAAAAAAGGCAGCAAATGCTAATGCCCAACACTGAGATGCAATGTCCACCACGCAAACAGTGGGAGCAACCTTCATTCATTTCTGTCGTGCTGCCAAGACTTTTTTGATTTACTGCCAGGGGCCGGCAGAAACACTGCAATGTCCTACTGCTAGCACGCAGTTACCACGAGCTACAGCTCATTGTATGCATGTGCTTTGAGAATGCTTTTCACGAGGCACCAATTCCTAATGAAATGGTACAATGGAAAAGAAAAAGAAAATTCAGGGTCGTTATTGAAATATATATCAGCAGAAAGTGAATGCATCAGGGGCAAAAAAACGTTTGAACAATGTTTTAGCAACAGAGCACCACAATGAATATTCTGGAGAGAATCTCATCAGTGCGGTTTTGTGACTGGTATAGTGTGACAGTATATAACAATGGTGTCCTTGACTGTATGAAGGTTTTTTTTAATTCATGTCTGTAGTTGTTTGGCTCCAAAGAAACGAACGCAAGTAAATTCTTACCATCTTTCTGTACGTTTGAGAGCTGAATTATATGAACACCACCCATTGATGCACTAAACCCGAACCATCACCAAAACATTCGAACGTCACTGGTAGGAAATTATTTTCTCTGTGGTGAATTCCCAACCCCTTTAATAATGTAATGCATATCCCTTTATCAGTCCACCGTTAACTGAAGGCCTCTCCGTACCTTTCAGTCATAAGGTTTTCCTTGACTATACTTCATCACACTGGTCACTGCAGAGTGGCTAAGGAGGATGAGATGTTAGTCATGGCCAGAACTCGAACTCGGCTCATCGGGTTCATAGCGCAATGCGCTAACCATTCCACCACGATGCACAACTGTTCTCCTACGTGCCTCAAAAATAATACCATTATCTAGCAAATGTTCACAAAACATGAAGACTATTCAATAGATAATTCACGATACCTCCTTCAGGTGGCAACATTTTGATGGTACCAGCGCCTCTAAGCTAAATTTCCTTAACCTTTTCCAGTGAGTGGGTTATGAGAAAGTTGCCTTTCATTGAATCCATACATTTTCCATTCATACACCAGGACAGCGTCACCCGAGTGTAGGTCCCTGTGTTGGGAGTGTTCTGCTTATACATTAAGGGCCATTCCCCAAAACGTCACTTATTACATGGTGCACAAGTGAAACTAAGAAATAAAACTCTACACATTCGTCAATAATACTGCCTTTTACTAAAAAAAACTGACAAAATGTGACGTTTCAGGCAATAGCCCCGATTGGATTGTGCCGGTAGGGCCTAACGGCTGGCGTCACCCATCCGGTGTGTGGGTTCGTGGTGGGCAAGCCTTGGTCCGCTCCTGATGAATGGTTGGTTATTTCACTTTTTTAATCATTTTCAAATGAACATTTCAAAATAAGATATGGCCAAACATCTCAATATAGGCCCCACAGAGCTTGGGTAAATTGTTGTAAGGCAGGGGTGGGGAACGTCCGGCCCGCGGGCCGTACAAGGCCCGCAAAATCATTTGGTGTGGCCCTGCCAAGGCAACCGCAGGTGGGACTCGAAATTAAATAAATCTAGGAGCAAACCTTGAAAAGCAGTTGCGAGTAGCAACATCATCAATAGCCAGCTAACATCACACGCCTCACCAAAGAGAAGCAGTTTCAGCCATAACATTAGGGGCGAGTTAATTAAATTACCAAATAGAACAGGCTAATTTTTAAGTTGATAATTTTGTATGGCCCGCGAATGATGTTATAAATATCCAAATGGCCCTTGGCAGAAAAAAGGTTCCCCACCCCTTAATTTAAGGGGTACGATCACGAATTCTACAAATGACAATGACCAAACTCACGACGGATGAGACTCGAACTCAATTATGAGTTGAGATTATTGAGATTATTTTGATGCTATAAATGTCCAAATGATGGGCCACTTTGTTGAGCTATCATTTGTGGCCAGGTTGCTTCTGAAAAATAAGTTAATACCCAAGTAGGCGTTTCCTCGTAGGATGGGGGCATGGTTCAGTTTGTATTTGTCAAAGGTTGATTTCATTACCTTTCTTGCACTTTGTACTGCTATCGAGTTTTTGTACCGTTTGTTGTTGGAACGTTCTTACCCAGTGTCCCTCCTGGACATCTGCGAAGTAGATAATCAGATTCCTCCAGTATAAATACATATTCTGATAAATATTCTGATTTTGATAAATATTCAGATTCTGACTCTTAGGTTTTTCGGTAAAGTCACGTAGGTAACAAATAAATAATAAAAATAATATAAATAATATTTTTTTTTACCTACGTATTTATTTGTTACCTACGTGACCTTACCGAAAAACCTAAGAGTACGAATCCTTGCAGTCACGAAAGCTTCAAATCTAGAATTCAGATTCTGAATTAACGAAGGCCACCACGTGATCCTCCCACCCATTGGAAACCACAACACCGCGCGGGGCATTGTGGGTCACGCGAAGAAGCACCGCAACAGCAGCAGCCGCAACCCAAACGGCGCCTTTCAAATAAAAAAAATCTCTTTTAGAAAACGAAGTCGATTTACGACCAAAAAAAAACATTGACGCGTTACGACACGAATTCCAATTAATGGGAGGGGTAATATAAAAACACAAAAAACCTCGGGCCTAACAAAAACAAACTCCACCACGACCACGAACTGCTCCGTCACTGCCCGATGCAATAACTCACACGAGACGGGACTCACCGCGAGGAAAAGCGCCGTCTCCCCCCGCGAAACGTCGCCGCTGTTCGATTCGCCCTTTGGGCAGACGACGAGACGCGGCTGCCTGCCGACTGACCGCCTCCCCCTGCGCGCGTGTCGGACACTCACGCTCACCACCACCACCCACCCACCCACGCTCACAACTTTTACAATCGACACTTGCCCCCAGGGCAGACCGTCAAGGCTGTCCCCGCCTCCATCGACTCCGCCTATAGCGCCGAAGTGCCCGCGAGGCGTTTGCTTAATTCGAAACGTGGAAGTCAACGGTCGCCGTGGGGTTTCTATGCCCCCAATGTACCGAGTTTAAGCGAATTTTGCTTCTTGGTACTTGGAGTCATGAGCATTGAAATTACTCCTTCGTTACGGACACAATCGTACGCTTTAATGTAATTAAGGGAAGCCTATTTCCACGAAACACGAGATTCACCTTTATTAAACGAACTTAACCTGCCAATCAACTCAAATTATTCAACTGGCTGATGTCCATGGCACTTGCTGATGAAGGACCCAAATCAGGGGCCTCTTTCACGCAAGAGCTGCGCTTCTAATTCTGTTCTTTCCCTTAGGCAACACCTTCAGGAGCTAAATGTCAACGTCGAGGTTCTATCGGCCACTAGAGGGCTTCAGGAACGAGAGAGTCCGTGTAGTGTTTAAGGCTCCTACAGGACACACTGCTTTACTATAGGGCCAGGTTAAAGTAAATAAATGAAAAAACTAAATTAAATCACGACGTCTTGGCTGTAACGGTTCCACCTGAAGACGGAAGCTTGTGTTGCTTCCGAAACGTGATTTAATTTAGTTGTTTTTTTCATTTATTTACTTTTACCTACGTGACTTTACCGAAAAAAAAAACAAAGTATGAATCCTTGCAGTCACGAAAACTTCAAATCTAGAATATAGGGTCATGGGATGGATTTCATGGCCACAGAACTGCCACTTTGTCTTTTAATTTTCCATTCACGAAGTACGCATCGATCTGTTCATGTTCTGATGCGGGGTTTTTTCCCACCGCCACATTTTAAATCAACATGCGTTTAGAGTGTTGGGATTCATATTCATGAATCATTGCAGTCACGAAAGCTTAAAATCTAGAATTAATGCGTTTAGAGTGTTTGTTTGGCTGCTATAAACTTCCACATGATGATGACGATAAGCCCACTTTGTTGAGCTATCATTTTGTGTGGCCAGGTCGCTTCTGAAAAAGAGCGATATCGATCAGTGTGGGCCTTACCTGATAAAAAAAGTGGTTTTTAGTTATTTAGCTGTACTACCCTCTCGATGTTCCAGCTTATTATTGTATCAATGTTATTCTTATATCTAGGTGTAATTTACAATTATAATGTTAAAATGGAAAATCAACCTTAAATAAAAGAGCTATATGGCTCAGTGGCCCTTACCTATTAAAATAAAAACTACTTTTGGCTGTGTCGGGTGGTGGTGGGTAAACGACACGTTTATAATTATGGGATATAACCCCCAAAACTCCCCCTTAATTATGAATAATATCGGTCGCGAAAGCCTACGCGTTAAACTAACAGTGCACATTTCGATTTAAAGCTTTCGTGACTGCAGGGATTCATATTCTTGGTTCTTTCGGTAAAGTCACGTAGAAGGGAAGTAATAAAATAATGAAAATAAAACAATAACATCGAAACGTCCTGAGACTTTTATTGAAAATAAAACAATAAAATTGAAACGTCGTGAGACTTTTATTGAAAATAAAACAATAAAATTGAAACGTCGTGAGACTTTTATTGAAAATAAAACAATAAAATCAAAACGTCGTGAGAATTGTATTGTTTTATTATTTTATTATTTCCCTTCTACGTGACTTTACCGAAAGAACCAAGAATATAAGTGCACAATTGTGCGGTGCGTCTTACTTTCAGGAGCGTCTTCTACTCTGGTGAATACGGTAAAAAAAAAGTCTACGGTGTGATTGGTCGACAGAAATGCACAACTCAGCCAATCGCTGCGCTCGCTCGTGTTAATCAACGGCGGGTGTGAACCAATGGGAGCACGCTCGCTAAGGGCAACGCAACGGTCGGCGTCTAAGCCAATCGGCGCGCTCGCCAATGTTAAGCAACGGGAGGCGTCTGAGCCAATCAGCGCGCTCGCCAATGTTAAGCAATGGGGGGCGTCTAAGCCAATCGGCGCGCTCGCCAATGTTAAGCAACGGTCGGCGTCTGAGCCAATCGGCGCGCTCGCCAATGTTAAGCAACGGGAGGCGTCTGAGCCAATCAGGCGCGCTCGCCAATGTTAAGCAACGGGGGGGCGTCTAAGCCAATCGGCGCGCTCGCCAATGTTAAGCAACGGGGGGGCGTCTGAGCCAATCAGCGCGCTCGCCAATGTTAAGCAACGGGGGGGCGTCTGAGCCAATCAGCGCGCTCGCCAATGTTAAGCAACGGGGGGGCGTCTGAGCCAATCAGCGCGCTCGCCAATGTTAAGCAACGGGGGGGCGTCTGAGCCAATCGGCGCGCTCGCCAATGTTAAGCAACGGGGGGCGTCTGAGCCAATCAGCGCGCTCGCCAATGTTAAGCAACGGGGGGGCGTCTGAGCCAATCAGCGCGCTCGCCAATGTTAAGCAACGGGGGGGCGTCTGAGCCAATCAGCGCGCTCGCCAATGTTAAGCAACGGGGGGGGCGTCTAAGCCAATCGGCGCGCTCGCCAATGTTAAGCAACGGGAGGGCGTCTGAGCCAATCGACGCGCTCGCCAATGTTAAGCAACAGGGGGGCGTCTGAGCCAATCGGCGCGCTCGCCAATGTTAAGCAACGGGGGGGCGTCTGAGCCAATCAGCGCTCGCCAATGTTAAGCAACGGAAAACGTCTGAGCCAATCGGCGCGCTCGCCAATGTTAAGCAACGGGAGGGCGTCTAAGCCAATCGGTGCGCTCGCCAATGTTAAGCAACGGGGGGGCGTCTGAGCCAATCAGCGCTCGCCAATGTTAAGCAACGGAAAACGTCTGAGCCAATCGGCGCGCTCGCCAATGTTAAGCAACGGGGGGGCGTCTGAGCCAATCGGCGCGCTCGCCAATGTTAAGCAACGGGAGGGCGTCTAAGCCAATCGGTGCGCTCGCCAATGTTAAGCAACGGGAGGGCGTCTAAGCCAATCGGCGCGCTCGCCAATGTTAAGCAACGGGAGGGCGTCTAAGCCAATCGGCGCGCTCGCCAATGTTAAGCAACGGGAGGGCGTCTGAGCCAATCGGCGCGCTCGCCAATGTTAAGCAACGGGAGGGCGTCTAAGCCAATCGGCGCGCTCGCCAATGTTAAGCAACGGGAGGGCGTCTAAGCCAATCGGTGCGCTCGCCAATGTTAAGCAACGGGGGGCGTCTGAGCCAATCGGAGTCGTGGACGCGGCTTGTCCGCCGATGGTGGAGGAGTAACTTGGAGCTTCGCTCTCAGCGAGACGGCGAAGCGAAGGAGTCGTCAACTGCTCGCCATGGTGGTGCTTGTGCTGGACAACGGCGCCTACACGGCCAAGATCGGATACGCGGGGGACTCGGTCAGGTGAGCGGCTGCGTTCTTCCACGACTCCATCCTCACCACCCACCACCCCCCCCACGACTTCCCGCTCCACCGCTCTTGCCTAGCGGGGCGGCCGCGAGCCTAGAGGAGGCCGCAGGCTGGGTCCGCGTTCTGGCTCGGGGTGAGGTGGTGGTGGTGGACGGCTGACCAAGGGGACTGGTGCTTCGGGTCTTTGGTTGAAGTTGTTAAAAGTTGTCGGGTTTTTAAACCTCAAGTGTGCGTGGCCAGCAGATGGCAGTACAGCAAATAGCTTGTGTTATTCGCGAAGTGAGAGATGTAATGTTTGGAATTTCATTTAGAGACACACAGATTCGATAACTCGTCTTAAAATGAAAGTAAATAGGCCTGGGTAGCACACGTCATGAAGAGAATGGTGAATGCAGCGATGGACGAGACTGGTGACTCGCAGCTAAAGGAGGGAACGCGTCAAATACTGCCTCATGCCGCTCTGGCAGCTGCCCGATGATGCCGATTGTAACTACCAGTGAAGGGTCGTACCCAATTTAATGTTGCGAGATTACTGCACACGGGTGCGTGCAGTTATTCATGCATTGGTACGTTTGTTCAACACGTGACAACTTTGTTAGTCGGCTTTGTCGGGTGGAGGAGGGTTTACGACACGCATTTTATTTACGCGAATCTGACCCAAAAGCATCGATGATTAATCAAACCACCCACATAGATGGAGCATTGAGATCAGCTGGTGTAGAGGAATGCGATTGGAACGTGAGGGATGGCGCCGGTAGGTCTTCATCCAGCAGTAGATAGACATTGGCTGATAGTGAAGTTGTATGCCGAACATTTTTGTACCATTTGTAGCCAAACTTGCTAATCGGAGGTGCGTTAAAAGTTCGAGGAAATGCCATTGGAGATGTTTTGTGCAAGCGGTTGCACAGTCGTGACACACAGATGGTCTGTTGAGTAAGAGCAGCATGACCAAAACTCACTCTGTAGTTGATTTACATAAACTCAATCTCTTCTCCTGTGTAGTTCTACATTGTTGCGTACACCGTGCATATTGTAGTAGCTGTCGGTTTTCAGCTTTTGCGAAGGGGATCGAATGTATATTTTTGTGATTTGTTTTTAACAAACTTTTTTCCCCCCCACTTTTTCCTTAACAGCATTATACCGAACTGTCAGTTCCGCTCGAAGACGGCTCGACTGAAGACGTTCACGGCTAGCCAGCTCGATGAGATTAAAGATCCATCAGGGCTCTACTTCATTTTACCTTTTCAGAAGGTAACTGTGCAAAGTGGACACCTGCTTCGCATGCAGCTTTTTAGATATATGTAATGAGCGACTTCCATGGCACATCTTGTTGAGGGTACTTTTATTTCTCACACTGAGCACAACACAGGCCAACCTTATTCTTAATAATAATAGGGTTTTTTTTACTTTTTTTCTGGCAACAAAACTGAAACCGTTTTACGAGGATTCATATCTGCATTAACCACGATACTTGAAGTCAAAATGCAAACAAAAAACACACTATGATAATATATGCATTGTCCTTGAAACTGATTGGTCCACACCAAGGGACGGCTTTCTTTTTTCGATGGTTATCCAAAAGCTGCTGCTGTAAAGATTAGAAAAAAACACATCACCATCATTGTTTGCCATATTACAGAAACATATATAAATGAGGATAAGTTTCAGGCACTGACCTTTCTGTTTTGAAGAGAGGCCATTGCTGTTGTGATGAAGGGCCATTTAGCAAAACGTAATTTCTATATTTTGCAATTAAAAAGAGGTTTAGTGCCGCCTGAATGTGAACGGTCCGCTACCCATTTCACAACCTCGCACAGACTAGAGTGGTGATCACATTGTTTGGCACCCAGTAGTTGTTGGAGCCTGGACTGTGGTCCTCATTCACCTGGAAGACGGTCTTGTTGCATCGAGGGACAGTAAGAGATGTTGACGGCTTGGGGGGGAAGCCTTCATCCATCAGCAGTAGATAGATCATGGTCAATGATGTTTAAGGTACTATTAATGATTAATGTGTTTACATATTTTTTATAGAGATGTTTGTTGTGCACAACTGCAAATTTATTCACTTCAAATTTTGACAAATAGCACTACATTGTGTTACAGTTCCTTGACAGGTGCTTGCTGTTCTGTATTTTTTTCTTCTGCAGGGGTATTTGGTCAACTGGGATGTACAGAGGCAAGTCTGGGACCATTTATTCGGAAAGGAAATGTACAAGGTAAAGTATGGTTTAATAATATTTCGCTGTCTTCGTGTGCACAGTCAAAACACTTGCCATTTGTATTTGCTCCATACAGTGTCCCTGATTGCAACGTGTGCCTGGTGTTTTGATGGACAGGTGGACTTCCCTGAAACAGATATCATCATGACCGAGCCCTATTTCAACTTCCACTCCATTCAGGAGTCCATGAATGAGATCCTCTTTGAAGAATATCAGTTCCGCTCCATACTGCGCACGAACGGTACACCATGCTGCTGCCACCCTAGCTGGAACAGTAGATCATATTGTCATCTGGTTGTAATGAATAAGCGCTGAATTCGCCATTAAATCCAACTGACATCCATACAATGCCTAGCCCAACTTTATAAGACAGTGGTTGACCACTGTTGACAATAGAAGGTCGCTAGGAATATCATGGCAGATTAGGGTAAGCGACTTGGAGGTTCACCGCTGGATAAAGGCCTCCCTTTCATGGGTGTTTTGATCGGTGGTGGTCGGTCAAGGGTTCGGAGCCCACAACCATTTCAGATATCACCACTGATTTTAGTTGTAGCCAGCGATCAAACTCTAGTTGCTGAGTTCACAGGGCAGTGCGCTATTACATCACTGCTCCACTTCAGACCCTGCTACAGGCAGACCTGGAGTTAATTATAATTACAAAAGTAGTGTTCACTGTCATTGCATTTGCAATGATAATTTAAGTTGACCCTAGGTCTTCTGGCTATCTGAACTTTAGACTTTCCACCAGGGCTGCCATGGAGAAAAGTGCCCACTAACCCTTGACCATTTTTAATGCCCCATTGCTCGCAATGCCATAACATGGATCGTCCGGTCCATTCTTTTCTCTGTGTCATTTGTAGCGGCGACCCTAAGCGCCTACAGCTACCAGCAGCAGAAACCCTCGGAGCTGTGCTGCCTGATCATCGAGTCCGGCTTCTCCTTCACACACATTGTCCCCTTCTACAGGGGCAAGAAGATCAAGGAAGGAATCCGCAGGTAGCCTCACCGCGTGCAGATAAAACAACAACAGAGGCTTAAAAGGGCGCCATTGATGTAATGCACGGGGTGATCACAAAGACTGGCTTGATAAGAGGAAGCGATGGTGGACTGCTAGGACTGTAGTAACACATCATCGATTGAAATCTGTTCTTTAACTCACAATACACACCTCCTGATTAGCATGTTCGGCTATGGTACTAAATAAGTTGAATATACGTACATACGAGAAGGGATCATATGTTGCACTTCTAATGTCGCTGTCAATGACTGACGAAAGCGTGTCTTGTCAGACTTCTTTAATATGTACTTGGTTACTTTGTCCATGCAATCTCACTTGCTGTTATAATTTTGAAATTGGTTAATTAGTTGACTTAACCCCCATGCAACTTTGTAAGGCGCCACAATTCACCATGATGTGAAGAAAAAAAAAGACCAGATTTCTTGCATCGTGACCCCGAATCATTGAATCGCGAGGGTTCAAATCGATAGTTACTAATGATTGTGCCTCCTGTCATGCCATGGATTTATTGATCACCCCCTTGTAGTTTTTTCCTTGAATTTTCTATCGTGCATTAATTACTTGAATTTAACCTCAGGTTGCATTGGTAAATTGTGAGTTGCAGTTCCTGCGAAAGATATCCATACAGACTGAATGTAATACAAATGTTCTCCGGTTTGAACTTTGCGAACACCCAATAGTGTTTTTAAAAATACATCCCTAATGAAAATAAAAACCAAGTTGTTACCCATTTCACTAAACACATTTGCCTCTTTTTTTCTAGGATCAATGTTGGGGGCAAGCTGCTGACAAACCATTTAAAAGAGATCATATCGTACAGGTGAGCATTGTCCAAGACCACACGCCTCGCCAACAACATAATTTGACTCAATTCAAGTCCAGTTTATTAAACCAACTGAAGGGATAAGGATAAAAACCTGAAATAATAATAATTGACATTTATAAGGTAAACGTGTAACCTGAAACTACTGACAGTGGCGGCACTGACACTACTTGTGCAGGCAGCTACATGTGATGGACGAGACCTACGTCATCAACCAGGTGAAGGAGGACGTCTGTTACGTGTCGCAGCAGTTCTACAAGGACATGGCCATAGCGCAGTGAGTGGAGTTAAATCGCTGCAGCACATGCCCAGCGTCTGTGTGTCTACGTTGCTCTCACTGTGTCCGATGTGTGTCGTTCTCTGAAACCCGGATAGATTGAAAGGTGAGGATAACACCATCCTCAGAGATTACGTACTGCCCGACTTCAGCAGCATCAGAAAGGGCTACTGTAAGGTAAGGCACCCGATGAATCCCCAAGCGGCGATTCCATTAATTTTCATGATTCCGTGAAACGTCGCAATTTTTGAGTTCGCAATTGGTCACATATCCCCTACCACCCGTGCGGCATTTGAGGGAGGCACTAATCGAGCAGTAAATTGACAAAAGGGGCTGTACGCGTGAAATCCTTTGCAAGCTTTAGGCACGGTGACACCCGGCCCACTTGATGATGCAGTTGCGTGTGTTTCCACTGGCCAGCCACCCTCGGACGCGGCGCAAAGTGGGAAGTACACGGGCGGGGAGCAGATCCTGCGCCTGACCAACGAGCGCTTCGCCGTCCCCGAGATCCTCTTCCACCCGTCCGACATCGGCGTGCAGGAGATGGGCATCCCCGAGGCGGTTACGCACGCCGTGCAGAGCCTGCCCCAAGGTGAGGGAGTCAGCCACGTTAGGCGTGCGTCGATTAATGGATTCCATCGATTTTTTTCCTTTTTATTTCATGTTTTAGCTCGCAATGCGCGTGTACAATTCGGACATGGGCAGGCGGCAGCGGAGGAGAAATACTTCTTCTGACAGAAAGCCCTGATCGCTAGAATGGAGTGCATGGTAAGCGGTGTAGAGAGATGAGAATTGGGAGGCAGTGGAGGGATTGGAGTGTCCGGGTGATGTGGTCTTGTTCACAAGTGCGGGTGGGCAGTCTGGTGGAGGCATTTCTTATCAGGGTCATAGGGAGATTTTTAGGGATTTGGGGATGCTGTGTAGAGTAGTGTCGCAATGGTTGAGTTGGGATGAGCTGATGAGGGTGCAAGACATGTAGTGTGGATGGGCATGAGGTCCTCCAAAGTTTTGAGATTTTCTGGGAGAAGAGCCGTTGCTCTGGATTCAATAAGAATCTGAATGAATGGCACTTGCATACCGTCCGTAATTAAGTTTTATCATTAACAGTAAATACAATATTTTTTAAGCATATGCGAATTATATTTTACACAAATTACGACATCAGCAAGCATGCCAAGTTACAACGTTTTTTCTTAGGCACAAGTCCAAATGATGGCCTGGCCCTATGTGTAGTCCAGTCAAATCCTGAAACAAAGATTAAAATAAAATCAGACAACTATCAAGCTTCTATGCTATAACCAAGATGTGGCGTTGAGAGGACAGGCCGAGGGAATTGACAACTCCTAATTGTATTCTTGGTTCTTTCGGTAAAGTCACATAGAAGGGAAATAATAAAATAATATTAATATAAAACAGTCGACGTTTTGACTGGATTGGATTTCACACCTAATGATTGCTTGTGTTGCAGTCGAAACGTCGTGAGAATTTTTATTGTTTTATATTAATATTACTTTATTATTTCCTTTCTACGTGACTTTACCGAAAGAACCAAGAATATGAATCCCTGCAGTCACGAAAGCTTTAAATCAAGACTTAACTCCTAATTGTTCTGTATACATTTGTGATGGTCGCCAACAGAGATGCACCCGCACATGTACAACAACATCCTGCTGACGGGAGGAGGCTCCCTGCTTCCTGGATACCGGGACCGGGTCCTCGCGGATGTGCGCAGCCTTACACCGGACGAGTATGAGGTGGCCGTCGTGCAACCGGATAAGTACGCAACGTGTTTTTCTTTGTTTTATTACATTTCAATTTGTTTAATAGCGAGAGAGTTCAAGAGAGCGATCCTTAGTTCCCCATGGAAAAGGCACTTGTGTCTTAAATGGGGTCTTACCTGGTCATAAAGGTGATGCAGTTAAATTTCAATTCAAAGCTTTCGTGACTGCAGGGATTCATCGTCTTGGTTCTTTCGGTAAACTTTACCGAAAGCTTTAACTTTAAACTTTACCGAAAGCTTTAAATCGAAATTTAACCTCCGCTACGGGGTGGGTTTCCACAAAACTTTATACGTGACTTTACCGAAAGAACCAAGACGGTGATGCAGTTATGTAGTCAATCCTGGTGGGGGGGGGGGGGGTCCTTGGAAGATGATGAGCAACCCCCCCCCTCATCTTCTACATGTATCCATGTTGCAGGGTGCAGAGCAACATTTACAAAGTTCATATTCTTGGTTCTTTCGGTAAAGTCACGTAGAAGGGAAATAATTAAAATAAAACAAAATTCTCACGTTTCGGCCACAACGCAAGACAGCGTCTTTCCGACAGCTCTGTTCTTCACCTGAGGACGGCTGCTTGCGTTGCGGCCGAAACGTCGTGAGAATTGTATTGTTTTATTTTTATTATTTTATTATTGCCCTTCTACGTGACTTTACCGAAAGAACCAAGAATATGAATCCCTGCAGTCCCGAAAGCTTTAAATCGAAATTTACAAAGTTGCAGTTGATATGGTTACTCTTTTGATTTCATTGCTGAACATTTGCAGATTTAACGTTGGCCAAAGTCAGCTCAACACTGACGATTTTGGTTGTCGCAAACCGTAAAAAAAATTACCATTAATAATAGTTCAATGGTTATGTGAGGAGGGGCATTACTCTCACATCCAGGGTGGGTGGAAACGTGCTCAGAGGGATCTCTGTAAAGGGTTGTGCTGCACTAGGAGATCCGAATGGATACTCAGTCTCGTGCCGTGAGACGCCATCAGCACAATTGGGGGATAAAATTTAAGGAGAATAAAAATTGCCGTCCTTGTCGTGATGTGCGCATCTCCCCGTAGCCCGATAACGCACGCGTGGGAAGGAGGCGTGACGCTGTCCGGCACCGCCGAATTCTCCAACTCGCTCGTGGTGACACGGCAGGAGTACGAGGAGCGGGGCCACGAGGCGTGCGACGAGAAGTTCGACGTTTGATGGCGTGACTGGTCACGTGCGACTCTTGGGGATGGTGAGAGAGAGGAGAGGGGGTCCTGAGCAGTCGCCATCACAAGCGGGGCAGTGATGTTCGCCGGCTCACAGGAAACCCAAGCGGTTTTTTTTTTTATGTCGAGCATTTGAGCTGTGTTGTGCCGGCAAGCGAACATTTCCTCCACTGGAAACAAATGAGTACCCCAGGCCGTTTCGCTCAAAAAGAAAATAACGTGGCGAGATACTGTGAACTGGGACACGTGGTTTAAATGGACCCTGAAGCTTGTGGCGTTGAAGAGTGTCGTTTGGTTGAACGGCTTTCTGCACAAAAACTTTGTTATCGAATTTAGTTTTGTACACATCGTGGGCGGTACAGCAAAGTCCTTTGTTTTACTGTATTCCTATGTGCCCAAGTCCATGCTCCTACAATGCCCTGACTAGCATGGTGAAGTATTTCCTGCTCGTACTCGATTTCAGATATTCTCGCATTCCATATTTCGTCTTCGAGTCATTACTTGAATGCAACATATCCCATCACACATTTACAGTGCGTATTAAATATTAACAATGCCTATCCTTCTTCTGGGCAAAGGTATCTGCTAATGTTTTCCACTCTTCTTTTGCCAATTCCATCCAATGCACTCCAAATCCCTTAATCTCATACTTTCATCTCATTTTCAGGCTATACCCCCTCTATTTCCTTCCATCAATCGGCTTCCAATTTGTTAATTTTTCCATGTCATCAGCTGGTCATGATCATCTAGCTAGATGTGTTCATGTCAATACAAAACTGGAAGTTTCTTCATGGTCTTTGTTTTAAAAAAAGTAACATTCACAACTTAAAACGTAATATTTCTCATATTCCTTTAGAAATGCAAGGTTAATGAATGTGGCGGTGTGTGCCAAAACTACCACTCCCAATGCCATTCATTATCAAAATTGTCCAATATATTGGTGAAAGAAAAGCACTAGCCTGTGGAGAGGTGCAAGCAACTGGGCAGGTGAACAGCTCTTTTGATGCATGTCTTGGAGGCTTGTTGATGCTTGCGGTGGCCAAAGATTTTGCATCTCCTGTGTTGTTTCTGGCGGTGGTGGTCGGTACACCAAGCAATGTCTATTTTGGTGAATGTCAAATGGCTCTGCGATGCGCCTAAGAGCTGTGACCAACAATTGCCCACATTTAACTCTGTAATGCCCAAGCATTTTTTTAGTGAGGAATGCTACTTTATGCAAGTAGATTTCGTTTCTTGTACAAAAAACTTTTTCTCCTGCCCTGCCACAATGTACTGCATAGGTAATGAATGTGCAATTAAAGCATTTGAATTGAAATAAAAACTTGCCATCGTTTTTGACAAGTTGTACATTTTACTAAATTGTTTAAACTCCTTAACAATCTTCTTTAGAAATAAACTCGTTCAAGTAAACAAGTGTTTTCCTGCACTCATTGAAGATCGATTTTTATCATGGCAATGGATGTATTCACTTTTTATTGAAAAATAAAGCTATGAAAATGTGGCAATTTTTTTGCGAAAGATGACAGGTTAGTATGTCGATTTTTCCATGTGAAAAAAATCGTGAAAACTTGCCCTTTTTACATCATGTACAGCATAATAAGTTTCAAGCCAATCCAGGAATTCACCTTTCATTGAAAATTTTAGCTATAAAAAATTGGCCATTTTTTGCAAAAAAATGAGAGATGTCGATTTTTTTACGTGAAAATGCCCACCGTTTATGGCACAGAGCATAATACGCCTAAGGGCAATGCAGGAAATCACTTTTCATAAAAAAATAAAGCTATGAAAAATTGGCCATTTTTGGCAAAAAATGACATAGGTTAGTATGTCGATTTTTCCATTTGAATTTTTTTTTTTAATTTGCACTTTTTCCATTATGTACAGTATAATAAGCCTAAAGTCAATCCAGAAATTCACTTTTCCTTAGAAAATAAAGCTATGAAAATTTGGCCATTTTTCATAAAATAGGTTAGTTCGTCGATTTTTCCATGAGAAAGACAATAGAAAAAAAAAATCACACATTCATGTTATATGGAACATAAGCCTAAAGGCAATGCAGGAATTCAATATAAATTATAAAAAAAGAAAGTTCTAAAAAAAAATTGCCATTTGTAAAAATGTTGCAATCCACCCTCACCTCCAAGGTGCTGGATTACACGTATGCAATTACAAATCATAACAAAAACTTTATTAGAATTCAGAAAAAAGTACATTATGCAATGGTTAATCTTTTTAATCCAGGACAGGACACATTCAACAGCTTTTAAAGCGCTACGCACAAACTGACATCTGACAAATCCCAGACGTGCGCGTCGTCTTTTCAGTGCAAATTGAGTTTAAGCCTCAGTCCTTTTGATATTTAATTCCAAACCCAATTAAAACAATCAGTGCAGAACATTCACCAGCTACTAATTACAAACGTGTGCCAAATGCACACACCCACAGCTCATACCAATGAAATAAAGAGAACATTCACTTTCAGGACATTTTCATCACAAACAACATTCAACAACACTTTGGCGCTACAGAGAGGGGAGTTGCAACCAAGAACGGATAAAAAGCAATCATTACCGCAGAAGGCATCACAGCAATTCCAATCCTCGAGTCAAAATGCGTGGGCTTTTGCACATGGCTGAATAAGCGCCTTCCGGGAACATGCACAGATGCCACTTAAGCACCAGTCAAAAAGTGTCACAGCTGAGCAGCGGCATGAAAACCACCAGGTGGACAAAACTACGGCTTCATCGTGAATACCAGTGGGACCGCTTGTGGCAGTTTTTTCCAATCTCCTACGATGCAGGTCGATTACAGTAATTATTGATGGTCGGGACGAGGTGAAGATGCCAAAAATTCGGATTTTTCAGTGCTCCAGATCCCACCAGATCGGCGATTCTCCAGCGAAGGTGCAAGGGCTACGCGTATCCCATCCGGTTGAAATAAATCTCCGATGATGCCGAAGCCACCGCCATCGCATTCCAGTTTCTCAATACACCTGCTGCACGCATCACCTGACACGAAAACAGCATTGTAGTCTCCTCGACACGTGAGACAGGCACCGGTCACTGTTAAAGACCCTAAAGACCCTGAGTGAGATGGCTGCAGTAATGCAAATCACTCTTGTACCAACAACGATTTGTCATGCAGTTTAGATTAAAAGCGATTTGTCTCATCTATAACTTTTCCTGGATACGGCTTCTTTGTTCATCGTTTCGGTTTTGTTTACAACCTTAGCAGATCATTTATTTACAGTTTATGAAACTCCTACACTGGTCAATTCCCAAAAGCGCATTAAACTCAGGAGCAATGTCTTGCTCAAATGAACATTGAGGTAATGCTAATCTTACAGCCCTGAGCCACTGGGTATGAAAATCCACTTTCGTACGTTGGGGGGACAATTCCCTCCACAAGGCAATTAGTGTCGACGTCCCCACAAAAGTAACGAGCGACTCACTTTTTGATCGACCCCCGACGGGACGATGCTCCCCGCTAACAACGCCCAACCAAGATTGAAACTTTGCGATGATCCGGCCGAGAACTTTCTCCGCTCTACCACCATGATACGATCGAACCACATTCTTGTCGGTCACGATTCACTTGCGCCCAAGCACATCGAGTGGAACAGGTTGGGGATGGAATGAGGTGGGGGCTGGTGGGGGTGTGAAGGGGTCGGGGGGAGTTACGACCTCCAACCTCACAGCATGGTGGAAAAGTGTTGCGAGAAGGCCTGCGGGTGATGCCTCTGCAGCTCCTTGAGCAGCCGCCGCTTGTGCTTGGCGGAGTGCGCCGTGTCCTCGCTCACGCTGGCGACGAGCTGGCGCAGCGCCTCCTCCGTGGCGCTTGCGCCCTCCGCGGCGTACTCGGCGCGCGACTGCCGCACGCAGTACGTGAAGCCCGGCGGCCGGTTGGGGTCGCCGCCCTCTTGCAGGCTCGACAGCCGCTCGCTCACCATGACGTGCAGCGACACCGGCACCTGGCGGCGGTGGAACAGGGTGCCCCCCATGAGGGCAATGACAATTGTGGGGGGGTGGGGGGGGTGGTTGAGAAACGGGGTGGGTATAAGTGGTGAGATGTTAATTAGCTCGCCTGGTAATGAGAAGGTCGTGGGTTCGATATATTGCACAATTCACTTCCTAACACGACGAGCCCCGTATCGTCTTAAGAAAGTCTTGGGGCAAGTAACTCTTAGCAAACACCCATGAAGGATGGGACGGCGCAATGAGGGGAGGTGGCTGGCCAGCACTGCTCGAAGCCTCCGTCTCCCGAGTGGTGATGTTTACTCATCCCCGTGTTGGGAAACCATTCTGCCTCCCCTCCACAATGTTCAGCTGGGTGCTACCGCTCTATGAATGCACAGCAGGTATGTTCAACTTCCTTTCGCACCGCACAGCCAACCGTGCAAATTCAGACCCGCGACATCCTGGGCAACCCATCAGATGGCTCGCAAACAAAGCGGGGCGTTCACTTCTGGCATCGTGACAGACGTGTCCGGCCACCTTGAAGATCTCCGCGTGGTTGTCCATCAGGAAGGAGATGAGCAGCTCGGCATGGCTCTTGGAGAGGGCCTTGTTCTGCACGATCGCCTTGCCGAACGTCCGTCGCACCACGGCGAGATTGTCGGCCTGTGTGGAGAGAACGACCGTGCGGGAGGGGGGGGGGGGGCACGGTTAGGCAAGGGGGGTGGGGGGCGCGAACGAAGCTCTGCACTTCGCCGCGCTCGTGTCCAAGGTCGTGAGAAAGTCCAGGCCCCCCGTGGGAGTTGAAATCGGCCACGATTGACAAAAACCGCAGACCATCGACAGGTAGCACGCAATGCAAAACCTGAAACGTGAGCGACAGGAAGCACGGGGAGGCGCACGCTTGGTATTCCGCCGAGGGACGGGAGAATGAACAGATTAGAGAACACGCACATAAGTAAAAGAGATTCATACCAATTTAAGAAAAGGTGGGGGGGGGGGGAAGGGTAGGACATCTCCCTAGAAGGGATGGATGGGGGCCGTGTGCTGTTGATGTGGCAGCCAAAGAAGAGGGAAGCAAACCGGAGCGGACGTGGAGATGGCACATAAAAAAATCAACCCATGGAGCTTGCGAAAAACGGTGGCTCAAGGCAGACTTTCGTGCGGTAGCGGGTGGTCGGGCGGGGGGCGAGATCACGACCGCCGACGAATGGTTGCGCTCGTGCCTGCTTGTGCAGCCGGTAGGAGCTCGCGAGCGCCGCCACGTGCATGAGCCGGAGCAGCGCCCGCAGCTCCTCGCGGACGCTCGCCTCCAGCAGCCGCAGGCAGAGCTGCGTGGCCTCCAGGGCCACCGCCGTGCTGTCCTTCACTGCGCGCGGCGGCACAGAAGAAGAGAGAGAGGGCGTCAAAGCAGACCGGCGGCGTGAGAGGGCGGACGATGGGCTGGTATCGTCCCGACCGAGGGGGCTAATCCGTGACCCCCCCCCTCCCCCCCCCCCCCCGAACCAAATGAAATGAAAGTTTTTATATTATTTTCTGTGCACTCATTTTAGTGACCGGGCTAAGACCATCAACAACTCTGTCTTGCGACCCTTCCCTCCTCCCCGCCCCCACCCCTGCCCCCCTCTCTCCTCAATATGAGAAAAACAAAAAAGTAATCAACGTTCAGTCACATCTCTAACCATGCCACACAAGGAGTCTACTTTAGCCAGGTCCGTCAGCGATCAGCAAATAAATTATGCCCCCCCCAACCAGCACACCACATCCAGTATACCCGTCGCTATGATTACTATGAGTAGTCACTCACCAACTACTCCAGTCAACTACAAGTGACAACCCGTAATATATTCGGAAGGAAATTTAAGCCCTACGTCTGCACAAATCTCACACGTATTGACCCACCTCCTTACCCCCATCTGCCCCCCTCCCCCATCTGCCCCCCTCCCCCATCTGCCCCCCTCCCCCATCTGCCCCCCTCCCCCATCTGCCCCCCCCCACTGACGTATGAGTTCCAGGATTGCCGTGTGGACGTCGAAGAGGCGGTTCTCGAGCAGCGGCCGCTTCGCCTGCCCGTAGTGGCGGCCGACGACCTCAAAGAGGACGCGCTTGGCGGCGTCGCCGCCGTCACCGCCGTCGGGGTGGTCTGCGGCGCCGGCGGGGCCGCCGTGCGCCCCGCCCCAGCCCCGCGGCAGCCTCTGCGTCACCTCCACCACGAGCGCGTCGGGGAGGTGGTCCAGGCAGTCCAGCGCGGCCGCCAGCCACTCGTCCAAGCTGGTGGCGCGGAGACACGCGGGCGGGCAGGCGATTAGCGCGGTTAGAGTACGTATGGGTTTCTAAAGAAATTCAACGTGCGGAAGAGGTCGGGGTGGGTGCGTGGAAGTTAACTCATTTACTTTTGTAAAACATGTGTAAAGACAAAGATCTATCCCCTCCCCATATAGCCTCAACACACTGTTAGGGCAAGTGCTGTTCGCGAGTAGCACCTACGAAGGCCGGAACGGCACACGAAGGAGTGGGTGGCCGACACAGCACACGGCACCAGGTACTCATTTGAGGCCGAGTCAACCTCGGGGAGGGGCCCTTCACTGGTTCAGATAATTATGGTCACTGGTGTTGGCCGCGAGTGGGAATCGAACTCGGGTCGTTGGGTTTGTAGTGCAGCGCGCTAACCGCTCCCCACTATATACACACACGCACACACACGGGTAGAGGAGCAGTAGTTCTGCAATGGAAAAAACAAGAGACAGCTGCCCTGTTCACACTCTGCTCACGATCCTCCTGTACTGCTCAGCTTTTTTCACGGAACAATAAAATGTCATGACAATATGTATCGCGAGGTTTTTGTTTTAGAGTCTCTAAGATTTAAATTATATTCTGGTAAAATTAATTGCATTAATTGGAGCGCGAATTGAAAAGTTAGATACTCTATCTTTGGTTCTTTCGGTAAAGTCACGTAGGTATAAAATAAATTAAATCACGACGTTTCGGGCGCAACACAAGCGTCCGTCATCAGGTGGGACAACCACAGCACGCGCGCGAAGACGACTCCATTGGGAACTCTCCACTCACAGGATCCACCCACGACTCACTCAGCCCCCCCCCCCGCCCTTTGTACACAGCATCCGAGTCAAGCAAGAAGCCAGAACACGGATTAAACTGGCGACAAAATCGATTATAAATGAACCGTGATCAGTATTCGGCATTTGTTGCTCCCACCTCTTCAGCGTCACTATTCATGAGAACTTGACACCTTTTTAATTCGCTAGTTTTGGTGGCAACGGCCCCACAGGCCGACACCACCAATGGAGCAATTGTTGGGGTAGAGAGGAGCTCAGCTAGCAGCCAGCCAGAAATCTGTAAAATAATCTACACCATGTTATTTTCCCTCAATTTCCCACCTCGATTAGACGCTCAGCGTCGCGAGGCGAAGAAGACTCCATTGGGAACTCTGCACTCACAGGGCCCACCCACGACTCACACAGCATCCGAGTTGAGCACGAAGCCAGAACACGGATTAAACTGGGGACAAAATCTACATTTTATACAGTTTGGGTTCAGAACACACGATTGGGAAGTGTCCCGGACAAAACTAGGACGACGTTTGGTAGCTTTAATAATAATTCAAATGTATTAACGCGCATTCCATCCGAGGATCCCAATGCGCGATGCATGAAAAGCAGAAAACAAAAACAGAACCAGGGGGCAACCGACCAAACTAAAGAGGGAAGGCCACTTTAAAGAGATGGGGTTTCAAAGCATCAGTAGTAGGCCATGCTTTACCACCTGATGACGGACGCCTGTGTTGCGCCCGAAACGTCGTGATTTAATTTATTTGTTTTCATTTATTAAATTTTTTACCTTCGTGACTTTACCGAAAAAACCAAAGAGTATGACTCCGATTGCTTGATTTCAAGTGGCAAGGCGTCATTCCATCGTTTGGGTGCCACGCTAACAAAAGCCCGCAACCTCGACCCGGTCGTGCCGAGCAGTTGCAGATCAGAAGACCTTCAGGCCTCGAGAAATAAAACACGTTCCTACACGGCCGTGTCCCGACTTCGACCGAATGCGCACGCACGCACGCACACAGGCAGGCCGAGGCCGGCGTCCGTCAGCTCCAGGTAGGGGTTGTGGACGATGAGGTCGTCGTCATCGTCGGTGGCGGTGGGCGGCGCGGGCGACGGCGCCGGCGGCCGCTTCTTGCCGCGCTTGGGCGAGGAGGGCGGCGACTCCAGCACCGAGTCGAGCACGGTGAGGTCTATGAGCTGGAGCAGTCGCAGCAGTGTCTGGTGCCTCCACACCTCCGCCACGGCTGCTCGCGCATGCACGCACATGCAGAAATCCGGCCGGTGAAAGCATTTACAGTCGCTCCGTCACGATCGCACGCGCGCGTTCAATCTAGAGCTGCCCACCCCACCGTCATATTGATCAATTAAGTAGATTTCGAGACGACTTTTTTCAATCGATTTACTCGAAGGTGGGAAACCCCCTTCGAGCATCGCCCAGTGCGACGCGGATGACGAAGCCGATGACGTCACCAAGCACCAACCGTTGCCTTCTGTCCAGCGACACACGTGTGGGACTTGTTTCCCCCAACTGTAATTTCGTGTCATCAGCTTTGTTGAGTTACACAAAGCAATAAAAACCGGGCAATTCATCGATTACAAAGGCCAACTCGAGATCAATTATTCAACATTTAAAGTTTTTTTTTACATTCAAATGACATTTAGTATCAATTGCTATACAATTTTTTTAATTGCGCTTTCTGCGTTGTTAACGCATTTGCCGCACTAAAAAAAAAGTTTATTTTGGAAGTCTCACGGTCAAAAGAGCCCTCTCCATGAGAACATGGAATTTCCACCACTGCCTAAGCACCCCCAGCGGACACGAGTGGCGTGCCGCCCACCACCCACCACCTCATCGCTCACAGAAAGACGCGTCGACCTTTGAACCGTGCGGGTACCCTTTTTGGAGAGCAGGCAGCCCCGCTCCGGGGCGTTGTCGGCAGTGGCCGGGAGCGAGGGCCCCAGGAGGTTCACGCTGCTGAACATCTTCTCCAGGGCCTGGTCGCTCGACTCGACCGCAGTGCGGTTGGACATCAGGCCGGAGTCTTCTGCCCTAGGAGCGAGAGAGCGAGCGGCAGACTTTTATGTTTTTTTTAACCACAAAAAACGTGGCCGATTCCCAAAACTCACTCCCAAATGTGCTCTGAGCACCTCGGAGCCATCCATGGCAACGAGACAAAATTAAGAGATGAATCAAAATGTATTATTAATTCATTTATATTTCATGCTCGTTTACCCAACAGAGCCTCACTCCGAGTCCTCCTCCTCCTCAGGGAGGGTCCTGCCAAGATTTTGTTGGGGATCGGGGGGGGGTGAGCGGTGATGCCGTATGCAATCCTAATCTGGTACCTTGCAGGCATTTATTCAGGTTTACATTTTTTTCATTGCCACATTGAATCGTGACAGTTCATCGTAATCACTGTGGATGAGTGGGGGGTTGGGGAGGTGGCGGGGTGTGCGGGCGAATCGTAACAACCCCGGACATCCAGATTTGCCAACATCAAGCGAGGAAGTCGGACGAGGTGTGCGACAGACACGGTTACCGCCGCGCACTGACCTGTCCCCCGCCTCCTTCGAACCGATGGCCGACCGCGCCATTCCGCCGCCCTCGAGCGGGAAGCGGTAGAAGCTGGAGCTGCCGTCCTCGAACGTGGGAGCGCGCTTCTCCCCGAAGAAGCCGAAGCGTCGCGCGCTGCCCACCGGCTCCAGCTCCCCGCAGTCCACAAACGACTGGCACAGCCGCGTCACCTGCAGCCGCGGTGAAATGGTCGTGGGAAAAAACGCGACTGCCATTTGCTAGAAAGATGAATTAAAACAGACTTGAAGATTTAAATATATACATACATAACCTTGATTTGAAGCTTTCGTGACTGCAGGAATCCATACCCTCTGGTTCTGTCGGTAAAGTCAAGTAGGTATAAAATATGATTAAAATAAATCACGTTTCGAAACGTCGCGATTTATTTTAATTTTACTTTATACCTACGTGACTTTACCAAAAGAACCAGAGAGTATATATAACCTTATATCGTGCCCAGTGAGACCACATTGTTTTTCGCTACAACCACGGACGGGTGAAAAGCAGTGGGACCTAGCGATTGTGTGTGCAGGTGGTGCAACTGCCCAGGCGCCGGGCTACAAAGAGGGCGGGGGAAATTGGGCAGTGGGAGGCGACCTTTCATCAATCCTGTCCTTGCACTAGCGCCCATTGGTGACCGACCACACTACGCCATTGAGACTGCAAGTGGGGAGGGGTGTGGCAGAGGGAAGAGGGACGGCCGAGGGGAACGTCCCGCACGACGACCGTACTTCACCTGGATCCTGGACAGCTCGCAGGAGGCGTTGAAGCGCGGCGTCCTCGCGAGGTGCGTGATCAGCACGTCCACCACGTCGGCGCCCGTGAAGCAGTCGTCGTGGTAGCGGAGCTGCACCCTCCTCCTCCTCGCGTCCACGTGGCCCCGCAGCGTCGCCAGCAGCTCGCTCCACACCTGCGTGGCGCGAAACGCGTGGTGGCCCGGCGGCGCTGCCGGGTCGTCCTCGGCACCAGCCACGGACGACGACGACGACGACGACGCTGACAATGACGCCGACGAGGATGACGTTGCCTTCGAAGGTGGTGCCGGTGGTGGTGGTGTCGGTGGTGGCAACGGCACCATGCCCGGGCAGGGAATGCGCGTCAACGTTGGGACATTCATGCAGTGGTGCGGAAGACCTGTTGGCGGTGGATACAGCAGGTGGACAGGGAAGCCAGGAATTTCATTTAAATACAATTTCAGAAGCCAAGTATGGTTTGAGCCTCTATAGTACTTGACAGATGTCAGCTCGTTTAACGGCAGGCTGCGCTGGAAATGCATCGTGTGCAGCGGAGGGATATGCGGCAATATCCATTGTTGTACTGAACTTTTGCGCTCCGTCTTGGCTCCCCACATTCAACGACCGGCGTGGCGTCACGCGGTCAAACAATCCTCACGACCTATGCAGTGATAATTGTTTTTTTACCCTTTTATCTAGCAACAAAACTGACACCTTTCTTACAAGGAGTCATGTTTGCATAGACCACAATACCTGCAGTCATAATGCAAACAAAAAACAACTCTGATAATGTATGCACTGTCCTTGAAGTTGATTGGTCCACACCCGAGACAGCTTTCCTTAGAGCCTAGTCTCACATGGTGTTGGACCAGATGACACCAAAAGCCGCACAACTCAAAAAAGGTGTCAGTTTTGTTGCCAGATAAAATGGTAAAAAAACTATTATCATATTTTTTACTGGCAAATGAGGTTCCAATGGTGTAAATGATTACCCCGAGCTCTCATACTCTGATGGTGCATTGTTATTGAGTTGTGCGCCTTTATGACTGCAGGTATTGTGGTCTATGCAAACATGACTCCTTTTAAAAAAAGGTGTCAGTTTTGTTGTCAGGTAAAAGGGTAAAAAAACAATTATCATATTTTTTAGTGGCAAATGAGGTTCCAATGGTGACCTACGTAGTGTTGGCGAGGCCCGCATCCAGTAATAAGAGCCAGACGTGTACATACGTCATGTCTAGCTAGCTCTCGTCAGTCCATTGCTGGACGTTGTTGAGCCATCAATGGACCATCACATCAGTGTGCATTATGTTTTCTGCTTAACAGTGCCCTATATATTGGTAGAAAACATTTCTGGGAGGCTCAACCAGGCCACATGATGAGCCTGCAAGCAGCCCCTCTCACTCTGGCATAGCTCCGCCCACTACGCAGGTAGCCCCGCCCACCACGCAGGTAGCCCCGCCCACAACGCAGGTAGCCCCGCCCACAATGCAGGTAGCCCCGCCCACCACGCATGTAGCCCCGCCCACCACGCAGGTAGCCCCGCCCACCACGCATGTAGCCCCGCCCACCACGCATGTAGCCCCGCCCACCACGCATGTAGCCCCGCCCACCACGCATGTAGCCACGCCCACCACGCATGTAGCCCCGCCCACCACGCATGTAGCCCCGCCCACCACGCATGTAGCCCCAGCCCACCACGCAGGTAGCCCCACCCACCACGCAGGTAGCCCCACCCACCACGCAGGTAGCCCCACCCACCACGCAGGTAGCCCCGCCCACACACGCAGGTAGCCCCGCCCACCACGCAGGTAGCCCCGCCCACCACGCAGGTAGCCCGGCCCACCACGCAGGTAGCCCCACCCACACACGCAGGTAGCCCCACCCACACACGCAGGTAGCCCCGCCCACACACGCAGGTAGCCCCGCCCACCACGCAGGTAGCCCCGCCCACCACGCAGGTAGCTCCACCCACCACGCATCATGAGTAGAGCAACGAGCCAGAATACTTTTTAAACGGTTGGGGGGGGGGGTCCCAATTATCCTAAAGTTTCTGGACTGCGGGACAAGCTTCCTTCAACCACAGGGGACTGTCCCCACCAAACCAGGACGTTTGGGACCTTTACTGTAGTTTCCATTGTACAAACACGTGGTCGTGCTGTGATCACGCACTGTAAACACGTGGTCGTGCTGTGATCACGCACTGTAAACACGTGGTCGTGCTGTGATCACGCACTGTAAACACGTGGTCGTGTTGTTGTCACGCACTGTAAACACGTGGCGATTAGAACACGTGGTCGTGTTGTTGTCACGTGTTCACACTTATGCACGTGGCCGCAACCACGGTCGACGCTGCATTCGCCGATACTCGACGCGGCTCTTCGTGGTTTGTCTCCAGACAGCACGGGAGGCGGCTCACACGCACGCGATCGTTTTAAAGACGAGGGTTGGTAGATCACGATGAGATCTGTTAAATCTCTCAGACCGTGGTGAAGACATGACTGACGGCACAGCGAAATGAACGAGTCAACCCCATCTGAGCGGATTGTTAAAGCCGACTCGGAATTGTAAACGTGGGTTCACTCTCCCAACACGCAACCGGTGTGCCGAGCGAGTAACGAATTGGCATGTTTTGTTTAAGTGACAACCTTACTAATTGGCCGTGTCGGTTGGTGGCGGGTTTAACGACACATTTACGTGATCTAACAAAAAAACCCTGAATATTGGTAGCGAAAGGCCTACGTGTTAAACTGTTGAGCGTTATTTCCGCTTATGCAGAGTGTCGTTATCTTCGGTCATCTGATATCCTTACACAAGTAATATAATTGGCAATACCATGCAGTAACCAGCATGAAAACAAGAGTTGAGTGAGCCTACTCTGGGCGGATTCGAGAATTGCCATCCCTGTATAATGAACTCGCTCTCTCGGAGGCCCTCTTTGTTGCAAGCAGTCTGCGAGATTGGCATTTAAAGTCTACACGTGTTCGTACATACGCAAAACCAGAACAATCTTCCCCCCAGTGAAATGAACGGGATAGAATTCGGAACCAAACTAATGTCCATACGCAGTGATTGGTCCCTGTGATAATTGATGGGGGGGTATATGCGCCCCAAAGACAAAGATCCCCCGTATAGCCTTCGCATCCCGTTGGGGCAAGTGCTGTTAGCGAGCACCTATGAAGGCCGACACGGTACACGAGGGGTGTGGGGGTGGCCAACACCACGCCCGGCCGTCTTCGTCTCCCCAGCTACTCATTGCGAGGCCGAGTCGACCTAGGGGAGGCCCAGGACCGGCGAGTGGGAATCGAACTCGGGTGGTCGGGTTCGTAGCCGCAACGCGAGAAATCGCGACACGAACCTGCCCGCCCCTTTTCTTTATTATTTTATTATTTGTTTACACGCTTTCTATTAACTCACTCTATTGTTCATACTCTTAGGTTTTTTGGTAAAGTCATGTAAAAAATATATTATTTTTGTAAATAATAAAAACATTCTTTTTTTAATAAAAAATAGTATTATTCTTTATTATTATTTTTTATCTACGTGACTTTACCGAAAAAACCTAAGAGTATGAATCCTTGCAGTCACGAAAGCTTCAAATCTAGAATTCACTCTATTGTTGTTGTATCCTCAAATCTTGTAACTCAATTTTAACCCACTTCCCAATGTGATATCGACTGCAAACTTGGTATACTTATGTCATACTGATGACAATACTATATTCTATCATAAAAACATTAAAACTTATTCTTAAATATTATTTTGTATATGTTACGTTTCGGCTTGGGTCTAATTGTCCACGCTCAACAAACGTTGGCTGTAATTGCCCACGTTCCCTTCCGTGGCAAGCTTCGGGGCCACTTCCTGGAGTCGTGAAGTTCTTCCATTACTAGTACGGTACATTGAATGAAAGCGTGTTTAAAAAAAAGATTTAAAAATATTACTTATCTAACCACTGCACACTCGCTGCACTCCCCACTTCTGTCGCAAAGTTTTCGTGAACCGGACGTATGAGTGGCAGTAACACCGTGGCCCATGAGACACCGCCACGCTCATCTCTCTCGTTCTCTCTCTCTCACCGGTCGAGTTGGGATCGCTTTCATCCTCGGCTCCTGCCGCCGACGCCGTCGACGCCACGAGGCCAGGGCCAGGCGCGGCTCGGAGCACATCACTGAATCTCGCCGCCATCTCTCGCACGGAGCAGCCCTGCATCTCTGCCGTGCAAGAACCAATTCGCTCTTCCCAACTCCTTTGGCTATTGCTCTCCGTGTTGGGGTGGGGGGGTGACAAAACAGATGGATTGTTGGCGATTTAGAAGCGTTTGCTCGGATGTTTTTAAAATGAAAATAAACCCCACACACGAGTTTGTCGTGACAATGGAAGGTGGCACGGATGGATGGCGAGAGAGATACAACGACCTATAAGTTCAGCAAAACTTGTAATTCAACGAACGTATTTGGGGTGGGGGAGGAAACGAATCTCGGTTCTTTTAAGCGGTGTGATCGGGGGGGGGGCAATAAACCATCTGCACATCGTCTTTGGCCACCGCTGTGGAGTCACGTGTGCACGCCCACCCCAAGCCCCCCCTATTTATAGCCATGGACACGCGCACCTTGGAGGCATGGCGTTGATTGCAATTATCGCAGCCAATGGCGCTGCTGCTGTTCATTCTCTCGCCTTGCCCGGGAAACTCCGTGTGCACCGCGTGCCATCTCGATCGAGTTCTGGTTTCCCGTTTCGCGGCCAAACACCAGTGATGAACATCTGAACAATCACCAATAGGGGAGACAAAGGCGGCCGGGCGTAGTGCCCCCCCCCCCCCGCTGCTCCCGCCATCCTGCGTCGTGACGGATTTTATTATTTTAAGGCTACACGTGGGGGGGGGGGGGGTCTGTGTTGCATCGCAGGGCACTGCGTGAGAGATGGCAAAGAGACACGTTCAAAGTTTGTGTTTATAACGTACCTCTCACGCATCACGTGTGCCTGCTTACACGGAGTTGCCTGTACATCTATGGGTCTACTTCCACGGGTCTACTTAGGTGTATATAGTTCGATGAAAGTCGATGCACGTTTGTTTGTGGGTGTCCCCGTGTGTCCACGCAACTTCTTTGTCCAGGACAGACAAATCCTCCCCAATGTGTGCAGATGCTGCTGACTATTGTATGTAGGATGTGTAGGCATATATAATAACTAGCCTTTTGCCCATCCTAGGACGGAAGCTGTAATATTTTCGAAAAAATTGAGCAGAGTATAATTGTATCTTGTGTGAATTTAATGACAGTGAATCTTGCACAAAAGTTATAAAACACCTCACTTCATGTCACTGTAGCACTGTATATAACTGACCTTGAATTTGTTCAAATTCACTGCTCTGATATTTTATTCTCTTCTGCTTTCGATCGCTGGGGTTGAAATAAATTGGAAATCGATACAATATCTGGAAAATCACCAATAAATGTCTATTTTACCATAATGTAGAAGCATACATTAGACTTACCTTTTGTCTCAAGTGCTGAAGAAATCATTAAATAAACCAAATCCATTTTGTTGCTGCGTGTAATTATTTATTAGATTCACGTTCAATAAAGAAACGTCAAACTTAAAGCGAATTTGCGAAGGAGACGCCTCGGTCCCCCATGTGGAGTGACGTCAGCCGATAATTATTATGAGTCGGGGGGGGGGGTCCATTTAGGGGATATCACCTTATAATGATTATTAATGAGGGGGGCTGTTCGATGTGGAGTGACGTCACCTGCTCATGATTATTAGTGAGGGGGGAGGGTGCTCCATGTGGAGTGACGTCACCTGCTCATGAGTGACGTCATCTGTTATTAATAAAGGGGGTGCATGTGGAGTACTTAATCTGTTCATGATTATTGAGGGGGGCTGGTCGACGTGGAGTGACGTCACGAGCATTGCACACAGACATTCTTGGCTCAGTAGGTAATAATGGGGGGTGGGGGGTGTCCATTTGGAGGACGTCACCTACTCATGAATTCCTGGGTGATCATATTTCTCTTCTTGGTTCTTTCGGTAAAGTCACGTAGAAGGGAAGTTTATTATTATTATTTTATTACTTCCCTTCTACGTGACTTTACCGAAATAACCAAGAAGATGAATCCCTGCAGTCACGAAAGCTTTAAATCGAAAAAAAAGATCATATTTCTAATATGCCTCCACACCATACTTTCTTTTTGGGGGGGAGAGGGGTCGACAATTTTTGGAAACTTGTTGCATCAACTTTTTACCTCCACATCTGGGGGGTCCACTTTCTATAACTTATTGATTCAGGCCTTCTGAAAGGCTCTTATCATTTAGAACGCCGGGCTTTTACAATATATAAAAACAAGGCAATTATTTAGGTTTTTCACATTTTTGGGGAGTGTGGTTAATTTACCTATTTGCAAGTGTGTGTACATAGATGAATAATGTTCGTATGTGCATACCTTTTACGGTTAAAATATCAATTAATGAACTCTCAATATGTAAATTAAAATCTGTTTATTAAATAAAAACAATCTGTAATTCCATATATTATTTTAAAGACATATCAAACAATTTTGCATTTTCAAATAAATGTATTAACATCTTTCAAACAAAGCAGACATTTTCAAGACTGAATTAAGTCACTTTCACACATAAACATAAATGATTTCCAAACTGCTGACTAGATTACCATATCACCCTTAGCATTTCACAGCATACGGTATCTAGAAACGTTACTTTCCAATGTAATCATAAATTACATTGTTACAAAAAACATTGTAGCACTCTTATTCTGAATTCGAGAAATTATAGGCTTTTTTTTCTTCGCTTTTCCCCTCTCTAAGTGAACGGCAAAAAATCAGGGCATATTTTTATTGCAACAAAATTAACGGATGAACCTGCGGATGGAAATTAAACGCATCAAGCACGACTGGACAATAGCTCCTCGTGTCCAGTGGCCTTATGGATGTAAGCTCGAATCGACCTCTCACGTGCGACTGGGCCACTTCAGCTTCTCACTCGCACGATCGTCTGCCCACCAAGTCCGCCACCGTGGTGGGGGGCGAGCGATGGGTCCCCGTGGGGGGCCCAGCTAGACGAGGAAGGTCCGCAGGAAGGCGTTGTACGGCACGCGGTTGTGCAACTGCCCATCGTAATAGTTGAGAATCTGAAAGAACTCCTCCTCCGTGAGGTTGATGGCGAATTGTTTCAGCACCTGCCACAACAACGGCGCACAACATTCACACGTATAACGGATGCGTGACACACACATTCACGTATATTGTCATCAACTAAACAGTATGGACAAATTATAATTTAAAAATATTGTTGATACAACCCTGTCTTATTTCACAGCATAAATACCTCGGCACGCCATGTCCGTCATGGGAAATTGTTTGACCAAACCTCACCACACTGGTTAGTGCGGGTTGGTGTGGTGGAAGTCCGAGACCAATTCAGAAATAGTTGGCCACTGACGTTACCAATGGCTGGGATACGAACTCGAGCACTCACCACTGCTGCACTGCTGCACCCCATTATATCCAGCCAGTAGAGGCGCTATCTTCAAAACCCATTACAATAATAATATTTTTAAAAACTTTTTAAAAAAGACAATGAAATGTACTAATAATGGCAGAACTCCACGACTCTCGGAAGTGGCCTCGAAGCTTGCCATAACGTAAGGGACCGTGGCCAATTACAGCCAACGTCAGTTGACTGTGGACAATTAGACCCAAGCTGAAACATAACATATAAAAAATAATGTTAAAAATAAATATATTTTTTATGATAGAATATAGTGTTGTCATCAGTATGACATGAGTATACCAAGTTTGCAGTCGATACCACATTGGGAAGTCGGTTAAAATTGAGTTACAAAATTTGAGGATACGACAACGACGACAACAACAACAGAGTGAGTTAAAAGCGTGTAAAAATGACAAAATTCAAGTTCTTCCAAACAGAATATTGGTCTAATAAACTTTACTTTCTTATTTTCAAAAGAAATTACAAAACGAAAATATTAACGTAATTAAAATGAAAAAATTTTTTTTTACAAAAACATTACATTCCTAAAACTAAGAAGGGCTGTGTTCGCTGATCCTTATCGGGAAAATGAAACACAATTTTGCACTATTGTCAATGCGATAATTTTATTCTCTATCTGCCATCGTGCGACTGGCCCTCCCTCTGAGCACCAGTCGCTCAGGTGAGCAGTTCGACCATACCTGGCGGAAGTCGGGGGCGCAGAGGAAGCCGCTGGCGCTAGGATCTCCAGCACGGAAGGCGCGTCGCATCGGCCTCCAGTTGGGCAGCACCTGGTCGCGGAGGTGCAGCATGGCCTCCAGGAACGCATCGTTGGGCGCCGTGCCACCGGGCTGGGCGCACACATTCGTAACGTGCACAGTTAGTATGTACGTGTGTATGTATGCTCAACTTCTTTCGCACCATATGCAGAGGCTTTTGGCTAGCCATCGAACAAAGTTGGTCACCGCATCACGCGCTTGCAGATGTGCTTCGGCGGCCATTTAGAATGCTCTTCCTTCCAATATTAGGAAGTCACAAGAGCTATACACCTTTACATCATTTAGATTGAAAATAAATTTCTTCAGAACTGCTCTTTGTGTTTAGTTTGTTGTTCTTCCCCGCACCTCCGACTAGCACGGGTGGCTACGTACGGTGTGAAATAAGTTCAACATACATACACACGTACAACCGTTCTATTCGTTGGGTGCAGAGGTGTGGGAAAATGCACCTTCCTGTACTCGCTCAGATCGATAGCTTTCTAGTAACTGCAATTAAAATTGCAAAAAAAATTATCTCGCCGTTCAGTTGGTGGCTCACGGTGTTTTAAGTTAAATAATAATAGCAGCCTGGTTGGGCACTGGAACAACAGTGTCCCGGATAGTAAGAAGACAATTGATGAGATTTGAAGTTTAACATTTTTTTCATTTTAATTCTTTATAATAACTCCCTCGCCTGGTATGCAGGCATCTCGCTACCAGGACATAAAAAAAATTATCTCGCCACAGCGGCGCTCCTTTGCAGGAGGAGACGCGTTGTCATCGTTGCTGTTGGCCCTGGGTCTGTGTGCGGTGGAGGCGCCGCGGCCGTGCCAAGCGCACGGCCAGAGCCCCACCGTGAACGACGGCTGCTGCAGACGCTGGCGCTGCAGGAGGCCATGCTGGCGCGGACGCAGCGTCAGCACCAGGTGGCGAAGGAATGTGCGGTACGCTACGTGGCCCGTGCTGTGTGCCGCAAACTTGGAGGCGAGTTCCGCAAGCTCGTCCTCGCTCACCGACACGTCGAAGGTGCGCAGCACGCCTGCACGTCACCGAGCGCAGCATTACAAATAAAGGCACAACGCAAATAACAAATATCTCCTGCCCCTAGCACGGCTTGGACCTGGGCCAGATTCAAATGTTTTATGAGGCCAGCATAGCACAGTTCGGTTTTGGCAAAGCTCAATAAACTGCCAGTGGAAAACCACCTGTGCTGTGTTGGCCCCATGCTGGCACAGCTCAGATGTCCAAAAGAGGTATAACATTCTCCGTGTTTGTTCGTTGTGTAATAGTACACAACTCCAGAACAATGCATTTACATGCAATTCTCCTGTCTTACCATATCGCAAGATATCCTTCTTCCCATGATGTTCTTTGTGCCCTCAACGTGACAACGCGAGCACACGAGCCAGCCACACCCGCGCAACGTGGGAGTCGCCCCTGTGACCAACACGATCTGCCGGGCAAGGCGGAAACCTACCCTGGAGGTCGTTGGTGCCGATTTCCCCGCTCGCCGTGGGATCCTTGAGACGGCACTCACGCAGGATCTCCTGCCAGCGGCGGCTTACTCGCTCGCGCAGCCTGCTCTCGAGGGCCTCGCAATCCACGAGCGGAGTCGAACGGACCGCGCGCGCCATGCCACCGCGCACGCTCCCCGCCACGGTGGCCGGCCGGTGGCCCGTGTTCAGCGACTGCGGTGGGAAACGTCGCGAGCGCGTGCATGCGCCCGATGACAGGCGAGTCAACAGTCGCTCTTAGGCTCGGGTGTGTGCTTTGCGCGTGTCCGTGCGTGTGTTCAGGAAGAAGGCAAAGAGGGGTTGACCCATATCAGACGACCTGAATGGAAGTCACCTCGGGCGGCCGGGAGATGTCGTGAAGCAGAGAAAAGAACCACATCGGAGGAAAGGCGATGAACGCGGAAGCGTCAGGGTGGAGACGGAGAGGCAGGCATAGAAAGAGGTGGATCAAAGTGGTTTACCGGGATGCGAGGGATTGGATGTGGAGATGATGGCCCAGGACAGGAATGAGTTGAGTGAGAGAACCAGGAAGGCAGACCCCCATGTGAGTGGGAAAAATGCCAGAAGAAATTTTTTTCCATTTTATAGTATCAATTGTAATTAACTTGTGAATGCCTAAAGCTTTTCATATGAAAGCTGTTCATGAGTCGACAAGGGGATGTTGGACCCTGTTTTTGTTCAGATAATCGTCACTTTTATTGGTCGTGAGTGGGAATCGCAGCGCACTGCGCTAACTGCTACACTACCGCTCCCCATCGAATGCACGGCACACACGCACCTGGGATCGTGTCAGAAGGCAGGACGCAGTCGTTTTAGGTCTGCTCTTCGTTGCGGTTGCGCCGTTGTGGGCTACTCCTGCTGCTGCTGCTGGAGCTGCTGCTGGGGCAGTACACCCATTCTGGCCTATGGCCCCGACACTCTGCCTCAGCATTCCAGTGGGAGCTGATGAGGTGAACGCGGCCGCCGGCAAAGCGGTACCGTCGCAGAACCTCTTCAGAAACTCGCGGTAGTCCAGCTTGTCGCACTCATCCACCGGCAGCTGCGCCCACAGCTCTTCGAACTGTAACAAGGAGCAATGGTACCTTTCGTTGTTGGACGAGGCATTTGAGCGTGAATTAACAGAACAAGCAGACTGGTCTAACATCACCCAATAAGTTAATCTACAGAGACTGCAGTTGATGGATGTCCAAAAGGAGGTTGGAGAAATGTACACAACTGAATAATATTTATTTTAATACATTTAGTTCTAAGTCCATTTACTTGCAAAAAATGATGTGTAAATGCATCGATATCCTTTCCTTTAGTTGGACATATATAGTGGGTATTATATAGACGTGATTTAACAATGCAACAGAATTTATTGATGGGCGATGCACGTATTGTTTTGGCCAAGGATCAATTTTCATCGCTGCTTCAATCATCGTTCCGGACCTAGCTAGCGACACCTTCATGGGTTCTCAAAGTCCACGGTTTCAGTTCTGCAGCGGGGCACACTGACTCTTTCACGAGACGCACAACTCCGGGCACTTTTGTGAGCACCTGCTTGTCGGAGAGGCGCAGGAAGTGGCGATGCACGACCTGACGGAACTGCTCCCGTGTGAGCTTGCCAATCCCTGGGAGGTCGGCGCACACCAGCGCGCGCGCCACTGCGTAGAAGCGCGCCGACACCACGTCCCGCAGCCGTCGGAGCACCCCACCCGCGGACAGCGCACAATCACCGGCGCCGCGGTGCCCGGCTAGGGCCGCCCGCGCGACCTCGCATTGCCAGTCCGCGCTCTCCGTCTGTCGGGGGAAGGGGGCAGGGAACGGTGCGAACAGCGGCCGCGTTAGGCGATGAATGCGAACGTGACGCCGGAGTGGTTTAGCGTCGTGCCACCTCCCCCCGCCTCCCCCCACCACATCCGAATTGAGAGAGACCAATTCTATTCCAAATGTGCTATCAGCATCATGAGATTAACTGATTGCCATTTAGAATTATCACAGCAAGCAGTGCACCAATCTGTTAGATATTGGCCCCAGAAGTTAATGTCACAAGATACAGTAACTTCAGGAATTAAGTTCAAATATATTTATCCACAGCAGGGGGCACACATTTAATATACCCTGAAAAACGTTTAAATTAATGTCAATTTAACTTAAATAATTCATTATCAGAACTGGAATTTTAGCAAAATTAAGTAACAATTAAAATTGTCGTTGGTGACGAGGCTGAGACCATCCACTCACTATACTCACGACTTTCATTTAATCATCATTTGAACCCAGAGCCTCAGTGGGCCTGGGCTCAATACTCTTATCACCAGGGCTCCTCTATCTGCCCTTATATGAATCACGTCAATGTTTTTCCTCAATTGGGCAAATCGCAGAGAGATGGTGTTATGACCGCTCGCCTTGTCGGACAGGAGACTGAAAGCCTCCAGAAAATCCTGCCAGTCGACGGTGCCATCGCCGCCACGCTTGAGCCTCTTGAGCAGGTGCTGGAACTGCGGCTCGTCGAGCTTCAGGCAGAAGTTGTCCAGGACTCGGCGGAACTCCTCCTCCTTCACCAGGCCTCTCTGGGATTTGTCGAAGGCGCCGAAGGCCTGCGTTGGTGCACGGTGACATCCGCGTATCGCGTCCGTCCTCAAATTACTCAACCTCCGGTCGCTCGCGGTCTTTTTTTTGTTTCAGTTTATGAAATAGCATTAGAATAGGTTCCAATTGTGTGTACAGTACTTTAATGTTCATTTACATGATGTAGCCAACCATGCTAATTGGACGTGCGGGGGAAGGACAACAAACTGAACACAAAAAGCAGTTCTAAAGAAATTCGTTTTCAATTTAGAAGTGAGTTTTCAATTCAGTTGTGAATGTTAAGTGAGCTACTATTGTACGTGCTAAGGCCATAATTTTTTTAAAGAAAACTGAACTAAACGATTTTAATTTTACCAGGTATGGCCCACTGAGCTATATAGCTATTTTTCAACCTGACCACAAATGATAGCTCAATGAAGTGGCTTATCACGTGGACATTTATAGCAGCAAAATACTCTAAACGCACGTTTCTAAATGTGGAGGGAAAAACCGACGGACCCGGAGAAAAATCCACGTGACCACGGGGAGAACATGCAAACTCCAAATATACAGCAGGGGTCAGGGTCGGGATAGAACCCACGAACTGCTGTGTACCAGGCGAGGTAGTTAATATCTTGCCACTGTGTCGCCCCAAGTCAATGTCCCACTGAAGCAAGCATTTGTGGGAGAATGCCGAGGTGCCTAACTCCTGTTTACGGCTCTGGGCCAGTGTGGGAAATTCCTGATTCATATACCGTATGTGGGGAGTCTATCCGGAGGGCAACCACTTTAAAATTTCGTCATACTCATAATCAGAATCTTTATTTATCCTGGAGAAATCCGATGAGCTATGAAGCTCTTTTGCACAGGTGTCCAGTAGGGGTGGGTCAGAATGTTACAACGAAAATACAACCCACACTGACCAGCGTGGTAAAGTATGGTCAAATAACCCCCATCGCCTGCATGCCGTGGGGAGTCCCTCATCCAGAAGTGGATTGACAAATAGCATCGCATGTACACGTATATATCAAAGACCCCCTTATAGCCTTAACAGACTGTTGGAGCAAGTGCTGTTAGCGAGCACCTATGAAGGCCGACACAGCACATGAGGGGGTGAGTGGCCAGCACCACGCCCGGCCACCTTTGTATCCCTAGTGCCAATGTTTCCACATCGCACCAGGCATTCATTTGAGGTTGAGTCGATATAGGGGAGGCACAGGACCGGTTCAGATAATCGTCACTGGTGTTGGCCGTGAGCGGGAATCGAACTTGGGTTTCCGGGTTCGTGGCGCAGCGCGCTAACCGCTACTCTAACGCACCACCACAAGCAAATCCCCAAATAAACACTGCCTTGCATTTGTAAGCCACACCTTCTGCAGGACCGCAAGCAGCGACGGGACCTTCTCCCGCAGGAAGGCCAGAGCACCCTCGGGGCTCAGCCTCTGGGTCGCATTCACACCGCACGGCTGGGAGGGCCGCGCTCCGTACCGAGAAGCCCTCCCGTCGTCCACGGCTCGCACGAAGTCGGCATAAGAGAGGCGACTCCCCTCCGTTGGTATCCCCAGCCTTGGGAGAGTGAAACAGGCAGCGGTTTAGCCGTGGCAGCTCGGGGGTTATGTTGTACTAGGCCCCATCAATGAAGATCCCTCCACGGGGTTTAGTGGCATGGGGATTTGTCCGGGGACTAATTCTGACTGGATATTTTGTGGGTCGCTAGAAGAGTGGATTAGGCATGTGACTCGTAGCCACAGCCATAGCGAGAGTCAAGCTTGAATGTGGTGTGCCGGGTGCAGACAATTCTGGCTGAAGTTAAGCTCTGGTTTTATTGATCAATTTGTTTCCGACAAGTTACATCCGACGCTTGTTGGATGGGCCGGGGAAGTTGGCATTGGCACGCAGCACGTTTTGATTGCTGTGATGTTTGTCTTGTTGCCAAGGAACACACGGTGTGATCGCACCAACCTTGCTTTCGTCCTCTCAAAATGCCCCAGTTGGCCTCGCACCCACCCGCTAAGTGGCTATCGGCGGTCAGTCACAATCTACCGTAAACTGGCCCCGCATCGAGTGTTTCCGCGGGAGGGAATTTTGGGAATGCTGCCAACTTGCACCAATCAATTGTACTCCCTCCAACCCCTTCGCAAATTACCTGCGTGTAATTCACTTGTTTTAGCGGTGGCAGCAGGAAAGTTGCACATTTAGGGGAGGTGTAGGATGCCACTCGGAGGCTGTAGCCTATAGGCCAATAGCTGGCTACTGAAATAACAAGAGATTGATAATATAATACACTGCAAATTAAGGGGAATAGTTGACGGCCATGGCCCTTAAAATCAAGTTGGGGATCATGCTTGGTTATTAACGTACATTCCTCTACGACTGCTTGTCAGGGTTAAGAAGTACAGGACGAGATGTGGCTCTGCGGCTCAGGGGTCAGGGTACTGAACCGGAACAGCGGAATACTGGCTTGATGAATGAACATGAATGAACCATTACATAAGGTTTAGTTTTTTTAGTTTTACTTAAATTAGCTACATATATGCAGCAGTGAGAATTTCATGAATATAAATGTTACTGTCATGTGATGAACATTATATATATAATTCATATCCCATGTGAAAAAGTGTGCCTGCCAATGTGTGGATATGAAAAGATCTATCTTCATTATAAATTTATCACCGCTCTGCGAGGGTTCTGAATGGATACCCTTTCTCATGACATCGTGCCGAGAGCACAATCACAATCAAATTGGGGGGGGGGGCACGGGGGGAATTTTTAAAAATAAAAATGTACCAATAGCTGGTGAACGTACTTTCCTAGGAGCTGCTCAAACTGCTCGTGGTCCAGAGAGTAGTTGTGTTCACACAGCATGTGCCGCAAATCGTCTGCCGTCACGAAGCCATCCTTGTTCCGGTCGGCCCGGGCAAACGCCGCCCCGAAGTCTGAGTATTTGTCGCGAAACTTGTCTCTGTGGAAAGAAGACGAGAGAGAGAGAAAGACATTTTCTCTATGCGCCCCATGATTAGAGGGCACTGTTTTTTGTGCAGCTTTACAATAAATGTAATCCCACCGTGAGAAATATTTTCCGGATGGTTATTCACTATTTTTAAAAAATGCAATACTTTAATTTGAATGTCTGAGCCACCACAGGTATTTCTCTGCTAAATATATATATTTTAAATGCCTTAAATTTGTGCCTTTTTGTATGCGACACATCGATGAGTGTCAAAAGCAAAGAGTGCATGCCCGCTGGCCCGATGGCGTCTGAGAGTTTTTTTTTTTAAGCGTGGGATGAGGGTGGATGCAACAAGCGATGGCAGGGCCAAAAGGGATCCAGTGCAATTAGAGTCTTAACTTGGGAACAATTTAATTATGGCTGCCGCCATAATAGCCAATTCAGTTTTCACTCGTGTGGTCGGCGTTCCGCACGTGTGCACTGGATTTCGTTTATCTCAGCCCTCAAGTTCGACAAAAGCGTCTGCGCGTCAGTTACTTCTGACCACCGCGCACATACGTGGGTGTGCGTGACAGTGCCTAAGTGTGGGAGCGCGCATCTATAGGCGTGATTGTGGGTATATGCGTTGAACTTATTTTGCGCCGTACGTAGCCAACCGTGCTAATCGGTCAGTGCAGCTTGGTGAAGGTGAAGAGCACAGACAATGGGAGCTTACAAGTAGAGTGCTACAATGGATTTTGCAGCACTGCCATTTGCTGTACTGCAGCAGCCTATAACACCTGTTTTACTAAACATGCTCAAATCTGCTTAGCCTCTGAAATATGTGATCAGGTACATTCTTGGTGGTTTGGTCATAGGCGCAGCTTTCATTACATTGCAGTAGGTTACATTACATTGTAATAAATATGCGGAGGACTGCTGCTTAAAGGCGAACTACTCCAGTCGTGGGAAGGCCCGAACTGGCCGTACGGCAGTCTGGGCAAATGCCCAGTGGGCCGGTCCATTCCGAGGGCCAGTAAGCTGGTCTGTGTGGGCAAATTGCAAATGTGTTGGAAACAATTGCTTATTTACATTCTCAGTTGGCATTAAGTCCCATATTTGGCAGCCGCAAAGACTTCTCCTCACCGGGCCATTCATTTTTTGGAGCAGCCCAAATGGGCCAATGAGATCGCACGGCAATTTGGGCCGCTGTTTTTACAAATGCCTGTATCGATTTTCAGTCCCAGTCCATTACTGGTCGTTTGTGCCGTCGGCCCCGTGCCAACGCATCGCTGGTAGACCGCCGCAATGACGGTGGTGGCGAGGATCGTCTGCGTCGTTGCTCATCTCACTTGATCTCCTGCGCGAGTTGCTCCAGGTTGTAGAAGGCGCCCCGGCGTGCCTGCTGGCCCACCAGCTCGCACCGCCGCTCGCGCTGACCCTCGGCCAGCGTCGCCAGCGTCGCTTGGTTCTGCTCGGCGATGCGCGCGCTCGGGCCCTTGTCCACGCCGGTGGGCGGTCTCACCACATCCAGGAGCCGTGCCAGCTCCTGCTCCGAGATGACCCCGTGTCCGTCTGGGTCGTACCTTCTCCGAAGACACACGATTGCCTCCGTTATAGTCTTCAACTGACTGTTGGGGCAAGTGCTGCTAGGGAGTAGCAACTATTGAGGCTGGGCACGGCGCACAGGGTGTCTTTGTGTCCCCAGTGCTGATGCATACATAACCCACCATGTACTCATTTAAGGCTCAGTCGACATAGGGTAGGCCCAGGACCTGTTCAGGTAGTCTCGACTGACGTTAGCCATGGATGAAAATTAAACTCTGATTGCTGGGCTCGCAGGGCAGTGCACTTACAACCACTACAAGCACAAACACCATTCCAAACATCATAATCATCAGCAGCATGAGTATCAGCAAAATCGTAATCATATCTGTCATCAGCACTTCTGTTATAATTCAGCAGTGGATTGACAAAGGGCAATTCAACCTATGCTGTGTGCACAATAACTGTTTTAGTTCCCATTCATCAATTAATTAATTCTTCTTATTATTGTAGTTATCAGACGAGGAGTATTTTCCCAAGCCTCACTGAGTGCCATCGCACCTGGCCCAAAGGCTGTCGAAGTCGTGGCTGGTGAGCGGCAGCATGTAGCGGAACAGCAGGGTCCGGAGCTCGCTCTTCTGCACCACGCGGTCACCGTTCTCATCGTAGTCACGAAACGCCTGCATCCGTTCACACCGGCCACAATGTGGACACGTTCATTCGTCAATGTGTGAGTGGCACGTTTAACTGGCCTTTTCCTGGTTCATTTTTTAATTTATATTTTTTATTGTGATTTGATTACCTTTTCTATAATCTGCACTCCTATCATGTTTTTGTAATTTGTGTTGTTATAACTTTGACTCACCCCCACTGGACATCTGTGAAAAAAAGCTTTATAGCTCCTCGGATTCCACCAGTATAAATAAAGATTCTGATTCTGAGCTAGGCGTGCACTGATTCAACCGCTACGCCTATAGATTCGATGAGTTGTTACAAGTTGAGGTCATGAATCGATTAAATTATACATTATTATGTTTGTCCCGTATTCACCGTCTCGTTTGTATTTTACTCATTTGTTTCGTCTCACTTTTACAGGTTTGCAAATGCACACCTGTAAACCCATACGGTTTACCCGTATTCTTGTCAGGGAAATTGAGTTTTCATGTCCATACGGCGTACAGCCGTTTGAATACGGACAAAAAAAGTGTCTATTTGTTTGTGTTTGTGTAATATGTACATATAATTTGTACACATTATAAATCATAAATTCTCACACGCATGCTTCATTGCATGTATTTTGAGCAAAACAGTTGACTTCTAATTGAGGAATGGACACATCGTTTCGTGGCCTGCTTTTGATGAATGCAACCAAAGCACAAATACATTATCTTGCTAAGCATATGGCACTTTCCGTAAATGTATGACCAGCATGGATCACTTTGATTAGTTTCCATATGTCTGAATGTGGAAGATGATGACGTGTTGATTATCTCCGAGTGGCTGCATTGATGAATGGGTGAGCCACTTGCCTGTGAGACATCCTTCCAGCTCTTGCGAGCACGGCTGACAAGATACTGATGAGCCTGTTCACAAGCCATCTCCGAAGGGTCTTTAATCTCCATGCTGTTGATGAAAAGAGACGGGTGGAAACGAGGGTTTCGTGGATGCTTTGTTCAATTAAAAACTTAGCGGGAGTAATACGAGCAGTCATAGTCCTAATGAAACAAATTTACGTAAAGTAATGATGATGTCTTCATTTTCTCTCAACGTATAATTATGCCTCTGTATCTCAAGCAGTTTTTAGAAAACATCTTTCAACGTCACTCTGAATAGCTTTGGGGAAAGCGCATCATGTAACCTCAATGTGACACTTTCATAGTTGTCATCTGCTTTTGTTCGATGACGATGATAACAATGCCCTGTTGTTTCTACCCACAATGCCGCAAACGGAAACGCAACACGTACATTCTTGCGCCCGCGTCGAGCCAGCGTGTTCCGCCGTCTTGTGTGGGCGGGTCGAACTTCTGCAGGAAGTCGCCGTAGCTGAGCCGCGAGCGCTCGTTCAACCCCAGCATACCGAGCAGCCGGCCAAACTCTCCGTCCGTGAGGGAGAAGTGCAGAGTCTCCAGGAGGCGGCGGAGGTCGCCGGCCGTCACCGCCCCGTCCCTGTCGCTGTCCGCCTTGTTGAACGCCGAGCGCAGGTCCTGCGAAGTGAAAGCCACTCGTGTGCCCGTGCCGCTAGAGGCAGCAGGGCCGCGCAAGCGTGCAGCCAGGTGTGGTGGTCCAGGCAAAGGGTCGTGGAAAACGTCGTTTTGAATTATGCGTTTTTTGCGAGGTCTAATATATAAATATAACTATTTTGCTGTTGTCTCGTACAGTGTTGTCCGATGCAGCTTTGCATGAATACTATATCAAATTTTATTTTTATTATAAACCCACAAACCCGCTGGGCTGTGATAGTTCAATTTTCACGTGCAGTTTTATGGAGGGACTGTGTGTTGTCTTGGTGTGGTCTGGGACTGTTTTTGCTGTTGTTTTGCTGCCTTATCCAACATTGGGACTTTGTGTGCTTATGCAATTTGAACTTATATACTTGATCTATTTTACGTATTTATTTTAAGTGATTTCCTTACCTTTCCTATACTTTGCACCCCTTTCGTTTTGTTGTATTGTCTGTTACTGTAACCTTCTGACCTGCCCCTACCAGACATTTGTAAAAAGAGCTTCATAGCTCATTGGATTTCTCCTGTCACACAATTCCGCAATCGCTCCACCTCTGTGCGATCAACCACCATGGCCAGCACAGTGAAGTCCATTGGCCAGCAGTGACACCCACTGGACAGCTTGAGAACAATGAATGCGAGCCCTTGACTGACTGCACTTGTCCCATCACAGTCAACCTTCACAACATGACAATGTTACAGCCCTTTGTCAATGTGCTGCCGGATGAGGGCCTCCGCATGCCGTGTCGTGTCACGATGCTTTGTTCGACCATAATTCACCACGCCGGACCAGTGTGGGTTCAGACTTATATAGTTAATTAATTTACTTATATTTAGTGACTTGCTGACCATTTTCTTTATTTTGCATTCCTATTGTGTTTTTGTATTGTTTGCAGTTGTAACTTGCCGACCTGCCCATACTGGACATTTGTGAAAAAAAGTTTCACAGCTCATCGGATTCCACCGGTCTAAATACAGATTCTGATTCTGGATTTCAGTTTGTTTGACTGCGCTGCCAAACAAACTGAAATCTGCCGGGACACCAGAAGGAAGGAATGGCCGTACCGTGTAGACCTGCCGTAGCTTGTCAGGCAGTGCCGCGTGGCAATCCTCGGCACGACAGTGCTGTCTGGAGACCTCGGCAACGCGGTGATTGGGCGAGAGCAGCAGCTGCTCGCCCGGCCCGTAGATGCGACGGTCTGCAATGAACAGATGATGATTTTTTTTTTATAAACAATAATGCTCAGCTCCAACTGCTACCATGACACTTACGAATATGTGAATACCTAGGAGAGAACATGGACGTACGCAGCTGTACTAAGTGTGGAATTATGTAATGGCAAATAAATAATACTTTCCAAAGATATAGATTTGAAGATTGATATGTTTAAGACCAGTTTTGTTAAATCAACTGATGAGTAGCTTCCAAGGCAGTACAAACCTTCATCCCTCCAGAGTCAATTCAATTAGTACCACCTTAAAGTAAGTGAACAGTGGCAGCCCTATATACAGACTTGACCCTGCCATAAGAATGTTGAATTGTCACCACTGGTCATGCTTGTTTAAGTGTGTGCATTTTATGACAAAGACAAGACGACTCACCTTCAAAGCATGCAAGAAAGTCCGAGTAGGTTATGCTGCCGTTGGTAAATCCCAGTCTCTGCAGTAGTGCATTAAATTGGTCATCTTCCATTATCATGCCACATTCCTGCAGGATCTGCACACCACTCAGAATGAAGCAAACGATAAACCCACAATGATTCCTTGCTATTTAACGTACTAACATTACCGAAAAGGTGAGTCTCCTAAACTAAATCTAATTTTCAACCACTTTTTGAATACACAAATATTATTCGCGATTATAGTAAAGTTTGTTTGTTCGTTCCTCAATCTGCTTGTCCTGGCGAGGGTCGCGGCGGCAGCGTGTTGAGTAGGACTGTCCAGACCTCCCTTTCCCTGGCGACAGACTCTAGCTCTTCCTGGGGAATTCCCGGGCGTTCCCAGGCCAGCCGAGTGACATAATTCTGCCAGCGTGTCCTGGACCGGCCCCGGGGTCTTTGCCGAGTGTTATTTATATATATAGGACAGCCTCAGAGTCCTGCATTTGTCCGTTAGAACAATTCAATTATCGAGAATGTTTTGCATATGGGAGTAAGCCAGAGCACCTGAACATAAATCATTTATATGAAGTGGTTAACAAACAATGGTTTAAAAGATGCATTGAATCTTGAACCCAATTTGCTGTACTGCTATCAACTGGGCACCTTGCAGCCCAGCAGTATGAGCATTTCACAAATGTCTGTGACACACCAACCCCTGTCGCCAAAGTGCATTATGACAAGCATTCACAGCATTCACAAATCAAAAGGCTGGTTTAATTAACATTACTGTTTGTAAACACGTGAAATTTACCAATACAGAAATGTCTCCTGAACATTTGCATATAACATATAATTTACACTGAATAAAATGTGCATGTATGCGGTGCGTCTAGATTCAACCAGACGTCAAGACTCTGGTGTTAATATATTTACGTTGTAAACAAAGATCCAGTCAGTCATAGACAGAGGAAGAATGACAGGTGTTAAGTCTGGACTTGAACGAGGGGCAGGGAATCGTGAGAAAAGAAAGCTTAACATTTTCCTCTACCGCGCTGTTGGTGGACAAATTTAGTGGGCCTCAAGACGGGCCGGCGAGAGGGAATCGTGAGAAAAGAAAGCTTAACATTTTCCTCTACCGCGCTGTTGGTGGACAAATTTAGTGGGCCTCATGACGGGCCGGCGAGATGGCACCTGGCGGAAGTCGAAATTGGACACGCGGCCTTCTCCCCGCCGGTCGTGGCGTGCGAAGCTCTGGTGCAGCGTGGTGTCGCGCTGCGCCACGTGGTCCCTGAGCCGGACGAGCACCTCCCGCAGGGGTAGCGCGCCCGTCAGCTTCCTCGCCTCGCCCTCGATCAGCTCCAGTCTGAGCAACGCGCGCAGCCAGTACGTCCATGGGATGCGCAATTCCATAATGTACGTAGCCAACCGTGCCAATCGGAGGTGCCAAAATAAGACCTCCATAAGCCACAGAAATGCTTACAAAGTGCTGCCCAGCTTAGTTTGACAACGTAAAATGATGGCCAAGCCCCTTTTCATCAAAACAAGTGCTTTGCCCCAATTTTATCCCGCTTGTGCTATTGGCATCATGTCATGAGATGACGCATCTATTCGTATCTCTAACAGAGCATTGCAACACTCCATATTAGGGAGCGGGCCACAGAAAGAAGATATCACAGAGCCACCTCTCAGGTCCCATGAAGTGACTTCTGGTCCGTGCTTTCCCACTCGCTCTGCATATGAGAGTAACGTTTGTTATCTGACAGCCAATGCTCAGAGCTGAAATGGTGTCAAAGTACAAAACCAATGTTTCAATGCGGTGGATTTTTTTTGTGCAGTCATTGGTAACCAGGCTGAGGCCAGCAGATTTGAGAACCTGGATTAATCACAGGCAGTAGCATGGATTCAAACACAGAATCTCAGCGGTGCCAGCTCAGCACTCTGACCTCTGAACCACCATACCACCATCGCTATCTTATTGCGTCTCCACTGTCCAGCCTAGCATAAAAAAAAAACCACGATGAAATAACACAGTGACGAATTATTCCTAGCAAGTCCGTGCAATTGTAACTTCCAACCTCGCAGACAGGTCGGCCTGCCTCTTGACCTCGCGCGCGTTGCTTTCGCTGTGTAGACGCGAGCTGACCCCGGCAAAGTCGCCGGGCCGGGGGTCCACGCCCAGACGCATCAGGAACTCGGAGAACCGGATCCGGAAACCTGGGCCCTGCTCGCAGCCTTTGCACAGCCTGCCCGCAACGTGGCACGTGCGGATACAGACACATAGACGCAAATGGGGTCAATGTACATTAGGAGCAGCACCATTGGCATAACAATTGTTTTGTTTATAATGGTAATATCATATATTTATGAAGGGAAAGCCCAACTTGAGTTTCATGATATTTTAATAGAGTGTTCTGCACTGGTATGTGTAGCCAATTCCTTTGTCAGTAGTTTTTTTTTCTGTGTGAGGATATTGCATAAAACCCATACATATGAAGGAATAACACTCAAGGGTTCTGCATATAGCTCCTGGCTCTGTCATAGCCCAGCAGGTATTGGAGTTGCACAGATCTCTCTCTACATAATCGAGCAACGCTGGCATCCAAAGTGCTGAGACTACAGGCAAACGCCACCCTGCTGGGTTAATCAAAGCGCTTGCTGGTGCTAAAAAGAACCTACTTCACAATCATCAATTTTTTCAGGAGATAACACAAATTCATCGTACTTGTTAAAGTGTTCGTCGGACAGCGAAGGTCCGAATCTGCGGAGGATGGCACGCAGGTTATCCTGGGTGATGAAGCCATCGGCATCCTGGTCACAGGAGTCAAAAGCCTCGCACACGTCCTTCCAGCGCTCCGTCAGCTTGTCACGGAGAATTTCCTCCGCCTGCCAGCAGGAGCCAGACACATGCTCTTTTCAGAATTTGAGACAAATTCATTAACAATGTACAGGGTGCTTAAAAAATGTTTTTACATTTATATGGGACTATCGTTTTTAATGGAAAAAGAACAGATAAAACACTGTAACATGATAAGAAATGTATGTTAAGAGCTTAAAAAAGTCAGGGTCTCCACTTGTTCGCCATCATTGTCAACACGTTGCCTGGAATAGTCTCCAGGTGGTCTCCAGTGCCCAGAGGCACATTTCTTGTGGTATTGTTGCAAATTCTTAGAAGTGTTAACATTTGTTTTTATCCTACTCAATTATATTCCGACTGTGTCATCGGTGGCACGTTTCCATCCGGAACACACAATTTAGAATAAAAGTTTTGCACAGCGAGCAGTGTGAGATCTTGAGTCAGAGAATGGTCCCGGAATTGGACATCACAGACGACTTTTGAAGTCTCTTCACAATACACCTTTTAATATTACTCGAGGCAAAACATTTCACACCCAGAAAAGAGTGTTAATTGCATGTCAACCAAATTTAATTTTCTAATTCTAAGAGCTGGAATTAGCCTAATTACAAATTAATTAACAAGCCAAATTTAACATGATGGGCTTTTTTAATATTCAACGGTGACTGGGCAGACACCATCAAACTCACTCAACTTGAGACTACAGTCTAATCATGGACGATCGAATCTTTAATTCGGACCGAGAATCAATAGCAGTGTGAGCTCAGTGCTATGATATGGTGTTAATCCCCGAAACCGTCTGGCCAGTTCTACATTTGGGACACTTAACAGGACATAGTGAGGTTAAACAAAAGGAAGGCATGGGTTTTTTCGGACGTCGCAAAACTGACAGGCACCAAGTGCTCTCCACAACATCTCAGAACTCACCGCCTTCCAGGTCAGAATGTCAGTTGTCTTATGTCCATTAACTCGGTGAGTGCTATTTAACCACTTGTGAGCATCCTGCACAACACACAACACACAACAAAAGCAACTTCAATCGAAAGCCCAAAATATTGACGAAGATCGTGTTGCTTATGGAGATGGGTTCACCTATCCTATCGGTGAGCTCAGACGCGTGTGTGGTGTGGGGAGCGGTGGTGTAGCGGTTAGCACACTGCATTATGAACGTGGCAACCCAGGTTCAATTACCACTCACGGCCAACACCAGTGATGATTATCTGAACTGGTTCTAGGCCTCCCCTAGGGAGGCCTTCAGCTTTCGGACACCTGGTGTAATAGACGCATGCATCAGGCAGTTGGAGAGAGGACCTTTATACTCAGGGGGTTGCTTTGATGCTCTGTTAATCTGTGTATGCCAGTTGCTCTGTGTGTGGTTCGTATAGCGAGTAGTAGTGTAGTGGTTATCGCGTTGCGCTACAAAACCAGCGACCCGGGTTCGATTTCCACTCACGGCCACCACCAGTAACGATTATTGAACTGGTCGACTTAGCCTCAAATGAATACCTGGTGCTGTGTGTAAACATCGCCACTGGGGAGACAAAGGTGGTCGGGCGTGGTGCTGGCCACCCACCCCATCGTGTGCCGATCCGGCCTTCATAGGTGCTTGCTAACAGCACTTGCCCCGATAGTCAGTTAAGGCTACACGGGGGATCTTTGTCTTTGGTGTGTGGATACACAGACCCACCAGGGTCTCTCGAGGCTCGAACAGACACAAGAAGTCCGTGTAGTCCACGAACCCCGAGTGGCCTGGGTCCAGCAGCAGCATGAGCTCCCGGAAGTGACTGTCGCCCATGCGGAACCCAAACCCCTCAACCAGTCGGCGCAACTCCTGACGTGTCACCCGTCCTTGCCGGTTCTGTTTACACAAGTTTACATTCGTGTGTATAATGAATTAGTGCTGGAATTCGTGTTAAATTATAATCGCATTTTTTACATTAGCAGAAGCAGTGAGACAGTTGTGGAGTTTTTGAATACATTGGCAATTCAGTACTGTCTTAAAGGACACCAGACTGACAGATGTAAAGCAAGTTTAAATCTCAGCTCCTCATTAACAAAAATACGTTGACTGCTGCTGCCTTAGCATTGTTATTTCGCCATTTATAATTTTCAATGACTCATAATGAATGACCCTGAAAGTGGCTCAGGTCCCTATCAGTTTTATAATACATTTTATAAAAAAGAAGCAAATTGCAATGGAAGTCACATAAGTGGATAAGTGCTTTTATGTAATTGCCCTATGTAATTTTACAGTCGTGCACATTGGTGAATGCTTTAATAGAACTGTACGCATCGCAGCTATTACTTGCTATTGTTAGAACATTGTGTTCTGTACTACTCAACTATTTATTAAACCATTTTTTTTTACCAGGTAAGGCCCACTGAGCTATATATAGATTTTTTTCAGAAGCAACCTAGCCACGCATGATAGCTCAACAAAGTGGCTTATCGCGTGGAAATTATAGTAGCCAAATACTCTAAACGCATGTTGATTCTAAATATGGAGGGAAACATCAAAGGACCCGGAGAAAAACCCACGAGAGCACAGGAAGAACATGCAAACTCCAAATTTACTGTACAGGCGTCAGGGTTGGGATCGAACCCATGTAGTTAACATCTCGCCACCGCGGCACCAATGCAGGTGGCAGTGAAGGAAAGGTTCAGATCGGGCAGGCACAAGGACATACAATGTCCAGGGCAAGGAAGGCCTCCTTGAGAGATGGGTAGCACTCCAGAATATGCTTCCGCAGTCTCGCCAGGACCTCACTGGCAGAGGTAGACTCGTCGGCGCCACGAAAAGGGTTCACCCTGCCAACACACAGACGCTTGTTAAAACTCCAGTGCCGTGCAGTTGAATGCATTACTAACGACATGAAGCTATATTTTTAATATATATAAAAGCAAGCGATAAACGAAATGCCAAACAATGTGGCCTCACCTGTGGCTGGACCTCATGGGCAGTGTCTGGCCATTGCCGATCGATTGAGGATTCGGAAATTTGGCCAAAAACAGCTCCCAGGGTACCTTTCCAGTGGCCTTGATGCCAAGCCTGAGAGAGGGGGTAAATTAATATGCAGTCGGTGTGCACAAAACACACGTAGAATCTCAGCCGATGATCAAAAATCACCCAGAACGCACATGGTTTCATTCGATTTCAGAAGTTAAGCAGGGTTGAGCTTAGTGATTGAATAGGCGGCCACCGTGCATTACACAGGTGTTATAGGCTGCTGTGGGTCTACGTGGTCGGCATTAAAGGGCAGTGACGCAAATATAATTTCTGAAGAGTACTTCCATACTCCCAAATCTATGCTCCCCACCTTCACCATCCACCACTACCCAGCACAATAAAGTATGGCCAAATCACCTCTATCACTTGTATGTCATTGCAAGTTCCTCGTCCAGCAGTGGAGTGACAATAGGGTTATTTTACATGGACATAGCATCTAAATGCAACTGCAGCTGCATCCGAAGATAAGTAACTTTTTCAGAGTCTGAAAAGTTGTCATTTTACAATGAACATTAAATAAAGCCAAGCAAATGTATTGAAAGACATGTCAAGCTAAGCACAGTGAAGATCTTGACTGATGACTCAGGTATAAAGTTGCCCTTTCAAGCAATAACACAAAGACTCTGCCATGCAGCTATGTACAAGCTCACAGTATCTCAACATTAGCAACTGCTTGACTACAATGACATTGCTGAGTGGGTGGTAGAAGGGAACACTTCATTGATGAGTGCCAAGTCTGGGCAGGCAGCGAGTTCACTTTAGTTGTCTCTATTTTAAGCAACTGAGAACCCTTTGAGACTGCAAATCCCTTTCACAAGGGTGACCTAGGTCAACATGTCACAACAGAACAAACTTTACATCGCACAGGGGGCCAGAGCTAACATCGAAGAGCTAAAAGAAGAGGTGAATAGGGAATAGGCCGATGACCAATTCAACCTAGGCAATGCATCCACTCACGAAACCACTCGGAATATACGCAGATTATTATAGACCACTGCGGGGTTACTTGGTGAGCAGCAGAGGACAGTGCAGACAAATCCATTGATGTACTGAAGAATACTTTCTCTGCTGTATGTTGAACTTCTTCCACACTGTACATAGCCAACCATGCGAATCGGAGGTGCAGGGGAAGGACAACAAACTAAACACAAAAAGCAGTTCTAAAGAAATGAGTTTTCAATCTAGATGTAAAAGTGCAAGCTTCAGGAGCTTCCTAATATACGAAGAGTATTTCAAACGGCTGCAGAAGCGCATCTGCTCCCACATCTATGCTCCCCGCCTTCACAAACACCACACCAACCAACATGGTGGGGTATTGTGAAATAACCTGTCCACCACGTAGCCCTGCAGTGGCCTCGCATGGGTCGGCCCTTACCCAGCCGTGGATTGACAATGGGCCGTACGTTGTCATTGTCATACTGTGATGAGAATGGGGTGGAGGGAGGCCTTCCACCCGCACCCAACTCTGACCATACTCACATTGCTGATTAAGTGTCAGCGCCGTGCAGCCATTAATTTCCGGCAGGTTCAAAGTTCAGAGTTTTGAATTACCACCAGCGGCGGTGGTCACTTACTGGTCGAGGACACACAGCATGGCCTCCGGTGCCAGCGGGAGCGTAAAGCTGCGCAGCACCGACACAAAGTCCTCCACCGCCAGGGTGCCGGCACCCGAGCTGTCGAATGCACGGAACGCCCGCTGGAGGTTGCTGTAGTTTTCGCACACCTGCACCACGAAACGTACATAGCCAATGTTCAGCGAGGCTCACTTTGGGCCTAAGGTCGCTCGTCCACATGAGTGCGAGATGAGTGGTGCATTCCTTCCTATGTAGATGAGCACTTTAGAAGAATGCCATCTCACGGATGGGGGGGCTAGAAGGGAAGGTCCAAGTGAAGAACCTCCACAGGGGCTACAGCCAACATCGGCCGTAGCCCCTGTGGAGGTTTTTCACATGGACCTTCCCTTCTAGCCCCCCCCCACCCTCCCAGTCCCTGACTGCCACATTTAGATAAGCTCCTCCCCCCTCCCCTTAACCAGTATTTAAGATATTTTCTCTTGGATTTCTCTTCACTCGATACAGTAAATTTAGCTGTGACGGTCCCACCTGAAGATGGAGACTTGTGTTGCCTCCGAAACGTCGTGATTTAATTGAGTTATTTTCATTTATTATTATTATTATTTTTACCTACGTGACTTTACCGAAAAAACCTAAGAGTATAGCACATGTAGTGATATTACTGATTGCAGTGCTTGAAAAAAATGACACACTATCCTTTGGACAGCAGACTCAGTAGATACTATATTTAGACTAGAATCTATCTAATGCACTTGTAAAACAGTGCTGTTTTGGTTTTAAAATGCATTTACTCATGTGATGTATGCTGACTTTGTGTTGCTTCTTAATAAATATCTACGATTGGAGACCCAAACGAGTGCCATCTTTTACATTAATTATACAATCCAAATCACAACATTATAAAGTACGATCTCCCACATACAACAGATTGCTTGTCTTCTTCTTCTGCTCAGAACTTTCGCTTGATATCTATCATATGGACAGAGGTTGAGACTTACAATAGGAAAGACCACCAAAGGAGGGAACTCGCCCATGATTAAGCAATGAAATCAGCCGATGTACAGGTGCTTGATGGGTTTTCTGCATTGCGAGACCGTGAGAGATGACAAAAACCTGGGGAGGCTTTCATCCAGTAGTAGATTGATCACGGAAAAGATTTGTAGCCTACACAAATGAACATTATATATATATATGTATTTTATAGATTAAACTCTCCTTAGCGAACCTATTTATAGTTCTCCTATTTATAGTAGTAAGCCTGTAACGGACATCAGAAAGGCTTTCATCCTGATTAGTCTCTTATCCTGGCCTATTTATCAAGTACAGTATTACACAACGGCAGTGGTGCAGTGATCAGCAGCATCATCATAGGCTATCCCTTGCAATCGAAGATAGACAAGTTGTTTTATCTGTGGGTCCGAAGATACTGATCTTGGATGACAGATTTGGCCGCAGCTCGGACACATGTGTCCAGAAAGAGTGGTGGTGTGGAACTGGATTAGGAAGTTGGGCTGCAGCGTGCTGTTTCTGCCGTTTCCGATTTTCCTGTTTCCACCCTTGAATTTCAAAATGTTTGGATCCTTGAAATATACTCTGTCTCCATCTGAAGTGATGCTGGGCAAGGATCTCCCATGAGTTGGTGTCAATGGTGCACTTCTTCACGTTGGCCTTGAGGACATCCTTGAAGTGCCTTCTCTGCCCTCCTCAGCAGCAACACTGCACTACGAAAGCAGTGACCTGGGTTTGACTGTCGGCAATCGCTAGCAGCAATACCGAGCAATTTTGTAACCAGTCCTGAGCAACCCCCTTCAACAAACCAGCATTATGAAGCATGGTCAAACATCCCGCATAACCAAAATGGCATAGGCAGATGTTCATCCACCAGTGGGTTGACCAAGGACTGCATTATTATTATTATTACTACGCAATGGCTCAGCAGGCTCCCGCCCAGTGGTGCAGGATTCTCTCAAAGAGCAAAATCGACGCCCATTCTGACGTGAACCTCTGTGACTCTTGAGCACACAGGTTAAGTGAAGGGAGGGGGGGAAACTAAATAGAACGAAAATAAAAAACCCATTTACACCCACCTTCTTCCGGAAAGCTGCCTGCAGCTCCTCCGGGCTGGCTTCTGGCTCAGTCTCCTTGGCATCGCCCGCCTGCCCCATGTATCCCCGTTCATCGCACCGGCTCTCCAGCTGCTTCCTCTCCTCCGCAGCGTCCCTCCGCACCGCTTCCCAGTTGAGTACTGCCGACAGCAGGGGTCAAACGTGTTCAAGTCACGCTGCCTGGGCCTCGTCTCTATGCACATTAACATGCGCCAGCAGTTTAGCTGTTGACTGGCAACAATAGTTTTACTTCATTGGTATCACCTACATATAAACGGTAGTATTACATGCACAAAATATAGACATGTACAGCCCTTGTGTCAATACACTTCTAGATGAGGGCCTCTCCATGCTAAGTGGTTGATGGGGGTTATTTGACCATACTTCACCATGCTGGTCAGTGTAGGTTGGTGAATGCAGGGAGCAGAGCCGTTGGATCCATGCCATGGTAGAATGGATGTTGCGGTACTGCCCTCTTCTGACAATGTAGCTCTGCAGTAGCCTTTGACACTTGTTTCGTATATTTCATCTGTTCATCAGAACTGCTTTTTGTGTTTAGTTTTTTGTCCTTTCTCCGCATCTCCAATTAGCACGGCTGGCTATGTACGGTGCAAAAGAAGTTAAACATATATACATACAGAAGATACAACTTTTGAATGCACATAAACATATGTAACATTTGAACTCAACCATGCTGCTGACAAGCCCCTAGCAATGTATCTCCAGGTCGACGCTCACGTGAGCAATTCACAACGCGTCGTCTACAACACGTTTTTCCAGCTCACTTGAATGCAAGTTGGTGAATATACACATGTATGTACGTTGAACTTCTTTCGCATCGTACATAGCCAACCATGCTAATGGGAAGTGCGGGGAAGGACAACAAGCTCAACACAAAAAGCAGTTCTAAAGAAATTAGTATTCAATCTAGATTTAAAAGTGCATAGCTCCAGTGGCTTCCTAATATTGGAAGGAAGGGCATTCAAGACGGCCACGCGCGATGTAGTAACCGTCTTTGTTCGATGGCTAGCCAAAAGCCGCTGCGAGGATGACCGGAGTTTGCGTGCCAAACGGCTGCGTGTGTTCCCATCGGTGCCGTGCATGAAACATACACAACTGGACGGTGTCCGGCTCCGGGTGCCACTGACTCTCCTGCGAAAGCCCCAGGGACTCCAGGAACTCCTGGTACGCCACCGTGCCACCCTTGTGCACATCGTGGCGAGCCCACAGCCTGAACACAAAGAAAATCACCTCGTCCCATTGAACGTGTACATATAACATGCAAAGCCACATTTTTTTAAATAATTTGTACATTCCATTAATTTATATTTTGGTATAACTGACATCTATAAATTATACAAATTGTGTAGTTAATTCTAGATTTGAAGTTTTCGTGACTGCAAGGGTCCATACTCTTTGGTTTTTTCGGTAAAGTCACGTAGGTAAAAAAGAAAATAAATAAATTAAATCACGATATTTCGGGGGCAACGCAAGCTTCCGTCTTCAGGTGGAACCGTCACAGCAAAATTACTGTATCAAGTGATTGACACACGAGGGTTTTTGAGAATTGTGTCAAGAGGTTGCACTCACTACTGTATCAAGTGATTGATACAGTAATTTTGTCACTTGATACAGTAATTTTGCTGTGACGGTTCCACCTGAAGATGGAAGCTTGTGTTGCCTCCGAAACGTCGTGATTGAATTTATTTATTTTTTACCTTGTGTCGTTAAGTCAGTGGAATAAAAAAACTGTCGGCAGTGAATTAAAAGGAGCCACCCCCTCATATCACGTATATGAGAGGGTGAAGTGACCAGCACGTGATGCACCCCCAGTGCCTCCCTACTTGCTGAACTGGCTTTCTGAGAGACGAGCTCCGTGGCTCTCGAGGACGGCCCGGAGCTCGTGGCGCTGCACGCGCCCATCGCCGTTGTAGTCGAAGAGGCGGAAGGTACGCACCACGCCCTTCAGGTCCCTGCCCAGCTGAGTGATGACGACGACCAGCAGCAGCAGAAGCAGCCACACGAGGGTTTTTGAGAATTGTGTCAAGAGGTTGCACTCACGACGAGAAAAAAAGGTCTCCGTGCAGACAAGTTTTCACTTCAAAAACATGTTTTAAAAATGTTTTATTTGTATTAAAACGATGGCATATTGCGAGAATTCTGACGGGACATTTATAAAATAAACTAGACTGATGAACTACAGACAAGCTGAACCTCGTTGTTGTCATGCCCACTTCAAAGTCTCCCCTCTGAGCTTGTGCAGAAGGGCTTTTGAGATGTTTATTTTGCAAAGGCAAATAAAGATAACAGCAGTCAAGTTTTATATTCATACAATGCTTAACCTTTCGTGGACTAGGCACATGAACATCATCTATACTTTCCAAGGCTCCCACTTATACCACACCCACAATCAGGCTGTTGCTATTAGAAGCCTGCAAACACTACTTTTGTAAATGCTTCATCCACAACCAATACGTTTCTAATGTTTGCTTCGGAGAGTTAATCCGCCTCTCGTGAGCCTATAGCAACTAGGGTCAGTTGCCAAAACAAATCTCAAAGCAGCTGCAGTAAATGTAGAATGGCGACGAATCGAATGTTGTTGGTAAGAACGTACACCAGCCTCATCAGCTCTTTTCAGTTGCCAAGCGCTGTGAATTTACTTGCTGTAACATTGATTAGCAATGCTTACTGGTAGCAATGTTTTGCACAATAGTTTCTTTTAAAGTTGTGCTTTTTTACTTTCAAAAGGTCAGTGTTCCAGCGCAAAGGCTTTTATTCCAGGCAAAATCACTGAGGCAGCGAGATCATTTTTATTTAGGGCCGTGTCCAGGAGTGAGCATTGTTTTGTCTTGTCTGTGTAATTTATTTTGACAGTAATGGTGCACGCCATTTGTGTCCATGGTAGCGTGAAATCGGATAGCTGTGACCTTACCTTTTTCCGCAGCAACAGGTCAGTTTCCTCATTTATCCCACGGCCTGCCGGTGGCGTTGATTTTTGCCTAATAAAAAAACAAAATCACTTGAAGATATATTTTTAAAAAATCAATTGCACGCACACATGCAGTCAAACGTCAAGCAGTGCACTTCAATTGTGAACATCATCTTCTTTAAGTTCATGAAACAAACTGAGCGGAAAAGTTGTTTACCCAGAAATGACAGTCAAATGCAAAAAAGTAACATTTTATTACTGAATACCATTTTACGAATCAGCTTTGGATGTGACACCGGCTCACAACAGCCGACCAGTACAATCGTCAAATGAATTGTTTGTTAAAAACCAGACGTAATAGTGGGCCAAATGTGCCCTCCCAGCGCAACAGACTTGTTGACAGTGTAGCATGCCTCATCGTAATAGGGCTGAGATGGATTCTCAAAATTGTATACTTTGATCTAAAATGTAATGAGATGTCAAAGGAACTGGAATCATCTTTCATTTACTTTATGGTTTTTATGTATTAAGAGTTACTCTGTGATCACAGGGAGCCGGTAGAGACTCACCGAGATGATGCTGTGCTGGGCCTTGTAGGCTGACCGAGAAAGTGTTCTAAAAACTGCAGGTATGGTATATTCCCATTCCTCCCTGCTGGTACCTGAGTAACACACAAACACAAATCTCACCACTTCATCAAAGACTAAAACCTCTATGCCAACAAGAGATGCATTTCAAATAAAGGTCCGTGAACCTGCTTATATTTTAATGCTTTTTATCAGGTCTTTTTTATCATCAGAAAGGAAAGTTTATCACTTAATAAGGCAAAAATTCCAACTAGAAATATTAGATTACTGTTCTGAATTGTTTTTGTCTCTAGCAGGGCATGTGTAAAATTTACCCCTATTGTGTGTGAATAAAATAGGCAACTGGAAGGTATCCGAGAAGTTCTGTGAAATCTTCTTCCATGCGCCACTCCCTAACACACAGGTTTGCATTGGTCTATCAGAGTGCCAATTCTGATACTTCATCTGATGACACCATGCCATAGAAAATATAGGAAAAAAAACACAAGCAAGGCAAGGCTGCTTCGGAAGCTACATCAAAATCAGAATCTTTTTTTATCTTGGAAAAATCCGACGAGGTATGAAGCTATTTTCATCAATGTCCAGTAAGGAAGAGATGCATACCATCACAAGCAGCGCGCCAAACTGAGGGTCGGTCAGTGGCAGGACAAAGAGATCCAGCACGCGACGGAGCTCTCCGTGGCTCACTGTGCCAGCCCGGCCCGGGTCCAGCGCCCGAAACGCACGCACCAGCTGCTCTGTCCTCTCCGCCACGCCGCGCCGCACAAAGTCCGCCACCTCGCTCGCCGAAAGCGCGGGCTTTGGTGACAAGGCCACGGATGGCGTCAGGGCTGTGAAAGTGCCGAAAGCTGGGTTTATAAAATGCTTCCAAGATTATGCAGTGAAATAAGAGCGCTGCTAAGTACGATTAGCACGGTTGGCTACGTACGGTGCGAAAGTAGTTCAACATATATACATGTAAAGCACTTTTGTAAATCCACTGCTGGATTTAGAGCCTCACCACACTGTGGCGAGGCCATCATACTTTACCACACTGGTCAATATAGGTTGGTAAAGACAGGAAGCATGCACAGTCGCGCAATGGATTTTACTGTGCTGCTCCCATCTTACCCAAAACGTAACCCCGTAAGCCCAATGAGAACGGGTTTGTGCATGGTGGTCACCCATCTTAACAGTATCCAGGCTCAAATCTACTGAGCTTCCAAGATTTGACAAGTTGAAGAACATTCTGGGTGATTTGGTCATGGGACAAGTGTGCATAACTTTTGCAAATTAATATACCGCACGTAAAAACAAAATGAAGACGTGCATTTTTATCTGCCGCCACAAACATAGTAAATGACAGTGATCTCTTATCATGAAATTATTATTTCATGCTTGTCATGCACTGATTCAGAAACGTTGACATCTGAATTCCCTCATCATCTGTGGCTATATTTTAAAATAAATTTTCAATGTGATAATTATTAGACATCACTTCTGGTAGGCGGTGGGGAGATAAGAAAAATTACCCTTACAAAACAACAAATAAAAATTTGATTCGCTGTATACATATGCCATACACAACATATACACTCTCGTAAGGTCTTACAGTATACTACATTGAAGAGAATATAGGTCAGATGAGAAAAAGGAGATCAATTACTTGCTTCAATAAAGCCAGTTGTTATTTTTAAAAGACATTTTCCTTGACGAAGGTTAGATAATTGTAGTTTTATATATCCATACTATTTCAGATTAAAGATGTTTGAAAATTTTTCAGGAATATTTCAAGTATGCTGCCCATATTCAAATAATCGTTACGTTACGTTGGTGTCGAACCTGGCCACGGCTAACATCAGCGGCAAGCGAGGTTTCAACTAATCCTGGATGCCCCCATCACCAACCTGTACTGGACCAGCATGGTGAAGTACGATCAAACAACCCCTACGACCTACAGCCACGTGGGGAGGCCTTAATCCAGCAGCAGATTGGCAAAGGGCTGTGCATTGTTATTGTCACACTATGAAGGTGACCTGCCGACGGTCAAGGGCTCACATTCTTTGGAGGCTACGGGCGATGTGACTCGGGCATCCAGGCCATTGATGCGACACGGTGCCCCCTCGTTGGCCGGGTACAGCTGCTCCATGTGCACTGTGGACGAGCTGCTCCGTCCCGGCCGGGCATCCCTGCGCGACCCGGGGCGCGCGGAGAAGACGACGCCCCGGGACACGGGCCGGAGCGTCGCCAGGCTGCTGTCTTGTCGGGGCATGGATGTCGGCATCGTTCTGTGGGTTCACACACACACGTGGGTTGTTCATCAGTATGATTCAAATACATTTGGAATATGTTCTTTCTAACATGATGCTCTACGTGTACATGTGCAGCCCTCTTGTCAACCTACCGCTGGATGAGGCCTTCCCCAATGCCTTGTGGGTCAGGGGGGTAATTTGACCATACATCGTCCTGCCGGTCATTGATGGATTTATTACAGCACAATGGATTTTGTTGCACTGCCCTCTGCTGCCACCATGCAGCTCCGCAACGTTACAATATCAGGTAAGCCACAGCTATTGCAGATTAGATGCTGGCCACTTCACTTTGTTTAAAATATACACACTTATGGAGAACCCATTGCTTTGCAATAGAAAATAAAATACATTATTTTCATATTCTTCTCTCAATCTTGTACTCGGAGCATGAAACTTAATCTACTTTTAAAATGTAATAAAATGCCAAGACATGTATTTTAATGTTTGTATCGATGAATAACCATTGACGGTCCTTCTGTCTAAGTTTCCGGGTCGTGCTGTTGGGGTTTGCAGTGTGTGTGTGTGCGTTGGGAGGTGGGGGAGCACAGCGTGGCGTCGCGGTTACAAACCCGGCGACCCAAGTTCGATTCCCTCTCGTGGCCAAAACAAGTAACGATTATCTAAACCGGTCCTGGGCCTCCTCTAGGTCGACTCGGCCTGAAATGAGTACCCGGTGCGGTGTGTAGTAAACATCGCTACTGGGGAGACAAAGGCGGTCGGGCGTGGTGCTGGCCACCCACCCCCTCGTGTACAGCAGCACTTTCCCCAACAGGTCTGTTAAGGCTATACGGGGGATCTTTGTCTTCACAGGGTAACGCCCGCCCCCCCAGGCGTTCTTTGAATTGGGGTCATTATCCCCCTCCTGCTGTATGAAGAACGTTGTTTGCCCACCCAGGGGACTGCCAAGGCAACAACTCTGTTGGTAACTTGACGCCACGCACTCCGCGGAGTGCCAAGCAGGTAACGGAAGCATTGGTCGTGTTTCCATTGGCATTCTGTGCTGGTAAACAAAAACAGCGCCACAAGGCGCAATGGAACCAGCAGCATTCATTCGCGTGAATGTTTATGTGGGATAATCTGACGTGGTGTATAAGAAGATACCCTGATATGGGGGATAATACGAATTTTAGAAAAAAAATTACGTACTTAAGTTTATGTTGGTTCTATTTTCAATTCTAGACCTACTGGACATACGTGGAAAAATAGCTGTATACTGTAGTTCATCGGATTCATCCAGTATACATAAACATTCCCATTCTGATAAATTGGTGTATCTATTATTTATAGCCTTTGTTGTCAATCCACTGCTCGATGAGAGCCTCCCCCTCACATTGTGTCGGTCAGGCGGGTTGGTGGAGCAGAGGGTGACACCACTCGCCACTGATGTTTAGTCGTGGCCGGGAATTGAACTCGAGACTGGAGGTTAACAACTGCGCCACCGCTCCACCCACACACGTTAGTCATTATCCGCATACATATTTAATGGTAACAGGTTTGATGAGGCATATAAAATCACCCATCCGTTGCATAGTCGTTGTCAATAACGTTTGTTGAATTGTCTGCGTGCTCATATAACAGCTGCAGTATTTCAATGCGACATTTCATTATAACATAGCCATTGATAACGGGAAATTAGAAATGTGTCAGTGGCAGAAAACGAAGCGTGCTGAGAATTGAGTACTGCCCATAACAGAATCACTCATCACATTTCATTTCGTCCATTTCTTTCATCATTTACAACAAAAAGTCAAGCCGAAATGTGCCCCTGTTCAGATGAGCTCCGGGGAGCGGTGCTCAACTCACATTCGTGGGCAGATCGGAGCCAGTGGTGGAAATTCCACATTTCTAAGACGGGCGCCAGTATATCCATTATATTCATTCTTATGACTACACTATTACAAACTGTTGTGTTTAAAATAATGGGTTGAAGGTAAGTTGTATTTTTAAACGATTAAAACGTAACAGGAAATCAAATGCCCTGAACATTTTCTCTCTTTATAAAGTCATTTGTGGGGCGTCCTTGTGATAACAAACACATTCCATTTCAGCGTCTGACAATATGAAACGCTACATTAAAATAAGTACCATAAACCAACATTTAAAAATATCAACACGAGTTAAAAAGTGATGGAAACTCGATTCGAGATAAGACACTCAAATTTATTTTAACAAGTATTTCCTACTCAAAGGCAATAACTGGATAGAACAAAATTGATTTGAAGCTTTCGTGACTGCAGGAATCCATACTCTTTGGTCGTTTCGGTAAAGTCACGTAGGTAGAAGAATAATAATAATTTTTAATTGTATTTAGTTTTATTTTTATTATTTCATTATTTCCCTTCTACGTGACTTTACCGAAAGAACCAAGAAGATGAATCCCTGCAGTCACGAAAGCTTTAAATCTAAAATTATTATTTTATTTGTATTATATATTTTTCTACCTACGTGACTTTACCGAAAGAACCAAAGAGTATGAATAGAACACCTCGATTCCCACAACCTTTTGTATGGGAGCTGGAGCGGTGGAGTTAGTGGTTAGCGCACTATGCTCTTATAACCCTTCGACATAAGTTCGATTCCCTTGCCACGGCTCACATCAGTGGCGAGCGATATCACAACACAATCCCTGGACTGGACAATCATTCTCTCCTTCCCCTTGCCCAAAAACCTTTCACCGCACCCGCACTGACCAGCGTGGTGAAGTATGGTCAGACAACCCACAATGACCAGCGTGGTGAAGTATGGTCAGACAGCCCACACTGACCGGCGTGAAGTATGGTCAGACAACCCGCACTGACCAGCGTGGTGAAGTAAGGTCAGACAGCCACACTGACCAGCGTGGTGAAGTATGGTCAGACAACCCCACACTGATCAGCGTGGTGAAGTATGGTCAGACAACCCACACTGACCGGCGTGGTGAAGTACGGTCAGACAACCCACACTGACCAGCGTGGTGAAGTATGGTCAGACAACCCACACTGACCAGCGTGGTGAAGTACGGTCAGACAACCCACACTGACCAGCGTGGTGAAGTATGGTCAGACAACCCACACTGACCAGCGTGGTGAAGTATGGTCAGACAACCCACACAGTGACCAGCGTGGTGAAGTATGGTCAGACAACCCACACTGACCGGCGTGGTGAAGTATGGTCAGACAACCCACACACTGACCAGCGTGGTGAAGTACGGTCAGACAACCCACACTGACCAGCGTGGTGAAGTATGGTCAGACAACCCACACTGACCAGCGTGGTGAAGTATGGTCAGACAACCCACACTGACCAGCGTGGTGAAGTATGGTCAGACAACACACACTGACCAGCGTGGTGAAGTATGGTCAGACAACCCCACACTGACCAGCGTGGTGAAGTATGGTCAGACAACCCACACTGACCAGAGTGGTGAAGTATGGTCAAACAACCCCACACTGACCAGCGTGGTGAAGTATGGTCAGACAACCCACACTGACCAGAGTGGTGAAGTATGGTCAGACAACCCACACTGACCGGCGTGGTGAAGTATGGTCAGACAACCCACACTGACCAGAGTGGTGAAGTATGGTCAGACAACCCACACTGACCAGCGTGGTGAAGTACTGGTCAGACAACCCACACTGACCAGCGTGGTGAAGTATGGTCAGACAACCCACACTGACCAGGCGTGGTGAAGTATGGTCAGACAACCCACACTGACCAGCGTGGTGAAGTACGGTCAGACAACCCACACTGACCAGCGTGGTGAAGTACTGGTCAGACAACCCACACTGACCAGCGTGGTGAGTATGGTCAGACAACCTGGTGAAGTATGGTCAACAACCCACACGTGACCAGCGTGGTGAAGTATGGTCAAACAACCCACACTGACCGGCGTGGTGAAGTATGGTCAGACAACCCACACACTGACCAGGCGTGGTGAAGTACTGGTCAGACAACCCCACACTGACCAGCGTGGTGAAGTATGGTAGACAACCCACACTGACCAGCGTGGTGAAGTATGGTCAGACAACCCACACTGACCAGCGTGGTGAAGTATGGTCAGAACAACCCACACAGTGACCAGCGTGGTGAAGTATGGTCAAACAACCCACACTGACCAGCGTGGTGAAGTATGGTCAGACAACCCACACTGACCAGCGTGGTGAAGTATGGTCAGACAACCCACACTGACCAGCGTGGTGAAGTATGGTTAGACAACCCACACTGACCGGCGTGGTGAAGTATGGTCAGACAACCCACACTGACCAGCGTGGTGAAGTATGGTCAGACAACCCACACGAGATCTTTTTAAAAGCAAGAATTTAATTTAGTTGTACTGTACTGTTGAACTTAGTTTGCTTTCGATAACTTTTGTTCGATCCACTGCTGGATGAAGGCCTCCACATTTGCTAATTTAATGTTAATTTTATTAACCGTTTTTTTTAAACGAAGCAGTTGGGACGTTGCCAATAAAATATTATTTTATGAAAGATTTACTTTAATCATAACATCTGTCGTTATACATTCATAATATGTACGGTATGTTGAACTTCTTTCGCACCGTACGTACAATATTAAAACAAAAGCTACTAACCCTGTGGTGTCTACAGAGCAACACAAACCCCGCTCTTTAACTTAAAATACTTCACAACTAGTTTAACACGTAAGGAGGCTTTCGCAACCAATATTATCCATAACAAATGTGTTTTTTGTGTCGTTAAACCCGCCACCACCCGACACAGCCAACTGGTAATGTTTGTCACGTCAACAAAACGTGACAATTCGTTACGAACACAGCACACCGGATTATGTTGGGAGAGTAAAAACCACAACGTTAGACAATCGGGAGTACGACGTTTCGCCAGCAATTGCAACCAGCTTCCTCAGGCGACAGCCAGTCTTGTGGAAAAAAAACTTTCTATTACGTTCCTTAAACAGACAGGGGGGTGGGGGTGTGTGACAAATGTAATATCGTGTCACTTGATGAGTCTCCTCAGGTATTAAGCGCTACTAACCTTTTACAAGTAGTAGCGATAAGATCAGCTGCTGCTGCTACTTTCTGCAGCACAACACACGAGAAGACCGGCAGACGCTCTCACCCCGGCGTGAGAGACGATGGATATGAGAGAAATGTATATACACAGAACTCAGTTTGTCATTTACAACGCGGTTAATTGAAAGTTAAAGTTTAGTCAACTATCGCTGGGGGTCGTATCGGCGTCTCCTCCACTCCCGCGCAGACTGCGAACTGAGCAGGGGGGGGGAAGGGGGGCGGGGCGTTACCAGGGGCAACGGGGGACGCAGCCCCCCCCCCCCTCAGCCCCCGCCCGCCTCGCTATTGGTCGGCGAGCAAGAAGGGCGCGCGCCCAGTGACGTGACGCGTCATTGGATACAGGGGGGGTGGAGGCTGTAACTGGACACGTGTTTTGGTTATAACGACACGTGTTTCTCACGAACAAGCCCTCCTGCACCTTCCTTGTAAATCCACGGCTGGATGAATGACAGTCGCCACTACCCACACGATGTGCAGGTCGGAAGGTTAAATCGGACTTAGGAAAGCGGGGAGCTTAGAAGAAAATTAAAATAATGGTCTACACAGTGTTGTAAAAAAACTCATTCGTAAAAAAACGCCCCTTTAAAAATGAATATCTTTTAATATATTCGGCATATTGAGTTTTGTTACTGCTTGTGCTTCACGGCCGAAGAATGATTAAATTATTTCTCAGTCTTGTTTGACTTCACTTAGGTCTACATGCATTACACCTTTTGTCAATGCATTGAAATGTATTGATTTAAACATATGAATGGTTGCAATACACGCACAACTTGAGATTGTGGCTTGAATATGTCCCCGAGATCGTTTTCAATGCCCAATTCACGAATGAGTGAAATGTGTCGCATATGCTTATGAAAATAATCAAAAGACAGTCGTCACATGTTTAACGAAACAACTTTATTACATTACGAAAACGTTCCCTTAATATCAGACAAACATGCTGCATGTTCAAATAAAAGGACTGTTAGCTTTGCTTACAATAAACAGCCCGACGGTAAATATCAAAAGGCCACACTTTTGCAATCAAAAGATGCAATTGAAACTTTTTATATATACATACACAATGCCAGAATGTGGCCAACAGGTTTTTAATTGTTGAATTATATAAAATATATATTAAAAACCTCATTAACACACATTTGTATTCAATACCAACATATATGCAAAAAAACGTAATGGATTGTACTGAAGTGTGTTGCAAATGACACTTTTACAAGAATCAATTGTCTATGTTGCCATGTCACCACGATTCCATACAGGATATCAAAGTAAAGCGGAGAACACACGTACCCTTGAAAAAGACACCACTTCAAACTCAACTTGTCAAGAGGGTGGAGACAAGATGGTTGGGTGTAGCATTATCCATACAAATACATTTTCCACTTGAGTGGCCTTTTAAAGCATCGTTCAGTGGCTGGCTAAACACTTGACCTGCACTTTGCAATTTGACCAGAAGTGCAGAAAAAAATGTTGGTACATACTAATTAATTAGGAAAGTTTTGCAATAGCTTCAGATCACCCTTTTAGAAAAAAGTATTAGAAACGGTGTTAGGAAAAATAATAACATTTACAATTTACGACTCAGTCTGCCATCTATAACAAACTACTACAGCAATGCATTGTTCAAGAGATTTTGCACTCCACAAATCATTGTTTCCCATCTGTGTTCACAAGTGAATGTAAAGTTACAACGATGCGCGAGACATTTGTAGGACTCATTCGATTCAAAACAACTTGTCACGCATTTAGCAGTTAGGATACACGTTTAAAATACAGCCTTACATTTAGCCGTGGGCAAACATATCAGCAAACGGTGTCCATCCCTTCAGTACAGTAATACACGAGCAGACTTGACGCAACACAAAAGAGACAGAAGCTGTGTTAAACTTAGATGTAATGTTTTAAACTTTCTCCTGTGTCTAGCCACATCATGCCATGCAAGGTCATGGTTGTGTATTGCAATCAGCGGAGCTGCGCAGTGTCGTCCTCAGGCCCTCTTGAGGCTGAGCAGGCCGCGGATACGGCGGGCCAGCACTTGCACGAAGGCATATCGCGAGCGCATCTTTCCGTACGTGCTCTCAATGTCCTGCAGCTTCTTGTGCAAAGCATCCCCGAAACAGATGGACGCGTCGCTCAGCAGCTTCGAGGCCACGAGACGGGAGGAAGTAAAATGTTGTGAAAATTAGACAACATTATTTGTGCGCCACAGGCTTATGGACCTAATTGTAATTTTATTCATTTTTGCTGGTGACAGACCTTGCCCTGATTACATTTTTTATAGTTTGATAAAAATAAAACTTTATATCACGCACTATTAAGTGCAATAAAACTGGACAAATTCTAAATTATTGCATTTTTAAACCAGTAATTTGTTTTAGGAAATGTAAGAAGTACTATCATTCATTATTGAACTGAGACTCTGCAAGTACAGCACGAAACAAAAATGTAAAGAAACATTGATATGCTCAAAAACAACATACCTGGTCTACATCCTGTCGAGTGATTCTTGATAAAGGCACAGAGGATGGCTGGTCATTCTTCGCTACATGGCCAAATGGGTCTGAAAGGCAATTGTGTACACGTTATGCAATCCGCAAATAAAACAAGATTAGTTACATACATAATATAATTCCAAACCCTTTAAGTTAAAGTTTGAATTGTCCATTAACAAATGAAAACACCAGCGCCAAAAATTAAGTGGGGAAAAAGTAAATTACATAATGATCGCACGATCATTAACCATTGAAACTTGTGTTCACAGACTCCTCATTTTCAGGAGGGTTCTTTGCACAACAGCAAGTTATTAAGAATTCTCACCCTGTAGGTGTCGTGGGCGCAATTGGACGGTAGAGGCGCCCAGGTAAGAGTCACAGGGGTCGACTGGAACGCAGTGCTGGCAGTAGAACTCCAGGTGGCGCCACAGCACAAACAGGCTGTTCTCCAGTGTGTCTGCAGAGCTGTCAAGGCAGTTCTAAAGAGCCATTGCTTGAAGCATTAGCTCATATACATTTCAGTGAATGTTTTATTATATCATTTGTATCGCTCAGTGGTTATTTTCTGTCTTGATTGTACAGTGTCCTCTCATTTAGTCTAAATGTAACAGCACACAGCAGGTACATGTGTGGATCTACAGCTATTTGTTTATCCACTGCCGAATGAGGGTGGGCTATGGGAGAAATTTGCCAATACTTTGGCCACACTGGTCAGTGCAGGTTGCTTACAGACAGAGAGCATAGATGTGGGAGCATAGATGTATAAGTAAAACAAAGTCATTTGCTTCACTTCTCTCTGCTGCCACCACGTAATCTCACGACATTAGCACGTCACTTTGCATAATATTTGCATCCACTGTAAATAATACATTCTTACACACGCGATTCGACACGTGTAATGTGATGGGTGAGAACCATTTCACTCGACGGATGAATGCATCATTACGCAAGCAGAGTCGTATATGCCTGTGCAAATCACTATGTTCCAAACAGACTCCAGCGTGTGCTCTGTGCAGATAGGATACAGTTGTGAAGGGCGAGCAGCTCTGCATGGTGGTTGATGATGCGAGTGAGGCGGCGCTTTGCCAGCTCCTGCCTTTGGCTGGTTGATAGCTTCTCCACGCCCGCCGGTAGCATTGGCTGGGACAGCTGTTGCAGCAGGGCACAAAAGCAGATGCAATCACGATATCCAACAATTGCATGAATCATGGAGGAGCAAAACACCAACGGCTGTGATGAATGTCCAATGCCAGGCAGGCAGACAAAAAAAAGTGACTTAACGTTTTTTTTTGTGACTACACAAAAGAAATCATGAAAATAAATCTGTACCCGCATCTAAATGTTATTCTGAACAATAACACGTGTTATTTATTCCATTGTTATAAAAATGGTGAAATTGAAATCTCATAAAAGCAATACATGTCAAAGATTTTTCTTAAACTTTAACCAGTGCTCGAAATCGGCCAAAACGATCCATTCCCCTGGGAATTTGATGCATCAGAATGACAATGCGTGGCGATTCCAATTATTAAACTCAAATGTATGTTCTTGCATTAGACAAACTATTTGAATGTTTTAATGCATTAAATAAATGATGCTATTAATCATGGCGATGAATACCAAATAAACTCATTCTCCTTGAACGTGTTAACAGGAATTGTTTTTGTGAAGCTCTCGCTTACAATTCGTTCAAAAGTATTCCCCCTTCAATCCAATTGTCTCCTTCCCATGAGCCCGTTTGGACTGAGGTGAGTACAGCCTAAATGTGTGCCAAACCTTCGTCTCATTAGCTCCTTCTTGTTCTGTAATTCGTCTCATCTGTTGCATTCTCTGTAATTTTACACCATCTTGTGCACTGCCAAGATTATGTTATAGCCTCCTCTTTGGTAAGTATGATATAGATTTGAAGCTTTCGTGGCTGCAAAGATTCATACTCTTAGTTTTTTCGGTAAAGTCACGTAGGTAAAAAAATTATATTAAAATTTATTTTATTTTTATTAATTTTTATTTCATTTTTTTACCTACGTGACTTTACCGAAAAAACTAAGAGTATAAGTATGATATATATATCATTGATGCTTCATTATGGCCCTATTATTTCACTATTTTTTTTTACTATTTCTACTTTACCAGGAAAGGCCCGCTGAGCTATGTAGCTCTTTTTCAGAAGCAACCTGGCCACAAATGATATCTCAAGCAAGTGGCTTATCATGTGGAAATTTATAGCAGCCAAATACTCTTAACGCATGTTCCTAAATGTGGAGGGAAAAAACAGAGGACCCGGTTTATACCAAGGACCGCATTTGGAGAAACAGCAGCATCCTTCAGACTGCTACAGCAAATCGTTACCTCAACAGTATTAGCCATTTACACTAACCCTTGGGCACAGTATATGTATGAAGCCTAATAGATAACCTTTTGCAAGAACATAAAGATCAAGAGCAAAAATCATTAAGTAGCTTTGCGCATTAATTTCCACCAGTGTTCCTCAAAACCTCTCATCCGAATCCAGTTTTGATTGTTCTATTTACCAAATGTATGCCTAAAGGAAACACCCTGTGGAATCAAAATTAAGTGGAATGGCTTGAGATACTTCGAGTTATGCATTCGGAATGTAACGATTCACCCCACCACCGAAATTTGAAGAATTATCACAATTGGCTATCATGATTCAATTCAAGAATCGATTATGTTCTGTAAAATCGAGTCTCAATCTCATTTCATCCCTCTACCCTAAATGTTACATTTGCATGCCCATATGCACGTAAGAATTTATTTTAATTGATGAAAACATACATGTATATTGACTACACAAGGGTTGTTCAACTGGTGGCTCGAGTGACATTTGGCCCGTGAAGCCTTCTGGAGAAACCTACTGAGAGATTATGGTCTGCTTAAAGATAAGGCTAGCAGAGACTTAAATAGATACGAATCAGTGAGATCAAAGAAACAAACCAAAGATATGAGGGCGATGCAGACAAATAAAGACATATAATTAATATTAGTCAGATGAAAGCAAGCTAACAAAAGAGAAAAATCTGGAGACGATTGTCTGGATTAGTAGTCACATAAGCAGGTCATGACGCCACCATGCCACATGATGTAATTTTACTAAGAGACTTGCTGAAAGACCCTGGTTTCCACCATAGTGCAAAACCTTGCTTATCGCGATATACCTCTCGCAAGTCGTCGGCTGAGAGTTGTTCAAGGCCCTGCAGCTTGCGCAGGCTCTGCTGGTGCATGTTGTGGACGTGCGTAAAGTCCTCGGCCGCCTGCCGCACCAGGCAGAACAGGACGCCGAGGCTAGGCAGCTGCCAGGCCGGCGTCACCGACAATGGGTTCTCTGTATGTCAGGTATAAACATGCTCAGATCAGCACTGCCAACCTTTTTGCACTGGTCTGACAAGCAATTGAAATTCGTGGATTTTCTTAAAAATAATACTGGGTACACATCAACATGTCCAGCCCTTTTGTAAATTAATTGTTTAATGCCTCACTCTATACAGGTCGCAGGGATTATATTTATTTGAGCATAATTCACGGCAGGTTGGGGGAGCACAGTTCAACAATGATGGATTTTGATCAACTGCTGTTGCTGACAATGCAGACCCACAAGCAGCCTACATCACCTGCTTTATGACTAATGCTCCCCCTCCTCAAGCACCATCAAGATTCAAGCCTGCTAAGCTTTCGAGATCGGAGGGTACATTCCAGGCGATTTCGGCATGGGCTACACTCATACCGGGTATTCATAGTTATTTCAGGTAATATGTTGATGACAATTATTTATATATACAGCAACATATTCAACTGGACAACAGATTTAATATATTCAGGAAAAAACACAAGCCAAAGACTTGAGAGTTCAAGATCGGTCATGTAAATCCATATCTGGTTACTATCAGTTATTCCATGAGTGAATCACAGTGAACATGGCATGCATGCTTCTCTCACCATCCCTGCGAGACCCATCCTTCTGCAGGGCCTCGGCCAGACTTGGCGTAAAGAGACAGACCATCTGCTGCGGAGCGGTGCCGGACTGCGTGAGAATTGTTCGGCAATAATCCACGACGTTGGCACAGATCTGCACAAGCGAGACGGACAACCGAGAGCAAGCGCACGCTGATGCACTGCCTTGGGTACAGCCACCCACGGCTAACATATTTCAATGAAAATGTCCACGCAAGCTCCCGCGGCTTCCTTTACCTGCTGTATGGCCAGGGTGGCCTCGTCCCTCTTGCTCAGGCCGTTTGATTGAGCACCGTCATCCAGGGTTTTGAGCTGACGCAGCCAGTCCGAGCCGCAGAACTTGAGCAGAAGGCCGAGCGTCTGCCGCTATTATAAAATCGTGGCATAAGAACATTGTAGGGAATAAACCATCTGTGCTAATTATAAGGTTTGAAAATAAACTGAAAAGCGTTTTGCGAGTGTGACACAACAACTTCGTAATATGGCTTTCGCTGCTTACTTGGATGCGAGATAGGTGTCCCTTCAGCTCTAACAGTGCCACCTCGTTACCTTGGAAGTCCAGCACAGACAAGAACTCTAGTGTGCAAAAAGAAACATGGTAATTGCACACTTGCAATTAGCACAAAACAATGCTCAATTAATTATTGAGTTTTTAACTATATATTCTCTATATTGTCTGGTTAGTTGCGCGTAAGAACCATTTGTAGGCGCAGCTTTCTTGTACCAGAAAATAAGCTACGCCTTAACTTGTGGGAGCAATAAGTCTGACGCGTGTTTGAGGTGTCTTAACACAACGTGTTTCTTTATTTCTTAGTAGCACAAAAACGAGCGTTTTCTAAAGTTATATCTTCGCCTGTTCACGTACTGTATCACCCTGTCGCACGGTAAAAGACTGTATCCACTCGCTCCCCGCTCGGCACTTCTCATAGCTTCCCATTTATACTGTAAAACCGGAAGTGACGTCATGGGTTCAACCAACAGAGCGTCTAACCACAGTGGGGTTTCTAAACTGTTCGAATATTCCAAATCAACTATAACCAGTCTGTCAACAAATGTATGACAGATGTACATCAAATGTATACACAGAAATAATGCATTCACTTTTGTCTTATGGCTCGTACACCATTCTTTCCAAAAAACTAAAATTGCAAGTGTGGCAGTGGCTTACCGTGCAATGCAGTTTTGCAGATAATGCTTACAAGCAGAGCAAGCTCCTGCAGGGCTCCCAGGCTGAACTCCTGGCACCGCAGGATGGACTGCACTGCATCGCCGTGAACCACCAGGAACTGAATAACCTGCAATTGTGTCAATGGGTTATCACCGACCGTCCGTTGCCTCTGTAGCCCTGTTGTAAAAGTTTAGCGTAGGTGGTTGTGCCTCTCGAAAAGTCAAAACCAAGTGTGGGTGTTTCCCAGCATAGGGATGGATGTCTCACCTGGCTGGCGGCCTGCTGCTGCTGTTGAGACAGCGACGTGAGGATGGTGGAACACAGTTGCAAGGCGGAAAAAAGTATCTGCCGGTATCGGTCCAACATCGAAGGGATGAAACTCTCCCGGTCTTTACCGCCATACAAGCTGCGGATTGACATTTTATTTTCGTAAATACCAGGCATACTTTTTTTTAAATCAATGCCCACCATTGCTACAATGCAAGAGTAGTGACACAATTACAACGCATTATTTGGTGGCACTTGCAGTAGAGGGGCTATGACGTATATTGAACATTACCTGTAGGGGTCGAGCTCAGGACGGAGGCTGAACACGCGGCATTGTGCCAGGCAGGCGATGACACCGGCTCTCAGCAGCTCTGTGGCTCCCTGGGGACTCCGGGCAACGCGAGTCAAGAAGGCCTGGACAGCAGAAAAACAAAGGTCATGTCGAGCAGGCAGATCATTTATATACTCTAATGAAAGCATCAACCCTGTACAGCCCGATTGTCAATCGACTGCTGGATGAGGGCCTCTTCATGCCTGTGCAGCTTATGGCGGTTATTCAGTCATACTTTGCTCAGTACAGGTTGGTGTCGGAGGGGGGGCATAGACAGAGAGCACGGAAGTACACCATGACAATGAATAGTGCGGCACTGCCCACCAAGGAACCCCAGTCGATAACAACCTGTTGCGCATGGGGGTCTCGCCCATCGAAGGGAGTCCACAGGTCTCTGCGCAAGTCTATTTATACTTATGTATTGGGGAAAGCCACACGGAGTCACGGGAATTTATTTCAGGAGGGTCCTGCCACATTGGTTTTTAATTTAAGTTTTCACCAACTAAACAGTGTTTCATCTTCTTGGTTCTTTCGGTAAAGTCACGTAGAAGGGAAGTAATAAAATAATAAAAATAAAACATAATAAAACAATTCTCACGACGTTTCGGCCACAACGCAAGCAGCCGTCCTCAGGTGAAAACCAGGTCCGTCGAGGCGACAGAGTCTGAATGAAACAGCACACGAGCTTGGAGCATATAAATAAGCTGGGCGCATTGACAAAGGAATTTGCATATCAAAATGAATTTAGCATATTTATGGGAAATGCAGGAATGTGATTAGTACTGCATATGCATGTGCATTATGCAGGATTAACAGCATCAAAGGGAGCTGCAGTTACTGCTGCTGCTGCAATTGCTGCTGCTGCAGTTGCTGCTGCTGCAGTTGCTGCTGCTGCAGTTTCTGCTGCTGCTGCAGTTGCTGCTGCTGCTGCAGTTGCTGCTGCTGCTGCAGTTGCTGCTGCTGCTGCACTTGCTGCTGCTGCTGCAGTTGCTGCCTTATCCATTTTAATATAACACTATGTATTATTCTACCCACCCTAATGTGTATCACACTGCTATATGTTTACTATACAATTACGACACCATACATTACTCTGCACACTGCACCATGCCAGTGAGTGGAACGCGGTCTGAAAGTCACCGTAAACGTGAACACAATCAGTTAAGATCCGAAATGGTTTATTACGTCCTTCCAATGATTGCTAAGCCAGAATCCATCTTCTCGGTTGAAATTGTCTCTGTGTTTGTATATGTGGATCGCCTCATGAACGAATCTCTCATGATAGCCAGATGGCTTGCAGAGAACCTCTGTCTTGGAGAAGTCAATGTCATGTGAGCCCACTGAATTGTAACAGTGATCTGCCACGGCTGAGGTGTTTGTCCTACCGTGTTTCAGGTCTGCCGTTTACGGTGACTTTCAGACCGCGTTCCACTCACTGGCATGGTGCAGTGTGCAGAGTAATGTATGGTGTCGTAATTGTATAGTAAACATATAGCAGTGTGATACACATTAGGGTGGGTAGAATAATACATAGTGTTATATTAAAATGGATAAGGCAGCAACTGCAGCAGCAGCAGCAGCAAGTGCAGCAGCAGCAGCAAGTGCAGCAGCAGCAGCAACTGCAGCAGCAGCAGCAACTGCAGCAGCAGCAGAAACTGCAGCAGCAGCAACTGCAGCAGCAGCAACTGCAGCAGCAGCAACTGCAGCAGCAGCAATTGCAGCAGCAGCAGTAACTGCAGCTCCCTTTGATGCTGTTAATCCTGCATAATGCACATGCATATGCAGTACTAATCACATTCCTGCATTTCCCATAAATATGCTAAATTCCTTTTGATATGCAAATTCCTTTGTCAATGCGCCCAGCTTATATATATGCTCCAAGCTCGTGTGCTGTTTCATTCAGACTCTGTCGCCTCGACGGACCTGGTTTTCACCTGAGGACGGCTGCTTGCGTTGTGGCCGAAACGTCGTGAGAATTGTTTTATTATGTTTTATTTTTATTATTTTATTACTTCCCTTCTACGTGACTTTACCGAAAGAACCAAGAAGATGAATCCCTGCAGTCACGAAAGCTTTAAATCGAAATTTAAACAGTGTTTATGTGGGAGCAAACCGGAGCACCGGGAGACAACCCACACGTGCGAGGGGGCAACAATATCTCCGTACAGTTGGAACAGATGGAGACTAGTCCACACTTTGCCGACTCGCCTTCTAATGGCGAGCCAGGGTACGGCTTCTCGATTGCCCACCGACGGGAACGGAGTTTCACAACATTTGTGTGCAATCCATCAATCCTCGCTGCTACCTCCACATTGCCGATTACAGGCTGCCACGTGCATATCCACCATCACTGCGAATGGGAACCAGAGACTAGCAGAGACCAGTGGCGTAGTGTGGTTGACAAGATAAGGAGAAGAAAGAGGTGGTATATTTGGGACAGAGGAAGATTAAATAAGGAGGTAGAGGAAGTGGAGAAGGTGGATGAGTAGAAGGAAGTTGAGGAGTAGGAGGTTGAGGAAAGGGGAGAAGGAAGGAGGTGAAGGAGATGGAGCACTATCCAGGCTCAACCCTGCTTTGTTTCTAGGCTCTGACAAGATCGGGCACATTGTGGCTGTTTTGGCTATAGGCCTAGGGAGGCATCTTTCTGAAAACCAGGCTCCTATACAATAAGCATGTTACCAGAGACAACCCCAATATATTGGTACAGGGCTGCCCATTTGTTATAAAAGACATGTCTAGAAATGTAACACAGTTGGACAACCTTTACTTGGACCTGTGACATTGGCAAAATAAAAAAGCTATCAACAATAACAAACGAACAACCCCTTCCCACAGATGCGCATATATTCTACAAGATGACAATGACTACATGTTCACATCAACAAATCAGTTGTCGTTATGCTACCAAGATAAATGTATCTTCGAGGCAATCCACCAAAAACATGAATGCCTTTGTCCAGAGATTTTTCAAAACAACTACAAGCAGACCCATGTAACGAGATCCAATGCGACCTCATTGTGCGTCACTGCCCCAGTATGACGTGTTGTTGTTTTTTCACACGTGTTGTTGTTTTTTCACGCGTGCTGCTCAATGGTGGGGGGGGCGTACCATCTTTGACTCGTAGACATAGAGCGCCTTTAGCACGGGCGGCTCAGGCACGAGCATGCCCATCAGCGTGGCATCATCCTGCGCCAAGCTCTCCACCAACACCTGCAGGTAGCCGCTGGTCATGAGGAACGTCAGCCACTGCTGCTGCCGGTCAATTGCCACCACTTGGTCCAGGAGGGCCATTGCGAGCATCTGCGGATGGCAAGTACAGCTCTGTCATGCAGCCGCACGGGAAAAACAAAAACATGGGGAGGGAACATGACCTTTAAAAAAGGAGCGTGTGCTGCGTTAGCTCCCCGTCCCACCCGACGCACCCTGCCGATCTCCAGGCCGTCGCAGGCGTCACGGTAGACCACCTCCATGAGAGGCGTGCCGTAGCCATTTATGATGTGCGCGTTCTCTCGCCGCAGTCGGCTGTAGTCGTCCTCGGGTGCCATCAACGTGTTCCACATAGAGCCCTTGCCTGAGGGTCATGTCACCATCAAACAGAGATGTGACTTTGTGGACTCTCGCCACATTGCAATGAATTTCGCTTACATTGTTTTCTGTCATGCAAAGACAATCCAGCCCCCACACTATGCAGCATGGCAATGGGAAAGCACTCACGACAAAAAAACGCAATTTTTAGTTTACAAAAGGGATTAATTTGTTTCGTATGAATTTTCTTACTTCTTTTGCAATGTACATTACCAACTGCGTAAATCGGAGGTTACCCTCCATACCTTGGTATTTTGTGAGAATACAGTAGTGGCGTACAGTGGAATGTGTCATGCTATGATTACACAGCACGACCTCCGATTCGCACGGTTGGCTACGTACGGTGCTAAAGAAATTCAACATATATGAATACATGCGTGCGGTGGCGCCTACTAGCATGTACCCACCAGTCTGCAGTGTGTCGGGTTCCATTGGGCTCTGGGCCACCTGCAAGTAGTAGAGAAGGGCCCCATACAAGGACGAGCGCACACGCTGCATCCCGCCACCTTCGCAAGCAAGGGCACGACGATTGAGACGCAATTACATGGGGCCAATTAAGGCAACAAATCTCGACAGTGCAGTTGACATCCCTGCAGTCGTCTTTGCCACGCTCTGGATTTAAACTGTTATCATCATCACAACACCAACTGCTGCCATCATCTCTAATACCAAAACCTGTTGAATTCTCAAATTTCAAATGAGTGGCACGCACGCAATTAAAATTCCAACATTATAAATATATGCATATTCAAGCATCTTTAGAGAACGCCACTTATTTGTCAACTTCATGAAAATCAACATTGAATGTCAAAACACTTTGCATTCGCCGCTTTCAATAAATGCACGGCACCACATTTTACACCAATAAAGAAAACGCGAATGGTGATCAAAAGCGCCATCCTCACTTGTCTTCATGATGAAGTTGAGCAGGCTCCTCAGGATGTCCTGCAGCGACACCACGCCGATGGAAGCCAGGCCTGCGAGCCCCGACGTCCCGTTCAGCATGGACACAAACGCCGAGCGCTCGTCCGCGGGGCCTTGCGAGGCCGGCTGCACTGGCAGAGGTCTCCCCGCCTGCTCCGTGCGCAACGACTGGCTGAGGTGCGTGCACAGCGTAAACACCATGCTCGCCACCACCGGCGTCAATTCTGGCACCGCCTCTTCGGCCAGGCTCTGTGGAGACAAACAATATATGTATACACACGTTTCACAGTGACGGGCTAGACAAAATTCAAGGTTCGGTGACACAAGTTCACAATCGTGCGCTTTGAAGGTGCGCGGTGGTGTAGAACGTGCAGAGGTCATTTACGTGAGATGCCAGTGAGGGAGCTGAATTGCAATTAGGCTGCAGATCTAGACATTTAAAGTGTTATCCCCTCATATGTAGGTTTTTTTCTAGGCACTCCAGTTTTTGAGAAAACAAAACCACTTTAAATAGTTGAGGAAACATCAAGTTAAACCACATTTTTGTTCACCGTCTTGTGGTCAATATTGGACATTAGTAATTCCGACGGCTGATTTTTCTCATTGTGTACAATTCTCTTCTAAATTTTTTCAGTTTTTCCCGGTCAGTTTTTTAACTCCTTGCAGTGAGAGTTTTAAGCAGACCCCAAGCTCGTATCCTTCAATTATTCCTCGAATGAACAATTTCTCCTTCAGAAATAATCAAAGATATACCAGATGGTTTATTTTTGAACCTCAAACTACAAACTAATGTACAAGGCATTTTCCTGCGACAGTCTACGTCGCGCGCCTGTGAACGGTACGCCCCGCCCGTGTTTTTTAGTTCAAAGTGTGACCTTGCGGAAGAGGTCATTGAGGAGGTCCGTGATGAGGCCGAGCCGGACGTCTCCCTGCAGGAGCTCGGTGGGACAAGAGGCGAGGATGGTGTCCACGACCTGGCGCCAGGCCTCCAGCGCGTCGCGCTTGGCGTGCAGGCTTTCACGCACCGCATTCCTCTCCACCACGTGCTCCAGCACGGAGCGAAGCTCCTGCAGAGCGGTCAATAAGAGGGACAAATGAGCGAGCCATCAGCCCAACCTGCATTGGCAACGCCGCAACAGTAGCAATATTATCCCCACCCCCCCCCCCCCCGTGAATAAAATAAAAGCCAGGTACAAATACAGAGTAAACCTAGGTTTGATTTGACCTGGAAAATGCACGGCTTGTATGTGACACGTAATACAGCTGTAGATGGACACAATAAAAGCCAGGTTGTAGATGGATTAGCTCCTGCTCACTGCAATAACTTTGGCAGCAAAGGCATACGCGCTAGAAGGTCACTGCACACTGTTTTTGAAATTGTTATTTTTTTTTTGGTCAAACCACTCTTTCAGTCTTGGTAAGCCCTTTCGAGTTTGCAGCCGCGAAGCATAATGATAACGCGCTGTGCAGATGCTGTGATGAATGGCCATGAGCACTTACCGCAAGCAGCAGGGCTCGCTGCCCAAGGGCTCCCATGCCTTGCAACGTGTTCACCTCGGTCATCAGGATTCTGTGCAGCATCTGATCGTGGTCGAGAAAACACCCAAGTGCAAGCACTTCAGTGAGTTCACAGCAGAAGCCACGTCCAATCACTTCACAGTTTAAAATTAAACTAGTTTCAAGTACACAATCGTCCAGGAACCCATCTGACTCGGCACAATTTATCACAAAAACAAACAGCGTACAAACTTGCTCATGATACAATAATGCATTTAGGCAACAGAGGGCACGCACACACCTTGATGTTGCAAACTGTGAGCCCCTGTGGGCCACGCTGCTCGCAGGACATGATGACTTGCTCCATCTGGGCCATATCAAAGAAGTCCAGCTGCATTGGTTCGGGGAACTTCTGGCTGAAGTCTATGGCATCCAGCATGCTCACAATCTTCCTGCGCACTGCAGCAGACAGAGTAAGCAAAAACATTATTAACCGACAGCAAGCCAGTATTTATTTTTCTTCACGCGGACACCCTTATACTGCGCAAGATGGCAATACAAGTGGATATATATTTCTTGCAAACCTTTGGCAGATGAATCTCCGCTTGTAAAAAAGCTGCTCAGAAATCTGGATTCCTCCTCCTGGCTTGCCTCTGGGTCTGAAACAAAATAAGGCGGTCAAACTTGGCCCCATCACAATTTAGTCACGTAAAAATAAATTCACATATGAATGGGGCGGAATGAGATGGATCATGACGTGGAACGGATGTGCCGATAATATACCGGCGCCGGGACGGAAAGGCGACTCGTCAAGCAGAAGCCGGAGGAGGCGCTGAGTGTACGAGCGCTGCCGATTGAGTGACGTCACGCGCAACTCCACCGCCACTGTCCGCAGCAACCACGACATCTGCGTGAGGACCAGTATCCTGTTCCCATCTTCCGAAAGATAAAATATAACATTTAAAACTAAGAACAGTAACAACAACATAGCCATTTTATGCGTATACATTTATAGCGAAGATTAATGTTTAATTTTAGGACACAGACATTAGGCATGGGAAAATCTATGACTAATAAAATGCATAAAAGGAACAGCAACTAAATAGTGCTGCAAACCGTTAATGAAAAACTACAAAACCCACTGAAATGCAAGAAGGCTAGGTGATGGCAGTACTATATTTGCAGGACCCTCTTAAATCTCAATGGACGAAGTGTTTATAGCTTGAGCACACCTGCAGCCTGGAAAGGCAGGTGCTGCAGATGTCTGTACAAGAAGTCCTGTCCAGTGCGCAAGTAACGCATGGTGGGTCCTGAGGTGTCGGAGTTGGCACACAACCGGTAGACCACCTGCACAGCGTAGAACCAGAAACATTATCTCCAAACTTTTCTTGTTGTTGCTGGAATTAATAATTACAAAAATACACGTTGCATTTAAAGCATTTAATGTAGGAGCTATAAGTTGACGGATGTGTACAGTATGTTACCTGAGTCTGTAATTTAAAGACGAGTTCAGCATCGCAGCTATGACCTGGTAGCAGAGCTCAGTGAGGTGCGGAGAGGCGGAGGGGATGGCGTTCTTCTCCACGCTGCGATTCAGTATCGCCAGGATGGAGTGCAGGCACGTGCGTGGGAAACCCAACACTCCTGATGTACACATAGAACATGAGAAAAAAAACAAAAGACAGCTTCATCATCATAAGTCACGATCAATTCACTACTGGATGAAGGCCTCCACGTGATGAAATAAGCTCTTGAGAGGGTGCTTTATGGATTGTTGCCTGGCGTAACTATGAGAGATGGCAATGACTTGAGTCCTTTATAATGTAAAATACTATATTAAATTGCTTAATGTTTTGGTCAAAGGCCCTTCTGCAGGGTAGGGCGAGCAGAAAGATTGACTGCTTTCTGTTCACTCTGAAGGAAGGCCACCGCCCAAATTCTGAGTGTTTTTTTTTGCTTATTGTAAGGCAATGTTTAAGATGAACGTGGTGGGTTTTATTTGTGCTTTTATACCGCAGTTAACGTGGTATCTTACATTTTTTAAATATATATAAAACAATTGAGAGATGACCTTCAAAATTTTTACAAAAAAGCAAAGTAACTCACTCTTTGGTTCTTTCGGTAAAGTCACGTGGACAGAAAATTTATAGATCACGACGTTTCGATCGCAACACAAGCAACCGTAATTCAGTTGCAAAAAATTCATGACCACGATTGTAGTTATAAAGAAATCAGACAAGTATTAAATGTTTTTAAAGTGCCATTTTGTTTTTGAACGGTGGATTAAATTTTACCAGGATCCTGTAGGGTGGTGGTGCTAACGGGCTTGCGTAGCTCGTAGCCCAGCAGGAAGAGTGCCAGGTTGGGTGGCTTTTGCTCCAGAGAGTACAGCATCAGGTTGAGGATGTGGATGCGGGTGCCACTCCTTTTAGAAACGATGCCCTCCAGGTCGCTCTCTGCAAAGCACAAAACAGTTGGGAGCAAATGCCACACCGACCCTCTCTCCAGTTATAAAGAGACACACTAAAAAAACAAATCGGTTATTATTTCAGAAATGTACCCTGAAGAAAAGTAATAATTCACGCCTCCTTCAAGATGAAAATTGTGTCACAATTTGAATTGAGATTTAATTATAGAATTGAGTTGCATTAAAAAATTCCCGAATCAGAATCAAAATCCATCTACAAAATAAGAGCTGTCTGCATTTTGGAAAGCATTCTCCCTTCGATTACTTAATTTTACAAGGTCAAAACGGCAAAATAATAGTTTTAAGTAATAAAACTCTAAATCGTTAGTGGACGAACTTTCTCAATCGCATCCCCTACAATCTGGAATATCCTCCCACTCATCATCGGACAAATTGACTCCATCACATCACTCTAATCCAAACGAAAGGCTTTTTTATTCAGCCGGGCACACACTGGTGAATAAAAAAAAAAAATCACATTTTCGACATTTAACCGATTGGTCTAAATTAGTTAAACTTTTTGGTACTCCTCCTGTGAAGGTTTCCTGGCTTGTGTGAGAAGTTGAGATTGTGTGAGAAATTAAGAGCTAGAACATTGTACTATACACAATTTTCTATTCCCCTGTTGTGATAACTTAATTGGTTGTTTAAACCTTATGTTTTGTATACCCTTTCTTGATATTTTTATTCACCGAGGGTTTTCACTTCGTAATTGTTATAAACAAGATCATGCGCCTCATGCGATTATGCATGCAATTATTGTACAGCGTTGTGAAATGCAATTAGCACGGATGGCACTTTAGAGAACTGAAATGATTATTATGCAAACTACACGTTACCTTCTTCCACCAAGGCAACCTCTTCCAAATCTTCATTGTCCAAACACTCAACGAAGCCAGCCAGCAACTTCTGACTGGTGCTCTGCAAAACAATACATTTTGAATGCGACGTCAGTAAAGTACATGGGTAGTTCAGCACACCTAGTGCACATTCAAATCGTTTTATGGTGGTGGCGAGATATTAACTCCCTAGCCTGGTATGAAGGAGGTTGTGGGCTCGATTCAGAACCTGACGCCTGCATATTTGGAGTTTACATGTTCTTCCCGTGGCCGCGTGGATTTTTTCCAGGTTCTCCGATTTTTCCAAACCACATTTAGAAACATACATTTTACAGTAGTTGGCTGGGAAATATATTCACACAAGTCACTTTCTTGAGCTATCATTAGTGGCCAGGTCGTTTCTGAAAAAGAGCTATATAGCTCAGTGGGCCTTACCTGGTAAAATAAAAAAAATTGTTTAAAGAACTGAAGTAACCAAATGAGGTGACAGTACTGAAAGGGGATTGCTACCTTGTCGTGTGTGAAGTCTCCAACAAGCTTGCTTTGGATGTTCGGGTATTGGCAAACCTGGCACAGGATCTTTGCACCCTCGGCCACAAGGGGCGAGTTTGTTGCACTGTGGCACAGATACCTGTAAACGCGAATGCATCACAGAATGTGATTATACATTGTGAATATAATTTATTATACTCGCACAAACTATCAATATTTACATCTACTGAGTCCCAAGTGCACCTCAGGCCAAATCATTCTTCAGTAGCTCCTGTGTTTGCATACGATGCTGCTGGTGGGCCTGGTGGCTATAGTAATGGTGTTTTTTAAAAATGATCTAACAATTCTTCAATTAAAATTGATTCTTCCGCTCATAAGCCTGAACGGCCGCCGGCTCACAAGTTCAAGAGTTAATGGTGCAGTGGGAACGTAACGATCACGGGCGGCCGAACCTGGCGATGGTGGCGATGTGGTCGGGCTTCTTGGAGCGCGGATTGATGCCCTGCAGCAGCTGCTCGAGCGGCGTGACGATCACGCTCGAGTGGCTCTCGCGCAGCAGGTCCATGAAGAGGCCTTCCTTGCGCAGTGCGGCGTGCAGCATGGACAAGCACGACAGCAGGGCGCCCTCCAGGGAGGCCTTGCCTGCAGCCCACACGCACGCACGCGCGCACACGGCACGTTAAGAGAAAAGCATTCATAGGTGTGTTCCTCTACACCAGGGGCCGGCAACCAACAAGAGCCATTTTTTTTCGAATTCGGTACAAAACTCATTATTTCAAGAGCTGCAATGCATGTGAATACATACATCCAATATGTCACAAAGCAGTCCGTAAAGAACTGCAGAGGTTGCCGACCTCTGTCCTACACGAAAGACTATTGACAAAGTCCCAACACGCTTTAGAGTACAAGACTACATTGACACTTAGAAACGCACCGTTTGTGATGCTCTTTACATGTTTCACATGAACCATGTTGCACTAAACGAAACGGTAATTTGCCGGGCCAACTGACGGAATACAGACATCAGAGACGTAGAACTAGAATTTTGTCTAAGGAGGTAAAAATGTTACTGCGTATTGATAACCAGGCTGAGACCATGATCTCTACACTTCCCAAATTATAGCCAAGGTTCTCAGCAATTTTATGCCACCACTCGGACGCAGTATTACCTCCCTGAGCCACCTGGCCACTGGTCCTCTGTAATCTTAGATAAAATCTTAGATAAGATTACATAGGACCGATGTAAAGAGAAATAACAATAGAATAATAAGCGTTTCATTTTGGGCCGTTGACATCTGAACATAGTACACCTAAGTCTTACCCAAGCTGACTGTCTAAATCAGTGGTGCAACCAACAATATCACGTACAAGACAAAAGCAGTTGCCGCTGGCGGATATGAAAAGGTGCTTGCTAACAGCACTTGGCCCAGCAGTCTGGAAAGGGAAAGGTCTGCATACGGTGAAGAGAACACACCAGGGAAGGGCACGTGGATGTCGAGCAGCCGGACCCCTTCCTCCAAGATGCTGAGGCACAGGTTCAGCATGGGCGACTCGTTCAGCAGGTGATACATGAGGTTGTATCCCGGAAGCTTGTTGGCAAGAACCAGTTCACCTGCACGCATTGGAAAGTGTTGTATCGCAAACACATCTGCGGTCAACACCGGCGTTTATGATATGCATTACGGTTTATGATGTGCATTACAATGTCGAACATCCAACGGTCATGTATCCTCCCTGGCCAATTAACTGCAAACACCCGGTGCAGTAATTGGGGCATTGTGTATCTGTCATTTTCTGTAGATGTTCACAAATCTGACCCTTTTGCATACATTAATGTATTATTAATCTCGAATAGCATTCACTTTCTTATAAAGCACGGTAAATTATTTACCATGTTTAAAGTAGCTAGTGCTCTATTTTTATCCAGTAACCTGTGTAATTATCATTTTATATAGAAGTTCACACAATCGAATTTTTATCACATATTGCCAATACCCAGTCCCCAACAAGGAAATATACGACGCCGTACCGTACTCTTCAAATGTGTTATCATTTGCACATAAAATCTGTTTATATGCTGCATATTGTCATGAATCGACACAACACAAAAGTAAAGCACGTAAGTAAAAATTCTTACGAGCTGAAATAATATGCATAACAGTTTGACTCCGCTTCTATAAATAATACCGTTTCCTAACAGGACCCCGTTCCAGAGAAGTTGCACTGATAAAAGTCAGCACTTGCCTTGTACATCCACTGGCTGCTCAACAAAGTCATCGGGACGTGGGTCGTAGTCACGCAGAAGCTTGTGAAATATCTGCAGCACCAATTCAGCCACCTGCCACTGCACGACAAAAGCACACCGACACGAGTGATCAATCTTAACAGCAAGGAACATGGCTATGTCGCATTACAACAGGTTTTAGCAACAAAGCACATTATTTTTTTACAAACAAAGATTTTCAGCCCAAAATCACAGACTACTTAGTTCTCCATGACTGTCTTTTATACGTTCGTTTCCTAATAGTTTTGCTGGTAACACATGCGTCTCGTTTTTCTTACAGCATATGTTAAATATAATATTTACTACATTTCCAACAGTTTGGTACCCACAGATAATTGTGAGACCTACAATCATGGTGATTATCAATTGTTATTATTCACCTCCACTGTTAATTACCTTCTCTGCCGGATCACGGTATGCACGAGTGGGGAACTTCAGAAAGACGGTTTCACGCAGGAACGTGAGGTAGGGGTCAAAGCCGGGTGAGCGCAGCCCCGTGCCGAGGCTGGCCGGCACAGAGTCGTCCAGCAGAGCACTGAGCAGCGTGCAGAACGCACGTGTCAGGGGGTACTCCTCGCACCGAGCCTCAATTTCCGTCAGCTCCATCTGCAGGAGGAACGGCACAGCAACCGCATCGGTCGATCCGTCTCTTACGTCGGAGTCTGAACGTCCTCAACGCTTCCTTAGTCTGCTTCAATGTGAATTCAAGGAAGCCGTACCGAGGATGGCTTGGGATAATTCTCCCGTCACTCTGTAGATCTTGGATAAGTTGAATTAGTTTGGTTGATTCAATGTAAATCCCTTTACAATTCGACATTACCACTGCACTGACTCTTGATGATTTTTAAACGGCATCTGTTATGACTTTGGGGAACTTGCAGCAAACGACCCGAGTTCTGTTTCTTGGCCGTGCATCAGTGATAAGTGATATTTAAACTAATTCTGGCCACCCACTGCACCAAAGCCAAAGGGCATTCATCCAGCAGTGGAATGCCAAAGGGCTGTAAATTATTACTATTATACATATTCTACTCAATGTCCTCAGCAAACTCTACAAAGGAAGTAACCACAGGACAGTGCAATGTAATTTATATTTCAACATTACTGAGAAGAGGGAAAAGCTAATTTATAGGCAAGAACAAGATAGTTAGCATCAATAATAAAGTTTAGAAATGCAAGGGAATTTAGCCTTATTCTAAGCAACAAATACAAATTTCTCATTCCGAAAAATGACAAAATGGATGTCAACTTTAAATTGAGATAACTGATAATGTAATTGACAGTGCATTTCAAATGTGAGAAAAACATTCAGAAACATTAGACAAGTTATAAGACCACAAACAACATATGGAAGAGAAATATAAAAATGGATGAAAATGACAAATAAATATAGAATAGATACTACTGTATATAACATATTTGTGAAAACGAGGAAATAAAATGAAAAAAGCAACCGAAATTGTGTTTTCGATATCACAACAAGCAATGGGAGCGTGAAAGCAGCAAAACGGCGATTCTAAAATCGAAAACAATATCCTTGGAAAGAAAAGTTAAAGAATAACATTTTGGGGCCTTTTCCAAAAAATGTAATAGTCATTTGGTTAGCTCAAGGTTGCCGATAATAGTACTTGACTAGAAAGGAAAATGACTATTAGCCATGCTGAACCTAGTTTACATGATATATTTTACATGTTAAATAAAGCTAGGTAACCAAATGCTAAGGTCGTGTTTCATGACCACAATTACATTACTACAAACTACACACCTGTATCTTGTAGAACTTTTTTTATGAAACAATAAAATGAAATTATTTGTAAGGGAAAGGATCAACGAATAAGGCAGAATATAAAAAAAAATTCAATTTGAGCCTTCAGTCTCTTCTATAATTGGTACATGGAAGCAAACAACCAATTATCTTTACCATCAGGAGACCAAGTGTACAGCAATCGAGTTCAGTAGTCCTACATGTTTGGCGATACATTAAAAAAATCATTAAAACCTGTTAAGAGACATGATATACCGATAACAAGCACAGTTAGCACATATTAATTTACTCAGTGAGCACAAAAATCCTGGGAGCATTAAAAAAACACAAATCGCTGTAATTCTCTTTTCAAAGTTCATTACCGGGAAAGTTAACTGTGCTGAAATTCAATTAGACTGGGGTCAGGAGGAATCTGGAAGCACGTTGAAATTCCTTCCCACATCCGTTCGTCAAACAGGAAAGAATAGTGGGGGACCACTCAGCCTCTTGAGAGAAAATTAATTTTCTCCCATTCCCTCTGCGAGCGATCATCCAAGCGTGAAATACCAATACATCTTGGCTGCAGGCAGAGAGGTGGCAAAACCATAAATCTCATTCCTTTTTCGAAATTTGTTTCGCCACAAGAACGATCAGAAATTAAAATAAGCCAATTAACGTGTATTTTGCGTTCACGCACTTGACTCTCTTTGAGTTTGCTTTTTACTAGAGATTATCCAATATTATAACCCAAGTTCTAAATATACAAAAAAAATGTGTTTGGTCAGAAAAATTATCAAACCTAATTGAATAAGAAATACCAAGTGTGTTGTGATAAAAGATGAATGTATGATTAAACACATGGGAAAATAACATAAGGAGAACTTACCTCAATTCCAGAAACCTGTCTCTGACTTGGTAATTTCACTGTCTGAAGGATCTGCAGATGAATAAATACAAAGTATTAATTTATTGCAGAAAAACCTGTCAGGAGTAAAACATTATGAAAGTTTTCTGAATGTATGAAGTAGACTGAAATAAATTTAATCTAATATCAGTCCTCCAGGAAAAATGGATGACTCTGTAAAAATGAGTAACTGCTACATTTGAAGATACTGCACTGAAAGCATTTTAGCAATATTGCTAAGACATTACAACATTTTAAAATACTAGAATGAAGCTCAGTCTCCCGCTCATGATCACCATTAACCCCACCACTCCTTACTGCCTGTATTACATTATCACCTTAAATTCGTTGCCACAAGCATGTGCAATAGACCGTCAACAACACAATCAATCAGCCATAGGTCTTCCAGAGTTACCACCTTATTTGCAGACCAAGCACTCAAACACCATGAGGAAGTCAAGGCTCGCTGGGCCAGAATGGGTGGTTCCTAAGCCGATTCAGCACTGTACTATAGTGCCGATGAAAGCAGACAGTCTCAAAAAGTCACTGAAGAACAGACTTTGAATTCAGCAACACAGGAAAATACACGTACTCTCGTGCATTTTTTTAATAAAATTTTAAACAGGGCAATCTGCAGATTATCTCTTTATGATAGGATGTGATATAGTACATGTGTCATAAACTGAGAAAAAAGATTATGCTGTAGTAATGTAATGCCCAAGAAAAAGAAACTCCAAAGCCCCGATTGCTGGCTTGGTGGAAATGTAGCTTCCACAGATTTTCATTTTAAAAGTAACCAGATTAGTTTTTGCAAAAATATTGCCATGAATAACTTGAATGCCAACACATACATAAGGTTTGTAGACAAAATATTAGGGCTGCGAACGTTCAAATTATCTCTGTCAACTAACCCTTTTTGAAATTTGATGAATCGTCACAATTTAAGACCAAATTATATATATATTTTTTACAGTGTGATAGCGCTCCTTGTGCCTACAGGGGCCACATTAACTAATTAGATGGAACATACAATTTTGGCCTTTATGAGAACAATGAAAGCTTGTATACAAGTGCTATAGTGAATTATTACATTGCAAAACCGTACGAGACGGCGAAGAGCTTGAGGAAATCTTCATGCAGAAGTGCACCAATTAAAGCTGATGACGGCAAACCTAGAATAATTCTCACGTGCGCATATTTTAATTGACAAATCAATGCCTCGTTACAGCCCTATTAAAAAAACTACGATCCCGCTCAAAAGCTGCGGAGACAGCTGGACACAATGAGCCACAAAAACATTTACCTGTGCCAGCTCAATGGCCTGCCAGAGGGTGGCGGCGATTTCGGGCGAGCGTGCGAAGGCGGCCACTGTGTTGAGCAATTCAGCCTTGAGCACGGGCGGCAAAGCGCACTGCACCAGCCCCAGCATCGTCACGAGCGGCGCCCACTGGGGATGCTCGTACAGCGAAAGCCGAGCGCTCTCGTTCTGCAGCGACAACGACAATTTACAACTCCACTCATGTAGACGCGTTACAAAACAAGCAACTGCCAACTCCATTACCGTTACTACATTGAGCCAAAACTTTCGAAGCACCATTCAGTCCACATAAATTCCCACACTCTTAACATGTTTATATCCTTACAAGTAACTTTTCCCTTTTGCATTTGTGGTCAAAACAAAAAAGGCAAAAATCATGCAACAAAGTGCAGCCTAGAACTTAACGGTCACATTAAGAGCAGCCCGACAGCTGGCTGCAATAAACATAGTGTAGATGGCAGCCACGTATATAATTAATCATCCTGATCTGCGCTGTATGAATACATTTTCACGATTCAGGATCATGATGAAATTCAAGCATAAACACTTTCTCCATTTTGAAGGGCATAATATTAATTTTCTTATCCGTCTTATCAGTCTATTTTGTACCATCTCAACTGTTTCATGTGCCAACAGAAATAACACGAATGATATTTGCACGAATTTAAAATGATACTTTTCACCCACGTATGTAGAGAGCATAAAAAATCTATTTCAATCCATTCATACATTTACATGCCTGAACGCAGCATTTGTGTTAATGAACGACCGGGTAACCAATCGCACGGCAGTCAAAGGGGCTGCAAATCCACACGGCGTGGCAAACGCCAGTGCGCGCCCACCTGCTGGGCGATGGTCGCGGTCAGACGGAGCACGGCACGCAGGCCATCCTGCTCGCGCGGCGTGACGCTCTTGAGCGACAGCGCGGGAGCGTAGGGCCGTGCGCCGGGCTGGGCGTCAACGCCGGATGCCTCCCTCTTCAGGTGCTCGCGGTACGCCATCAGCGAGTGGAAGAAGTGCTCCCAGGAGATGGCACTGCTGTTCACTCCCTGGATGGTGTTCTCCACTGCTTTTCAGTGCAGGTTTTTGTGTTTGTGTATTCGGACCAGACCACAGCAGTGTTCGTTTAAAATCAAAATGGACAGAACATCAGATTGCAGGGAATGTGGCGTTATATGAAGCGCACAAGCTACTGGGTTGAGCAAGGTAATGGAATAAAATTAAATAGTAAATGATTAAGGTAAATATAAATATACGTTAAAACAATTTTCAGACATTTCAATCCACTGCTGGGTGAACCATGTCAGTCATGGGGGTTGTTTGACCACACTTGACCAAGGTAGTGAGTATGGTCTCACCACTGATGTTGGACAATGCTTGGCATCAAACTCAGGAGGGCCAGAATCATAGTACATTGCATAAACTACTGCACCAACAATTCCCCCCAATGTTAAAAAGGTACAATATATTGCTATTTTTCACGTAATATTTTGAATACTCAATAATGACAAACAGCGATATTATTATTTCTTTAAAAAAACATTCAAGTTTCCTATTCACAAATGCGAAAGTCTCAGGAGTAGCTATTCTTTTGTACACACAAAAAACTGGTAAATAAGAAAGCGCCGCAGGGCAGTAGGCTGTACGCAGAAGGTGATCTAATTTTCACGTGACATTAACCTTAAGTCTTATCCTCACTGCGAACATTACAGGTCCCATGGCACCCACCGATAGAAACCACAGGCGTTAATGTCAGGTTTCTGGCTTGGCTCACTTCACAAACATTAGTACAAGACAATAACGCCATTTTTATCGGTGAAAAGTCCCACTGCAGGTGTGCACATCTCTGGGATGCTACGCAGCGTACACAATCCCAAAGTGAATTACATCGCTCAGCCAGCTAGCTATACAACTTGAGAGCAAAGCGAACCTTGGCCCGTGCCATTGGTCTTGAGTAGGTTGAAGCAGTAGAGCGAGCAGTTAGGGCCCGTAGAGAGGCCCTGAAGCATGCGTAGGTACGGGACGTAGAGGGACGAGGGCAGCAGGTCACCGGTTTGACGCACAAACCTGGACAGTGACACCTGTCGCAAAACACATGTAAAAAACTTGGAGTAAAAATCTAAGTCAAGTCACAGTGGTTTCCCATTCAAATGAGCATGGGGAGGTGCTCATTCTACCCCGCTTCCCCCCTGGTCTGGAAATCCTTCCCCCTGCCATCCATGCCGTCATGTCCCTGTGCAAATTCTGGTTCAAGGCTTTCCATGTTCTCTGGCCTACAACCGACTGCTACTTCCTAAAAAATAATGAATTTGTCTAATATTTATGCACAAGGCTTGAGATGCCATTGAATCTGAATGCAACGTAAATCAAAATTGTCTTGTATGGTAGGCCCTCCGATGAGCACGATTTTGCTGCGAATGGTGCGAAAAAAGTTCAACATAAATACAAACGTAAAGCCAAAGACAATGGTGTAAATTAAAAAATTCATATAGCCAGGAAAAGTGTTATCCAAACTACAACTTAATACAAATGTATCATTTTATGGACCCTGCAGAAGTGATTAGTTGGGCTGAACTCCCAAAGAGTTTTCAATTTGAAAACTTTAGATTGAGCATTCTAACCAGTGCCATTCACTGCAGTATTCAGTGCATTTTATATACACGCAATTACTGACAACCATACACATACTAAAAGCAGATGTTTGGTTTTTCGGAAATTATTATAAATCATGCACTGCATAACACATTTGTTATAGATGGACAAAGTGTTTAAAAATTGCAATATTTATCTCAGGATGGCACAAAGGCACCACATTTTAGTAACCATTGGACAGTGTTGCATTAAACACATGTCTATAACACAGATATGCATAATCTTACAATGGAAGAGCAACTAGACTATTTCAATACCATTTTCACAAAAACGGCAGTTGTATACAATGGTACAACCTGTCACTATGCTAACAGCTAATGCTAATGTCATGTGTATACACAGACACACAATACCTGTCTGGGCGGGGGCCTTTGTTGATACATGCCCAGAAAGGAGCCCGTCTCGTTGAGTCCTTGCAAGGGTTCCGATGGACACCAAAACTCCAAAGCAAGCTCCAGACTGAACGGGTCTTTGCTATAAAACTCTCCAATCTGTTTGCAAAAAAAAAAACCATTGTGGGGTTATATTAACACGTACAAATATAAAAATCTAAACTTGTCAATACGCTATTTGATACCAGTTGTAATTGTGCCAAGTACACATGTAATGGATAGCTCATCTGTCAATCCACTGTTGGATGAGGGCATTCCCACGTCTGTGTGGGTCGTGGGGATTATTTGACCATGTTTCGCCATACTGGTCAGTGTAGTATGGTCAAGGTGGGGAGCATAGATGCAGTACAACAATGGATTTTGCCATGCTGCTCTCTGTTAAGCACCACGTAAGCACAACCTTGCAGCCGCTAATGACACCCTGGCATCCACGGTGTTCACCCATCCAACAACTATCCACGCTGAATCCTGCTCAACTTTCCGAGATCTGAAGAGATCAGCCGTATTCCGGGCGATTCGGTCACAAACGTACTTGTGTCATTCGCGACAAACTGCAATCACGAGATAATTATCACGTCAGCTAGTAACGCCGCTGCTGTAAATGCAATTATAATGGACCCCAGCTTTGCACTGCAGTGCGAGCGCCCACCAGCAGCATGAGGTGCTCCAGCTCGGAGCGCGTCGCGGGCGGCTCGCCGCCCAGCTGCAGGTTCATGAGCACGATGCGCGCCTCCTCGTCCGCACGGTTCCGCAGCTGCTTCACCTGCACACGGCAGCACACAAAGTGTAGGCAACCTCAGCGAAGCAGACGGGAAATTATGGAAATCAGACTAAGCTTAAACCACCTGCAATTTGACAAATTTTAATATTTAAAACATATTTTGGAACATTACACTATACTGTGATCGTTTCCTGTGTTGAATATGTTATCGACAGAGTCGTCCGACAACCTAGCAGAGATCTTCATTCACCTGTGGGATTTCCATGGCTGATAATTATACATGAGCAACCAAAAACACATTTGAGACTTACATCAACACATCACCTTCCCATTTACTACTATAATGAGCCAAGAATGTCTGTGTGTCCCACGTGTGATGTAACTCCACGTCGACCAGCCGCCCTCATGAATAATCATGAAGAGGTTACGTCCTCCACATGGACCCCACCCTCATTAATAATCACGAGCAGGTGACGTCACTCCACATGGGGGGGGGCGAGGCGCCTCCTCCCTCCCACCTCAGCATCAACTTATAACCCTCACTACAAAGGTAGAACCCTCACGTCACGCGATCTCCGTAACGCTATTGAGACATACAAGTAAAAAGGACGTCATGACGAACAAGGGATTATAACCTTTAAATGAAATAAGCCTGTCACCGCGGCCTTACGAAATGCACACAAATGGATGCAATGAATATCCTGTTGCGCGGTCTGCTTTTCGCTTGCAAGTTTCAGATTTATTGAAATACACCTGTCCTTGGACGGGCAAAAGGCTAGTTAACACATGGATGGAAGCAAGCGTCGAACATAAACTTACTACATGGGATTTGCATATTGGCAGCGGGAGAGTTTAGCCTAAGCACTGTTTTTTTTATATTCGGTCCCCACTAAGACAGGATACAACTCGGTGCATTGATCTGCTTACGTTAAAAAGCGTGAATCGCATTGTTCTTGTTCAATCGCAAACCTTGAGCGGCATGAGCACGATGAAGTCTGCGAGCAGGGTGTGCAAGCGGCGGATGTAGAACTCCTCCTGGTAGAACGTCTCGGCCCCCACCGCGGCTTCGCGCAGGAACAGGAATACGCCGCTCGCGAGCGCCATGTCCACTAGCGTCTCATCCGCTTCGATGTACTCTCCCAAAGCTGGCAAGAACCATGGCAGAGGAGCGGAGTAATGGGGAAGCGGGGGGTGGGGGGGCATGACAGGAGAGGAGTGTAAAAATACATATTTTAAATAACATTAAATAAAACATTGTCATTGCTATCAGCACAGCTGTCAAACTGCCCCAGTCATGATAGGAGAAAATATATATTATGCTATCAGCAAAAAGTATGATTAATTTAATGTATTAGTTTTACTGCCAAAAAGTTTTTCTAGTGAAAGATTTCCGATGTTCAAGGACATTTATTTTTCTCAGTCAAGAGAGATAAGTGCTTTAGCAGGTAAAGCACTCATCTCGATTACAATTCACATTACATGACTTTCCCTAATACATGCATCACCACATGGACCATGAAAAATAAAGGAACCAACCATCACTGACATAAAAAAACACTAGCTCTTCAACAACTTAATGTGACAGCTAATAAAGCGAACAGATGAAGTAAAACAAAACACTCATAGAGGAGCACCTGCAGACTCCGGCAGTTGTGAGACCCCACGCAGGCCTGCGGCCCAGGCCAGCCGGACGGTGGCTTGCAGGCCTGGCACCTTCCACTCGTGTTGGTCCATGATGCGCGTGTGCACCACGTGCACGTACTCACGGTCCATGAGGGGCAGCTGGCGCCGCAGCTCTGTTGGGATACAGGTAAGGGCGGGTGTGGGTTTCCGGTAATGGGCACAGAACTGACAGCACATCAGCACTGGGAAGATCCGACACTTTGGACAAGACGACAGTGAAACACACACGGCCTGCATCAACCAGCACTGGCCAGCATGATAAAAAACAGTCAAATAACCTCCAAGAACCACACAATGTGGGGAGGCCATCGTCCGGGAGTGAACCAATAAAAGGGCTGTACATGTACTGAATTAATCAGGTTCCAGAGGATATCAGAAACAATACTACTGAAGCCATCACACTTTGCTTTTGTTTATTTCTTTCTGCTAGACTGTTACCATCACTTTATTATTTTTGCCAGAAGACACTCATTATACAATAGCCTGCTGTCACTTTATACCACCTTCTGGCTTTGTGTGTATTGTGCGTGTGTGCACGTGTGTGCGTGAGAGCGGCGAAGCAGTGGCTAGCAAACTGAACAAATCTGGTAAGCTGAATGATTCCCAGGTTATGCTAACATCAGAAGCGAATATCTCAACTGCTAAGTGGCCTACTCTAGATCGACTCAGCCTTAGATCGAGTCCCTGGTACAGTTTGTAAAAACAGCAGGACAAGGCATGGTGTTGGTAACACCACCCTTTCACGCACTCTGCCAGGCTTAATAGGTGTTAGCGAACAGCACTTTCCACAACAGTCTATAGGGAGATATTTTGGGCACGTTAGTGACTCATGCGCGTATGTTTGTACGTGTTTTCCAATAATAAAAAAAGCAACGACTAAATGTGTAAAAAATGCACACGCTGCCAAGTAAGTGGCAAATGCATGACGTGCATAAATAATACGTGTGTGAGAGAAAGACCAACGATCCTTCTGTTACTACCTTCTGCATCCTCCAGCGGCTGTTCCAGCACACTGACATCGAAGCAGTAGAGCAGGGCGACGAGCAGCGTCAGCGTGACCGAGTCGAGCCGACCGTCCCCATCGAGGCTGGTCCTCTCCAAGTGTTCCAGCAGCAGCAGTGTATCCTCTCGGGCCAATGGCGTTTGACATGACCACGCGTACAGGCACTCCGCCAGGGACTGCCGGGACTCCTTAATCATTTGCCCCACCTGTGAAAGCCGATGCAATTTGTCACGTGACACGATGTGGCCGAATTACATCTTTCGCATAATTGCATCTGAATAAAAAAATATATATGTTGTCACTTACACTGAAGGTATATGAAAGTTTAGTAGTTAGAATTCTGAATGCTTCTCTCCTATTGACCTCACTATGGACTCCTGTTAAAATCTTCACTTTAACCTCCACTTAGCTGCCCCAAATATCTGTAATTTCCCCCGCTGGCTGTCCGCACTGTAAAACTCTTAATCTGTTCCAAGTCTGGGCTCATTCTTCTACTGCTTCGGACCAGAATTCTCTATATTATATATATAAAAAAAACCTTGTTCTCTTCCAAGTCCCTTCAAATTGAAAAACTCTACTTCTACGCCAAAGAGATGGTCACATTTAGAATGTTTATAAAATTTAAATGCAGCTTTAGAAAAGTGAATTTGTGCATACATGAAGCAACACAACTTGTTTAAATGGAACCAAAAGCTGTTGCGATGAAAAAACAAATGACATGGCAGCGTTGACCAACAGACCTCCTTTCGGTGACGCTCATTTCCTAGGCCACGCTCCTTCCGCAGTTTTTCAAACTCATCATTGAAGCTGATGGTGTCGAGTAGCTCAAGGATTCTCCTTGTCAAACCCTCCTCCATCAATTCATTGGTGAATTTGGTTGTTAAAGAAACCAGCTCATCGCTACAAAATGAGAGAACAGCAAAATAAAGTAGTTAAGCGCAGTAATTACCTCCCGCTTTAAAAATGTTTTGATGAGAAAATTACACCCCGCATTAATAAATTATAGGCAGTGAAGTTCTTCATACACATAACAGTCTACCAAAACTCATACCTGAGTTCTAGTGTCCAAGTCTTTCCACGGCGAGACTGTATGAGCGAGCGGAGAGAATTGGCAATGCAGCGCTTGCCATCCCAGTAAAGCATGACAGCGACAAGCCCCCTGGTGTATGTTGGGAAGTCTGGCTGCTGTACCTCACCTTTGGAAAAATAAGAAAGCAGTTTTTCACCTTGCAGGCAGATACGAAGCATAAACTCTCAGCCAAGCACATTTCATTACCTGTACAATTATTGAGCTACAACACAAGAGAAACTCTACATAATCCTAAACACAAGGCATGCACGGACACATTGATTTAACAACACAAAATATTACATTCAGGAAAAATGCATCAATTGCATATGTAAGAATATATTTTGTACGACTTATGCGAAGTATACACTGATACGAAGTTTATGCTAAGAGAGAAAAGAATACAATTGAGAAAAAAGATAAATATAAACACCACAGGAAAATTACACAAATTATACATTATTGAATTGAACATTCCTGAATCATGACCATTCAACAAATCGTTGTGGGGATAACATATCATTAAATACCTACGAACACAAGTTACTTTTTAAACATGAATAACAATGACATATAATAAAGTCCGTTAAATCTTTCCAGGAATATTAAACAAAGAACAATCTGTTTTAAAAACCTGTTCCAGCATGTCTATTTAGAAAATTACAGCAATAATAAATACATTCACATTACCCGATTGTCTGATATCAGAGGGTAAGTACAATCGAGCCTGAATAGAGCTTAGATGGGTGGTCAGCATACACAAACAGGTTGTCGTCAGAGCTGTTGAGTTACGTGGTGGTCAGTAAAACAAAATCCATTATACTGTACTTTTATGCTTCCACATCTATGCTTCCTGCCTTCACGAACTTACACTGACCAGCATGGTAAAATATAGTCTAACAACTCCTATAACCCTCAGGTGTGGGGAGGCTATCATATGACAGTGCATTTCCACAGGGGCTGTGCATGTTCATGTACACATTTTCACTTACCTGCAAGCAAGAGCTCTAGGGCACTCAGTTCATTCATATTGAAGAGGTCACTAAGAATGAGAGCCTCTTCGATGAGGTCCGAGTTAATGATGCGTGTGCCCTGCTGGCCCTCCACTGCCAGGCCATCTGTGTTTGCCCGGCATACACGTTCCCTGTGCAGTGGGTTTTTTGCCTGTAGTTAAACGCAGGGTGATAAAAAACACATTAAACACGTATTTATAAAAGGAATGCAAATGTGTTGTGAAAAAATTCGTCAAGAAAACACTTTTTTTAAATGGTTTCGTGACTTCATTTAAATGTTAACATATTATTTCCTAAACTCAAAACAGACAAGCCTGTATGTTACCAGATTTCGCAGTCAAATAGGTACAGTATATGGCTTTAAACGCAACAGACAGACATCTGTTGTGCTCATCTCGTAGATATACTGAATGGAAGTAAACGTGGAAGTAAACGTGTCGGTTACTTACGGGGTTTTTGAAGAGCGAAATAAAGTCGGATTTGTGCTTTTTGAGGACAGCATCGAGCTGATAGAAGGAGTTTGGTAGTTTCTTCCATATCGCATTCTCTACCGCCTGGTACACAGCCTTATAGGGGCCCCACAGGTTGTTAACTGCACACACACACACAACAGATTGTACACAAGTGTTGCTTACAGCACATCGCTACTTTTGATATCACTCGGACCCGACTCTCAATTTAACTCCACCCGAAAATATCCTCATCACTCGCAGCAGTCATGCCCGCGACGCTCCCCGTCACTCAGATGACTCTATACATCAGCACTCCCATGCCTCTCTCCCATCACTCAGGCCCCACTCCATCTCCAAAGCCTCTCCCCCATCACACACGCCCCACTATCTCTACCCCTCCGCTCCCATAACCCCATGACTCTACACCCATCGCACACGTCGTCTGAACCCCACTTACTTTCCCCAATAACTCTGATCACACTCTACAAACCCACCACCTGCAATCACTCAAGACCCCCCCCCCACCTCTCCCCGGGCCGCCGATCTAGGACACAAGCAAGGCTTCTAGGCCTAACTGACGGAAACCCGCGCCTGCAGAACACATCGCTGTACCGCTAAACACGGGTGCATCGTGTTCGTATAAAACTCATCGGCAGCTTCGCTCGTGGGCTACAAAAAACCGTGAAGGAGACGAAAAACCCGGACTAGCCTCCCAGATGGCGAACCTGAGCTTCCCGCGGATGAACCGGCCATGCTGAAATCTGCTCGACTGCCGGAGCTTTTTGTTTATAATTCGCAGCGCGGATAGGGCAATCGCGTGGGCTCGCGCCCCTATAACGCGACGTGATTGGTCCGCGTCCGGCCGGCGTTAGCCAATGGGAGCACTCGAACACGGGTTCTCCGCTTATCCGTGCTACGCAATGTAAAACCGCGTGACCTCAGCTCTCGAGGGCCCCCCCCCCGGCCGTGACCCGGAAGGACTCCCCGTAGCGGCTTCCCGCCAAAATGTTTAATTTGATTAAATAAAACAGGTGTTAAGATATATATTCTTAGTTCTTTCGGTAAAGTCACGTAGAAGGGAAATAATAAAATAATAAAAATATTAAACAATAAAAATGATGACGTTTCGACTACAACACAAGCAATCATCATCAGGTGTGAAATCCACAGCAAGAAAATTTTCATGCTGTGGATTTCACACCTGATGATTTTATTGTTTAATATTTTTATTATTTTATTATTTCCCTTCTACGTGACTTTACAGAAAGAACCAATAATATGAATCCCTGCAGTCACGAAAGCTTTAAATCACATTTCAACGACAGTACTTTATTGTACTCCATGCACAAATATATGATGTATTTGCATTGTAATTAATACATAAATGAATGTACTTCCAAATTAAAATACAATGCAATAAACCCGCAAAAAAATGACGATGAACTGTTTCAAGTGCCTTCAGGGAAATTTTACCTCAATTTACATTCATTTATACTGGAATCTAATGCGATATACATTTTCATTTAAGTTGCTGAATACAACCGACCCCTTAAGCATATTTCCCCATCATTTTTAATCTGCACTGATTTCAAATGGCCAATAAAACTGGAGTAACAGCGCTGTTCCGTGGTTAGCGTATACAGACAAGCAATTCTCGGGCATTAGAACAAAACCCCTTAGTTCTGAGATTTAAACACGTGTCATACCAACAAGTTAAACTCATATCTAACACGAGTCGTTACTGAATCAGATACGCGCGTGTGAATAGCCACGTGTTTGAATCCCAGTCCAGTACGTCCACTGCAACTGGCACCTCAATTGCGATCTAAGTTCGATTTCCCCCTCCCTGCCTGGTGAACACCAGTGGCGAGTGATGTTTGAACTGGCCCTACTATCCCTCCTCAACCAGCACTGACCATAAAAGAGTTTACCATACTCTTAGGTTTTTTTTCGGTAAAGTCACGTAGGTAAAAATAAATTAATAAAAATAATAGAAATAAGAAAAAGAATAGAAATAAAATAATAAATCACGACGTTTCGGAGGCAACACAAGTCTCCGTCATCAGGTGGGACCGTCACAGCTAGATTTGCTGTATCAAGTGAGGCAAAATTCCAAGAGACAAGCTCTTAAATACAAGTTAAGGGGGAGGGGCTTATCTGAATGTGGTAGCCAATGAATGGAACGTGTTGGGGGGGTGGGCGGGGCTAAAAGAGAACAATCGGTGCACCTCAACTTGGAGTTGTAACCGGTGTTGGCTGTCAATCCAAATACAAAAAAATTAACCCGTAAAAACAAAGTTTTTCACTATAAATCCTTTATATGCGTGGTGGCTAGAGTCCTCTCGTCCTCTGGCTTGAGATGGCTGCCACCTATGGGTCAGATGATTGTCTGCCAGTATTAAGCAATTGATAATTACATATTTAATTTGTTTTCCCCAAACAGTGTAAAATTTTGGAAAAAAAATGTCACGAACATTAATTGTCTCGCACAACGAGTCTGTGAAAAATGTCAGCTCGATTGGATCACGGGAAGTGGGTTAAAAAACGACCAAAAGATTTGCACGGTCGTAAGCAAGCAAGCACGCAAGCAAGCGAACTTAATATAAAGGATTTAAAAAGCAGTATTGTTAAACGCTGGGGATATCAACACTCGGTAAAGTATAATAGTACCTGAATAGTACCGTGGTTGGCCATCGTAAATGGTAAGAGTTTACCATTGACGATAGGCAACCATTGGAACCTCATTTGCCAGTAAAAAATATGAAAATTGTTTTTTTATCCTTCTATCTGGCAACAAAACTGACACCTTTTTTACAAGGAGTCATGTTTGCATAGACCACAATACCTGCAGCCATAATGCAAACAAAAAACATAACTCTGATAATGTATGCACTGTCCTTGAAGTTGATTGGTCCACACCCGAGACAGCTTTCCTTAGAGCCTAGTCTCACATGGTGTTGGACCAGATGACGCCAAAATGCGCCTTTTGGTGTCATCTGGGCAACCACGTTGGCTGATTCAAGAGCCGAATGGCTCACAGGGCTTATACCAGCGATTAAACTACCGTCTTATTTTCTTACACTCACCATACACGCATCAAATGTCCCGTATTATAATAACTAGCTTCTTTGCCCGTCCTAGGACGGAAGCTGTAATGTTTGAGAAAACATTGAGCAGAGTATTATTGTATCTTGTGTGAATTTAATGGCAGTGAATCTTGCACGAAATTATGTAATAAAACACCTCACTTCATGTCACCAGCACTGTATATAACTGACCTTCAATTTGTTCAAATTCACTGCTCTGATACTTTATTCTCTTCTGCTTTCGGTCGCTGGGGTTGAAATTAATTGGAAATCGATACAATATCTGGAAAATCACCGATAAATGTCCATATTACCATAATGTAGAAGCATACATTAGACTTACCTTTTGTCTCAAATGCTGAAGAAATCAATAAAGACACCAAATCCACTTTGTTGCTGCGTATAATTGTTTATTTGATTCACTTTCCATAAAGAAACGTCAAACTTAAAGCGAATATGCGAAAACAAAAATTCCGCTCGACCTTCTACGTGAGTGTAAAAATCCACCCGCTCATGAATATTCATGACGGGGGGTGACATGTGGAGGGACGTCACGCGCAGGACGCAACATTCTTGGCACACGGGACACATTTGGCTCATTATATATGGAGACTAGCTGTTCTACCCGAATTTAGCATGAAATCGAGGGAAAAGACACAAATATAGCATATATAGCACTCGTTGAGTTGAATAGTGACCCCCAAATCATTACATATTCATATCACTCGACCACAGGTTAAACCATTGGTATTAAGGGAAGGCTGTCTGACATGCTACAGTACTAAAACATAATAATTCATATTAGTTGCATGGCGCTAAGTAGCAGAGGTGTGGACTCGAGTCATGTGACTTGGACTCGAGTCAGACTCGAGTCATGAATTTGATGACTTCAGACTCGACTTGGACTTGCATAACAATGACTTTGTCCCACCTCTGAGATGTGGACTCGAGTCATGTGACTTGGACTCGAGTCAGACTCGAGTCATGAATTTGATGACTTCAGACTCGACTTGGACTTGCATAACAATGACTTTGTCCCACCTCTGCTAAGTAGTGCACTGTAACATCCATGTCCATGTTTCTAGTCCAGTAATTAGTCATATTCCATTCACATTTAGCCAAATTGAATGCGAACACGTAGGGCATGTTGCACAAATCCAAATGCACCATCACTGGAGCTGCCTGTATCAAGGGAGTGCCAGTCGGTTTCTACTCAGTGTAAACTATCCACCAGGACTGATTCACTTCCATCGCGATTTCAGGAATTGTCAGTCATTGGTTATCACCAGAAGATTAATGGGTCGATCATATTTTTAACACCGTCGTAAATTGTAGCATATTCACTGACTGCAGTGGATCACATGAAGCAATTACATGCAACATCTATGAAAACAAAATAATGTATGCTTGCACGTGCAACTTGATGCTTATATTGCTAACAAAATAATTGAATTTATTCAGGCCATGTGATCAGCTGCCTGAATTCATCACTGTGAGGAGAAGTGTGGGTATCTGATTTCTTCCAAATCATTGGCCACTGTGGAATAATAAGTGATTAAAATCTCATCGTAAGCGGCGTGCCCTTCTCCTGCAGTGATGTATGCACTGTGTGGTGGGTTAAAGTCTTTCTTTTCAATATATGCACGCATCTGTACACTCCAAATAACTACAGTTGACGAATTAGCATATTATATTAACAAACAAGGAATTAAAATTGCTTTGCAATTTTGGACATGCAAAACGAACGTTCCCCAAGGAAACAGGGTGCTTGATATGCGTTGCATAAACAATTGAGGGGGTGGATGTAATTCATTTGCATGTTTAATTTTGTATATGAGCAGGCAGGTTTTCGACGTTGAATTATTGTGCCTGAAATCCCGTTCATTAGCCAAACTATGTCATCAGTTTTACTTGGTTGGCTACTGCTGCTGCTACCACGTCTACTGAGCTTTGGGTGAGGTCATATGTAAGTGACCCATCATGCATATTGGTGTTTACACACCTTGATATCATGACATCGTTACAATTGCATCATTGGTATTCGGGAGTATTCACATAGCAGGCGTCGTCAGAATTACAATATTTAATATTGTTAATGGAGCTGTGATCAGTCACCCTCTGTCACCCCGGCAATTTGATCATCGCAATTCAGGATAGTGATTCCAATCAATAATTGTTTACACTGTTGATAAATGTAGTGATCACGAATGGCAGCAGGGGTCATGTAAACCTATTGCACACAACACACATGGAAAAACATCGATTATATTCCACGTGTGATTCTATGCATGTGTAGTGACTAACTCGGAGACACTAAGAGTTGGAGGCACTTCTTTATTATACTCACAATCTCCCTTCACACACCCTGCAGTCGCCTAGGCTACACACACCCTAGCCTATACACAACACTAGCCATCTAACACTGATGGCGATGACTGATACAGCCAACAATCGTATAACAGCGCAATATCAAGTGATGACGACTGCGGCGACGAAGAGAATATTGGTGACGACGACGACGATGGACTTGACCAGCACTTAAAATCAACAGCCACGAGGTCCCCCACAGCGGCCCTTCTTATATTGTCAGCATGGCCTGGCTCCACCCCCGGCCACGCCCCCTTTCTAGAATCTCCAGCGAGTTCTTGATGTGCCCCTTCTATGACCTTTCCCCTAGATCCACCTCTGGGGTATAACCTGGCCTGCTGAGGTCAGGGCTGCTGTAAGCCGCAGATCCCTTTCCCC